TTAAATTTAAATTAATTTAAGTTAATTATATAAATAGTTGTTAAGATATTTTTAAATATATATATAAAGGTTAAAAATATAGCTAGGTTAATTGGGTGGCTAGGTTAAGTGGGAGATGCGTTAATAGAAATAGCATTTTTAGCATTATTTTATAATTCTACTACTTATTAACTTTTTTAAAATTTATAAAAGGGTGTAAAGCTTAACTAACATTTAATAGGAGTAACTTTTAATAGCGTTCATTAATAAAGTTGCTTGCCTAATATGGATAACTTAACGAAAGCATCCCCGCAGTGGCGTTATTAGCGTTGTTCGAGTTTTTCGAGTGTATGCGGTAGCGAGTCAGAACTGTACATAGTATGGTATATGTTCGAAGAGTATATACTTAGTAGGTATGTGATACTACAGGAACAACTTAAATAATTGCTAGGTAAGATTCCCATAAGTAGCAGTCAATCCTCAACACAAAGCCAACGACAAAGTTTTCTCTCACTACATATAGGTACTCAAGTACCTAGGGTATCTTAACTGCATAGTAGCACATCAAGGCAGCATTGTCACCCAGTCCTGCGTCGCTTTTCCATGTTCCTGGAATCTGTAAGTATGGATGCCAAGAACATCACGAGGATTACGATTGATTCGACACTTGTTTATGCAGGAAACATTGATGCTGAAAAGTGATATTGCTCTGGCCCAATAATCGTACGCAGAATTTCCTTACTAAGGTTCCTAGAGGTCGACCAACTTATTTCTTCCCAACCTTCCCGCCCTATCCTCACGTTGCACATATCTGTAGTTACGTTTCTTATTCTTCTACTTTGCTCCGGCCGGTTCGAAAAGTGTGAAAGTCTAGCTGGCACGAAACATCACAAGGTTAGCTAGCCTTTGTCACTCAGACTACTACCACCAACCGGGTGCTCATTCTACAATGGCCCGCGCGGGAACTGTTTGGCCTCTCTTCGGAAGCATTATAAGGGAGGAAATCTCGTGATGCACAGACAAAGACCGACCGAACTTGGACTCGTCAAGCACGAAGCGAGCGCCCACCAGGGAACTGTTATAAAGGGTCAATCACATACACGGGATGAAGAGGGCAGAAGAGGGCAATAGTATGTCCTGATATACGAAGTCGTCTCGTTCAGCATCAAGATCCCATGCCCTGTAGGGTGTTATCAGCCAAAGCTGAGTGGGTGTATTAGTATTTGAGCGACTCGTCGCTGGATTTGCTCAGAGAGCTGGTACAGTACTATAGTATGTAGCTTAGTCGTCGTTAGCCCACGTGATTGAATGCATCTTGCTGCTCACACAGACTCCCAGCAAAATCCACCCCGTGAGGCGGAAGTGCCGGAGAACAGACATACTGTCCATGGCTTACGCATCCGCCCGGCCGAGATAGGAAGCTCGGATTGAGGGCACAGCAATTCTTGCTGGTGAAGGCGTTTGAAACACGGCCTGATCCCCTTTTGTTTGTGGCGCTTCCTTTCAAGTTATTCTATACTTAGAGGTTAGGTAGATGAGCAAGATGCGTCGTACACGCATTGCCAGAACAATGTCGCGGAACAGAATCACCATGTGCACCGTGATGTACAGTGTACACAGTACAGTAGGGTCGGTACGATGCTGAATAACCTCATGCCTGGTGAAATAAAGACGAAGGTGTCTTCGTAACCCGGTTCGGACCGCAGTGTGCGTCGTAGAATGCCTGCTCATACAGTTTCGAGACAAACTCACAACTAGGTACGAAGTCTACCTATACCCAGACGCATACCCATGTCGTACCTGACCGTGTGCATTCTACGTACCTCGCATACGAACTGCCTAACCGCGTGACATAAGTACAAAGTAGTCTGTCTCCAGTGAGGCCTTCGATATCCAGACCAACCAGACCCGTGTAGTTGGGTTATAAACAATTTCTGTTTGACGACCTGTAACTTTGAAGTAGGTATATGTATGTAGACGAGATGCCTGTAATGTCCCTTGTACTGTACCTACATACGTATAGGTATTCTCTCAACACGAGCTTGCATGACCAGATCTTTAAGTCACTCGGGAATCCATTACACCATCTTGACACGCTCCGGAATAACTCATAAGTTTCGCTCTACTTACGTCAAGCAAAACTCATGCTCTTTCTTTTATTTGCTTTTTGCTGATATCGTTAGTGGCGGTCAGGTCAGTAGGAAAGCTTGTAGCTGGGGGCGTGTGAAAATTGGTTGCCTGGCAACCAACCTTTTAGGTACTGACCCGCCTACCTCCTTAGGTAGCCAAACCCAGCCCGAGATACCTACGCCACTCTTATAGCACAACATGCTGGATTGCCTCATCATGATAGCACTAACAAAATAAAAAACTATATTTACTTTGCACCTATACAGATATTCATGGCAATGACAGATGGATTGAGCAGCGACGATGAATTCCCAGAGGTTGAGGTCATCGTCCAGAGGCGCAAACAGGGGACCACATGCAAGGATCTCGGTGACGATAAAGGAAGTGCGCCAAGGCAACCTGGCTCTCCAGAATCAACACATATGAGCTTCGATAAGGCCCTTGTGAAGACACCTGCTACTGCGAGACGTCGGCGAAGGCTTGGTCAAAGCCAGCCCGTCGACCATTCACTCCTGAAGCCGTGGGACGGCGTAGAAGTGGAAAACGGAGCAGATGGCCGACTTCCCAGATTCAGGCAGCCTTCCATCAGGCCGGCGGACAGAACAGAAGAAACAGACGCTACTGCAACGGGAGGAATGATGCGCCGTCTTCCAGCGAGGACCAAAATCACCGAAGCTCGTGTCATGGCTAGCAGTACCGTGATCGATAATCCACCAGAGGAGAGAAAGACACGACGGCTGATATCGCGAGGTGCAATGAAAGCTATGGATTTGAAAGTTTTTGAGAAAGAAGTAGACTCTCTACTTACTTCGGATGAGTTAGAATCGGATGCGGAGAATTGGACTGAAGATGAGGACTCGGACTTTATTCTGAGAGGAGATTCATCCGAAGCCCTTTCAATATCCTCTCAGCCGCGCCCACGAAGCCCGAGTAGCCCTCGTCGCTTGCAGCGCCGTGTACTGTCTTCATCGAAAACGCCAGCATGGGCTAAGTCGAGACAAGATGAATCAATAACACTCCCTAAAGAGCAGCGAGAGAAGCAGACCATAGCGAAGAAGGCGACTACGAGAAAAGTGAAAACCGCGCCTCGAGGAGATCTGGAGGATTTCTTCAAGGAACTTAAGATGTGTGTATATCTCTTCTTTGTAACTGTTGCTACGATAGGCTTTACTAAGAACTACGTAGATCCTATGAAGACTCTGAACCAGAGAGACTAGGTACCGGGACTCCACTGGTACCGATTTTGGACCCTATAACCCCTAGAAAGAAGACCACAACTTCTCCAGCCAAGGTCCCGCGAATACCTATGTCGCCCTGGAAACCAGAGCATAAGGAATTCTGGGACCCTGAGGTGAACTTTGCTTGGATTGACAAGCATTCACCCCCGAAGAAGACCACAAAAAAGGTGCTGGACCTCGAGGCGTCCAATGTTAAAGATGAGCTGAAGCGCAAATATGGCACCAGCCCTGAGAAAAAGCAAGCAAAGAAAGCCTTTGACGCCGTCAAAGAAGACCTCGCGCGCGATTTCCTCCAAGAGCTCGACCAAGTTATCACGGACGGGAAACTAGCGCAGCTTACAGAGGCGACTGGCGGCCTACGCATCGTGTGGTCAAACACGCTACTTACGACGGCCGGGCGCGCACATTGGAAATGCAAGACAACAACGACGACATCGAAACAACCCTCTGCATCTTCAGTATCGAGTAAAAGCACTGCCAGCACCACCACCGCTACAGCGAAGTCGACAACAGCACAACACTCTGCTCATATCGAGCTCGCCCTCAAGGTCCTCTCCAACGAGCCCGACCTGTTGAATACCGTGGCCCACGAATTCTGCCATCTCGCCGTGTTCATACTGCACGGGAAGCCCAAGCTCGCTCACGGCGCCGAATTCAAGTCCTATGGCCAACGTGTCATGCGGGCGGCCTCAGGAATCGCCGCCACCGACGGTAATACAGCCACACTGAAGACGCCGCAGAACTGCAGCGTCGAGATCAACGTCACGACGCGCCACAGCTACGAGATCGAGTACCGCTTCGTCTGGCGATGCGCGGACTGCGGCTGCGAGGTGCACCGACACTCGCGGAGCGTGGACCCGGCGCGTCACCGATGCGGGCGGTGCAAGAAGGGTATTCTCGTACAAGTGAAGCCTGTTCCGAGAGGCGGTAAAGGGAAAGGAGACGGGGAAAACAGTGGCGAGCTGGGGACGGAAAAGCTAGAGGCGAAAGGAGATGGGGTGCAGAAGAGGAAGAAGACAGCCTATCAGGAATTTACGTCCCGCGAGATGAAGGCCTTAAGCGTCTCGCATAAAAACCTGTCGTTCAAGGACAAGATGGCCTTGGTCTCAGCGCGGTGGAGCGAGCGTCAGAAAGCGATGAAGAAGGAGACGGAGGCAGCTGTGCCTGCCGCTGTTAGTGTTCGGGGTTTGACGGCTGCTGTGGGCGTGCTCAGTCTCGATGATGATCGCAGCGATGGAGGCGGCGTTGAAGCTCATTAGCGAGAAAGCCGTGTGTGCGGTATTTCGGCGTAGATTGTTTAGTTTGGTACTCTATGTGTTATTAAGGGGTAGCCCCTGAGCGGTGTAGTTGTCATAATCAATGATTACCCAGTCCGGACTCCTTTCTTCATTGGTACTGACTTGATACTGATACGGCAAAAATGTGACAGAGGCCTCATAGAGTCTCAGCGTCCGTTTAGGAAATATACACACTAGAATACCTTGGTGCTGAGAACCTCAAAAGACCTTGGAATGAGCGGAACTTATAGAATCATTCATTTCGCGGAGAAAGATGTATTGGATGATGTATCGGAGATGCAGAGTAAGATAACCATATCGCGACGACCGTCCCCTTATATATAGTCGGATGTTTAGAGACGAAAACCATATACGACCCAAAGGCACCAGAACACCCAGACTGGAATCTTTGGACACTCCTCGGCTCCTAAAATACATCAGGTGAGATTTCAGTCGCTTTGAGCCAACCCTTTTCACATTCTATGTGTTGGACGGGAGACGAGTAGCGTTCGAGTGCGCAGCTATAGCCGTCTTGCCCTTCACTGTTCTCTTCGAGCCTGATTAAAAAAATTCACATATACACTACACTCACTCTATCGAGGTTAAATTCCCATGCATTAACTTAGCTCATGCCCATCCATCTAAATAGATAGACGAGTTCGGCGGCGGTTGAGGTGTGGCGGCATTGCGAGTTTTGTGGTAGTATTACATGATAGTTGGCAGGGTTAACAGATTAATATATGGTATTATTAAATGTTAATCCTGATAGTTGGCTGTGGTGAAGCTTTGTTGGGAATATACATGACCGCGGTAGCAGAAGATCTAATGTGGTTGAGAAAGTTATTGACTATATTAATCGAGTATTCATTAATCCAGGTCATAAGATGGAATCGGCGCTGGCGCCCAAGCATCTATCTCCATATTATATCGCTGGTCGTCAACAATTGTGATATCCTGCTCGATATACCAGTCATGAATATCATCCGTAGCCCTATATATCTACATATGGGGGTGTGCGATAAAAAACACTGGCCAGGTCTCATGCCAAAGTTGAGTGTCCATACTCATTACGCCCCCTCATAATGTAAATCCAAGCCGCTCGTCCTTGTGTAACAAGTAAAGGAGAAAGAGCACTTCATGTTCGTATTGCCATCATATCTCTGTTTATGTTTCCTTCCCCCATATCCGACTACACTTCCTTGAAGAGACCCCAGTCCTTTACCTTGAATGATTCCCAGATCCGCGAGGCATACTCGACGGCGTCTCCAATCAGCTGTCCCTGCTTCCCAAGCTGCAGGTCGACATCTTCCTCGTCGTACTCGCCACGAATGTGAGGCACGTTGATCGTTATGAGGATATCGGTGTGTTCGCGCTCGAGACGCACGAGCGTCAGGACCATGGCGGTGAAGTCGGGCGCATTCCCGCGCGTAGCAGCATTATCGCCTTCCTTCGACGGCAGCCCATGAGGCGCGAGCGTAGCGATGAGGGTATAAGCTGGTATGTCTTCGCTGATTTGTACGAAGCCCACAGGTTAGCGACCAAGGTGTTATACAGAGATGCTATTACAAATACTAGTTGCGATGAATAGAGAGCTGGGGCCACGCCCGCTTCTAGTCGAGAAGAAAGGTTTTGAGGAAACGTACTCGAGCTTGGAGAATTGCGTGGGCGTCGTGTTCCACACTTTCAGTCCTTCGATATCGTCGCCGACAATTTCGCGGAGGTGCGTTGTCAGCGCGGTCCCATCGATTTCTTCGCTGCTGCCATCCTCGCCGACGCGTTCGTTGATCTCGATGATGATGCTCGTAAAGCCATCCTTGTCAATATAGACCTCTTGGTTGTCTGGTACCTGGCGGAGCTGGCTGCAGTCGAGGAGACGCGATCTGTGTTAGTAATGACGCTACTTTGTAAAAAAGCGCATATGCACAAACTGGCACAGGCTGGTTGAGATCTAACGCACCTGACATCGGCGAAGTTGGTCGGCAAGTCGCAAACGAGAGCCCCTCCAAACAGCGGGGTGCTCTTGTACGTCGCCATGTCGCAAAACAACCCGGTTGCAGTCGAGCTGGAATAGGTATAGGGTTGGCTTTGAGGCTCGCAAAGTATTGAGTGATAGCGGTAATTCTCGAGAAAAGTTAGTCGCACTGTAGATGTGAAGGCGATCAATCAATTAAAGCATAGGTAGCAGAAATGAGGTTCAGTCACGATGGTTGTAGCATTCGTTGATGGAAGCCTTACTGGTCTTGGCGTTATCAGCTCAGTGGTGGGGTTGCCTGCGGTGCCTACCTCTACCTACCCCCTATGATGTAATAGCTTCGCTGAAGCACTGCACCCCTACCTACTCTAGGTACTGTACAGGCATCACCGACATGTAGAACTTGCAATATATGTTAGACGCCTCGGGAGCTAGAAGCAAGCGCTAGGTATACAGTTTTATGTAACTAGTTGATTGAGTAGCTATCTACATATGTATTATCGTGGTCTTCTCTATCTGAGATTGTTGCTCAAGCCGTATCTTGGGCCATACGTACAGCATACTAATTCTCGTAGTGGCAGAAAACAACACCGTCAACGAGAGGATAACGCCTTATAGTACCTTTCAAATATACCCATAACCCCCTTTCGAACTCCGAACTCATAGTCAATAGATTCGCAACATTGTGCAGACTCGAACAAGGTCCTACCTAGTCTAGAGTATGATGCCAAGCAATTACAGTGCCAATCCTTAATGCCTACCAGTGAACGCCATATATCCCCCTTCAAGTCATTTGCTCATTCGAGTACCACGATCGCCTCTTGCGTCGTCAACCAAGATTCGCGAGCATACGCTAGCGACGGATGTCAATGCTGGCTCGTGATGAATCGAGGGATGGCCGAATAGAGCTACTAGAACTTCGGCGTCTCCTGGCTCGTTGCTCGCTAGGGTCTGTCGGGTTGAGGCCTGTCGATTTGGCAAATAAGTTGAGAATGTCAGTTAGCGTCACGACGCCCGTCAGGCGGCCTGAGAGGTGGGAACCTGGCAACGCTGACCCTGGCACCGACGTGGAAGGGTAATGAGTCCCTGGAACCGCTGGCTGGGACGAAGGAGCAGAGCTCGACAAAAGTACCGTGGGAGGAAGAGAGGGTGTGCTAGGAGCCGAGGACGATGGCGAGGGAGACTCCACCACCCACATGCGATGAGAGTGAGTCGCCACGAGCTTGGCGACCGTGTGCGCAAGTGTCGAATACGGGTTCACGTAAAATACGGGGAATGAGTCCTTCCCCTGTTCTACACCCCTCTCGGACAGGATAATCGAGATGAAGTGAAGACAGGTATTCTCGAAAAGAGGAAGACTAGCAGCGCTCATAAGCAGACGGACATCAGCCGTCGATATGTTTCCGACCACATTAAGCCCGTTGTCGACAACGGCCACACTTGTCAACCCCTCCTGATTCATGAGAACAAGTGCATCCGCTAAAGGACTATCAGAGCTGTTTCGCGTTTAAGTTAGCGCTGTGCAGGTGATTGATCTAGCAGGCATGGGCTCTGTGGTTCACATACTTTACAGCTATGATTTGTTGTGACCCTATATTAAGCTCCTTCATGAGCTTCGGGTAGAGTTCATCGATGACCCTGAAGTTGATACCCTCATTCCAGAAGAATTCCATGAGCCTTATCTGGCTCAAGATGCCGACAACCTCTGCCTGATAGTTGGTGATAAGGATGCGGTGGATACCACTGCCAAATATTTCTACGGCCCTGGCCAGGTCCTCGTCACCCTGTAATGTTACCAGTGTCTCCTTTCGACATATGGGCTGAATGTCGCGAAGAGGAATGCTATCACGGGCCTGGGCTCGCTTGGCGATATCATCGTACAGCGCAACTAACTCTTCGGGTGGGTGGCCCAGACCGACGACGACGAGAACGTAGGCATTCAGGTCGTTATAGTCAAAAGTAGAGTCTGGCCTAGTGCTTTGGGGGTTTTCGCGGATCAATACAACGTTGCTCGTTGTATTCTTCACTAGGGCCTGGGACAGTGTTAGATACGAGGTCATCGCGGGAGAAGTGGTAGCCGACCGACCATTGAAGCGTCCTCGACGCTTGTGTCCATGTCAACCCATCGCACATCATCTTCCGAGATTAGCTCCCCAACCGCAATATCCCTCCAATCTCTCCCGGCGAATCGGGGATTGTGGTGTCTCGCGGAAGGTGGGTGGTTGAGTAGATCCTGGAGGGCGGATTGGGTAAAGGAGGGGTGTCGTTGAGAGCGGGGTGAGGACGGCAGGCCTCTTAGACCCTCAACGAAGCTTGAACGGTGGCTGTGGGTTGAGGCGAGACTGGACTTGTGCAGACTCGAGGAAGAGGGCGTTCGCTGCGGCGGCGTCGGGACGGGCGAGGTACTGGCCTCACTGGCGGCGGGTTCCTTCGAGTTTTGGTTATTGTTCCCGAGGAACGTGCGGTGCTGTTCCATCTTGGGTAGCTCAACAGGACGGCACACAGAAGAACCAATGACGAGCGTAATGGGAGTGCTTTTCTCGCGCACAGTTGTATCGTCAGTTATATAGAATCAATTGATTGTTCGAGTCTGTGTTTCTGGGTGCCCGATGTTGTAAGTATGTATTGATTCGCCGCCAGAGCGATGTTTAGGCTAGTAGTGAGGTGGTACAGCTGACTGTCTAGGCGAGTGAATTACCGAATGGTACCTACCTACCTAGGTAGGTAGGTAGCCTTTTGTTCAGCCACCTCACCTAGCTGCATGCACCTCTGAATAGAGCCTCGAAAGCTAGGTACTTACTCAGGTGAAATGTATATCAACAGACACGTCCCGGCTTGGACGTTGGCTTATTCACAGCCACGATAGTATGGATTTAGTCTAAAACTTGGGAAGCAACCGTAGGGACCTCGAGAATGAGTTGGACAAAAGCATACCCAGGAGGGTGTTGATTTCTGTTTCTGTCGGCTTTTGTACCAGCCGGTGAGCCAGCCTCGCCAGCTAATAGTTCCAGCTACTCTTCGCACGAGGAGGTACCTAGGTAGGCAAAGACCCCATGCGGGGTTGGGGTGGGACGTACTAGGTTCAGAAGCTACAAGACGGGATGACGATTTAGGACGGGAACCATGACGATCATGTGGAACTGAGAACAACATACCCTAACAGCCAACCAACATGCACCCGCAGAAGCACGCTGTACGGAATGACATTATCAGCTCGTTAGGGGGGGGGGATGTCCGATTTTACAAAGTACTTTATATAGAAACTCATTTCTCATATGTCCCGACCTGGAACGCCAAAAAAAAAAAAATCAAAAAAAATCAAAGCAGAGTAAACCAGAGCCCATTCGACCCTGCTTATGTGTCGTTCAAGGTCGACTAAATAATTACCCAGTTGTGTAGTTATGAACATTCCGAGGCCGAGGTAACGTAGGTCAAACTAGCATTCAAGGGTTATTTACTCTAAGATCATTCGATAAATAAGAACAATTAATTGTCCTTTTTCAGGCAATACGAGCAATCAACCCCGGTGTTTTACTAGTATAATGTATCTAGAATAAGATTCGCTGCGAGGTCAATAGGCTCATCTTGTGTGATGCGAAACACGGGCTTGCGTTTCCACTACAGACCTCAACAATGCATATACATGAAATATATATAGCAGCAAGTATTATAGGTATAGTAGGATCATGCGGCTGAGAGCAGAATGCTAAGTCCGCAGAATCCACAATCGACCGAGGCCGAGCTGATCCCCAAGACCGACAACCGATGCCGGTTTCGGCCCACGATACTATTAAATGGGGTCTTGAACGAAGCAATTGACTATGCTGATCTGATCTAATCTAATCTGATCTAACTCGACATCGAGCCGCCTAGCTGTAGCTCCTATGATTGGTCTTGAATCCTGGATGAGACGAGAGAAGGCCCTTCCAGCACTATAGGCAACCGTCAGGATTTCGGAAAACTCGGACCAGCATGTCCTTGGACGTGTCCGTATCGACCATGGCCGGCAGGGGTTCTTACGCCGTGTCGTGTATATATATAGCTGTCTTACCATGTCTTTGGCGTGCTTCCTCGTTGGTGAGAGCTATGCTGATGATATAAGGTTCATTTCTATATTACTTTGCTTAGGTCGCTAGAAATATAAATCACATAAGATTCCACTCCAACATGTTCAAGAAGACATGGCTCGTAATCAGGGCAGTGGGGAATATTGCCTCCTTCCTCGGCTACCTAGTCTCTCGCTCTGCGTGGCTTCGTATGAGGCGCATTCGCCACCGTCTCTCACCGCCTGCTTCTTCCAAATCTGAAAAGCATGAACTGCTCAGTATCGTTGTCATCGGAGCATCAATGGCGGGGTATCACGCTGCCAAATCGATTGCTGAGTCCATCCTCCCTGGTTTGCCCTACCGGGTCGTCGTCATTGAGGCTCGCGACCGTTTCCACTTCACATGGGTTCTGCCGCGATTCTGTGTGGTAGAGGGACATGAACACAAGGCATTCATCCCGTACGGTCCTTATTTACGTCGAATATCCGAGCATGCGTTGCGATGGATCCAAGGACGCGTTGTTCGCATCACAAAATATAGCGTACGACTAAGCAGTGGCGAGGAGATCCCCTACGAGTTCCTGGTAGTGGCAACAGGGGCAGGTGCCACAGATTCATTACCAAGCCGTGTACAATCCGATGAGAAAACTGAAGGCATTCGGCAGCTGAAAGACATTCAGCAGAAGATAAAAGAGGCGAAGAGTCTGGTTGTAGTCGGTGGGGGCGCGGCTGGTGTCGAATTGGCAACAGACGCGAAGTCATACTACCCCGAGAAGACAGTGGTCTTGGTGCATTCGAGGGACAGCGTCATGCACCGGTTTGGGCGCAGGCTACAGAGAGCAGCGATGGCGGGCTTGCAAGAGCTGGGAGTGGAAGTTATTACAGACGACAGACTGATAAGGGAGGAAAAAGAACGTGGCGTCGTGATATTGAAGAGTGGAAGGGAGGTTAAATGCGATTTTCTTGTGAGTTACCTTTCCCCCCTGGTCCACATACCTCTACCGCCTGAGAGAAGATTGACGAAACATAGCTGACTGTGAATTAGGTCAATTGTGCAGGCCAGAGGCCTAACTCCATGCTCATTCAGGAGTTAAGCCCAAAGTCTGTGACCCCTTCGGGTCACATCCTTGTCGAACCCACGATGCAGATCTCTGACGGATCGCTGTCCAATGTCTATGTATGCGGTGATGTTGCACATAATAGTACATCGAACCCGAATTCTAGAAGCGCCAGAGCTCAGGCTGCGGTTGTTGCCGACAATGTGATACTGGCTATGGACGGACATAAACCCACTAAAACGTATAAGCCGCAATGGCTAGAAGCCTTGATCAAACTTACTCTAGGATTGGTAAGATTTGTAGTTCATGAAGGTTGGAAACCAAGTTGCTAATCTCATATTGAATTTCGCAGGATAAGTCAGTCACACATATTGGCGACTTTGGCGGAACAGAGTTGCTCTTCTCGACTCAGGAAAAAGACCTTGCCCTAATGTCGGGAGGAGCCTGGAAATATATGGGCGCAACCCCCTTTCAGGACGAAATAGAGACTCTTCAGCGATTTGTCACCAAAGCGTGACCGTTTTTGTTATCGGTCGTGCGTTAACTCGGACGTATATACTTACACCACACTGTCTCGCATACTGAATAGCCTTCGAAAATACTGTCACCTTCTACAGGTCGTTCTATAATACCTACTGTTAGGATTGTTGAGTTTTTGACAAAAGGGGTAATGTAATATGAGGTGTATGGAATGGGAGATTGACTGGCATGAGAGGTTTTGTTTTGTTGTTATATTATGAGATTGACTAGCACATGTCTAGAGCGGTTGCGATGGTCAAGCTCACGAATACGTGCCCAATAGAAGATGAGACAGATATAGTCAGAAGCTGTGATGCCTTTAGGTAGGTGCTTTGTTAGCGATTTTGTGTCCGGTTTATGGTTTACCCGAGTCTGAACCCTAACAGGAGGCAAAGTTACAGTGAAATGGACATATTAGAGGTTTCTCCTATAACCACGGCAAATTCAGTCTAATTTCGATATCACCGATGGTTACGATAGTTGGTGGAGAATGATTGTCACAGGTTATTCGAGGAGATGTCTGACGTACATCTCGAACCGTTTTCCAGCACTATCAGATCTTTCCCCGTTTTACCATGAGAAGCTGCAAGATGAGGACGTCGCTGGCCTATGGAAACGTTGACTGCATTCAGGAATATCTGGCAATGTGGTTATCTCGATACAAACTAGCTTAGCTGGTCGAGACTGTTCAATAGGCTTATGGACGCGACAACTGGGGGAGAAGAGAAGACACCAAAGTTTGGGAGCATCACATCGCATATTACTCTTGCGGGCAGGAATCCATGTGGCCAGCTTTCGAGCGCAGCGTTACGAACTATTATTAGAGTGATTGGATTCCCAGCAGTATCGTTTTTGAAGCCCGTCATATTGTCCGCTACAAGTCGCAGCGGGCTGACGCACATTGCCGTGTTGATTGGTGGCCTGGGCCAGATGGAGAACGGGCTCAAGCGCGTATCTCCAGGTAATATGATGCTGATATTGCTAGCAGGTAACCATCTCATCCGAGCAGAATCCACCCTCTATCTTGTCGGTTGACGCAACAGCTGAGTCCGGTGTATCCTCTGAAGCTAATGAGAATGTGGGAAGGGAGGCGATGAAAGACTCGAGATGACTGGAGGGGATTCTCTGCGATAGCGTAGCAGTGTTGCAAAGGCGAATGAATACTTATGTCCTAGACTACTAAGTAATCACTTCTTGGAAGAGAAATCATAGAGGCATGTGTGCATGGGTAAGGTTAAGGTTTGGCCAAAGTAGTAGTAAGTTCCCTAGTATGTGCCCCTGTTCAAGAAAAAGAGATCAGCTTAGGGCGACCAATTGGACTATCGATTCGACGCAAGGGTCTCTCCCCTAGCGCTAGGTATTAGTTGCTGTACTTAAGCAAGCACCACTATTGTAATCCAGGGCTGCTTGTACTTACTATGTACATAGTACATAAGTAGGTAGTACTTACCTAGGTAGATGAGTATTCAAGAGAAGCAGAGAGGAATAGAAAGAGAGAGAATCAGTGACCAGCCAGTCACTTTGATTTTATATAAGCTGCTATCTGCCGCGGCCATGAATTCTGCTGGCGGCGGATACCTGCTTACCCAATGTACCCAGGTACCTACTTACATAGGTATGTATGTAGGTAACCTAAATACCATGTCAGGTACTTTACCTACAGCATTCCGTCTTTGATTCTTGGTGCATTGTTTCTACAAAGGGTAAGTAGGTAGTCGAGGAGGTTATGAATGCTCTCCACTGCCCAAGCAGCCTAGACGAATTGGGCCTGCAAGGGCACCAAAAGAGCGCCAAAGAACACCCAAGGCACTCAACCCCTCCATTGTGGGTTAAGAGCACGGGCCACAAAGCGCTGTTTCTGCTGCTGCTCTGCCTATCGCCCGCTTATCACCCGCCGCGCTAGCATTGTTTCGACTTTTTTTTTTTTTTTAGTGCCCCCTCTGCCCCATCTCCAACCCCTCCAAGATACCTTGGTACCGGGTGACGGCCTGATTCCATGAACCTCGAAATCACGACAACAATGACAACAGCTCGGCCATAACAATAAATAGCAATAGCATACGCTTCCAGAATCTCACACCTGCTCAGCTACGCGTCGTCGCTGTAGCTTCGTAGTCATCGCCTGGCGCCGGCGTGTCTGTCACCGCCCGCCCCCGCCGTTTCCCATATATTTGCTTTGTTCCCAAAAGGCACCTGTCGTCGTTCGTTGCACGCCTAGTCGCGCGCTCTTAGCCCTGCGGGGCACACTGCGACTTATCACGACCGACCCTGCAAAACAGCCATCTCCCTCCCCAATCTCCCAAATCCCCCGTCCAAGCCTTGTTGTCGCCTCTGACAACCAAGCCCCTCCACCTCCTTCTCCCCCCTCTCGCGACCGCTGCCACGACCGGTAGATTTGTAGAGGAGGAGACGGCCGCCCACCATGTCTCTGCTGCCTCCCGAGGTCGCTACCGAGCTGAACCAGCTCCTGCAGGCCCTGCAGTCGCCTGATAACTCCATACGATCCCAGGCCGAGGATCACTTACAGAACAACTGGACAGCCGCACGCCCCGAGATCCTGTTGATGGGCTTAGCCGAGCAGCTTGCTGGTGCCCCCGAATCTTCGGTAACTACCATCTCCCTTCCGAAATCCACCCCCCCCATTGTGAACACGATCGGCTATTCGCGTGTAACCAGCCTGACCAGTGGATACGGATTGACCTACCTATCTATTTGCTTCACTAACTAATCTAACTTCTCTCTAATCAACAGCTTCGTTCTTTCGCTGCCGTCATATTTCGTCGAATCGCTTCTAAGACGAGAAAGACCGATAAAGGCGATAATGCCGAGATATTCATTTCTCTACCACCTGAGCAGGCCCAGGTTATCCGCCAGAAAGTCCTCGAAGCTCTAGCCAACGAATCCGATCGATTGGTAAGGAATAAAATCGGAGATGCCGTGGCTGATGTTGCCCGGCAATATTCTGAAAATAGTTGGTCAACCCTTTCCTCCTCTCTTGATCCATAAGTTTGGGTTACTTCGTATATGCTGCCTTAATCTCCAAGCCACGCGTCGGGGGTTATTGCCCGCTGCGTGTAGCATGTTTCGTGTTATCTGTGTCCCAGGAGATAAAGAGTCGTTACCAGGCGTGCCGTATCTGTCTTAAGCCTGTATCTAACTGTTTCGCAGGCGACCAATGGCCTGAGATTCTTGGGGTTTTATTCAACCTGAGCATGGCGAGCGATGTCGGTCAGCGCGAGACCGCTTACCGCGTATTCGCAACTACACCTGGTATAATAGAAAAACAGCACGAGGGTGCAGTCATGGAGGCGTTCGATCGTGGCTTCAAGGACAACTCGGTCGCCGTACAGTTAGCCGCTATGGAGGCATTTGCTTCATTCTTCCGCAATCTCAGCAAGAAGGCCCAACCAAAGTACTTTTCGCTTCTTCCCACCGTCTTGAACATCTTGCCCCCGATCAAAGACTCGCAGGACTCCGATGACCTTAGCAAAGCTCTATTGGCTCTGATTGAGTTGGCTGAGACGTCACCGAAAATGTTTAAACCCTTGTTCCACAACCTTGTCATGTTCAGCGTGAGCGTCATTCAGGAGAAAGAGCTGTCTGATTTGTGCCGGCAGAACGCTCTCGAACTCATGGCCACCTTCGCTGACTACGCTCCGTCAATGTGCCGAAAAGATCCTTCCTATACGAATGACATGATAACCCAATGTCTAAGTCTAATGACCGACCTCGGAGAGGACGATGACGACGCAGCTGAGTGGCTAGGCAACGACGATCTAGAGTCTGAAGAAAGTGACCTGAACCATGTAGCCGGTGAGCAGTGCATGGATCGGCTCGCGAATAAGCTTGGAGGGGAGACAATTCTGGTTCCTACCTTCCATTGGTTGCCAAGGATGATGACATCTATGGCTTGGAAGGACCGCCATGCCGCACTAATGGCAATTTCCGCCATCTCGGAAGGGTGCCGTGACCTGATGGTTAAAGAGCTGGACAAGGTTCTCGAACTTGTTGTCCCTGCTTTGAAGGACTCTCACCCTCGAGTGCGTTGGGCTGGTTGTCAGGCGCTGGGTCAGATGAGCACGGATTTTGCGCCAACAATGCAGAAACAGTATTACGACGTTATCCTCAAAGCTATTATTCCCGTCTTGAACTCTCCCGAGGCTCGTGTAAAAGCACACGCTGCGGCGGCTCTTGTTAATTTCTGCGAGGAAGCGGAGAAAAGTATACTTGAACCCTACCTTGACGAACTTCTTTCGCACCTATTCCAGCTTTTGCAAAACGAGAAACGCTACGTTCAAGAACAGGCTCTCTCGACTATCGCCACAATTGCAGACGCTGCCGAAGCTGCCTTCTCTAAATACTACGACACTCTCATGCCTCTCCTTGTCAACGTCTTGCGACGTGAGAATGATAAGGAATTCAGGTTGCTACGCGCCAAAGCTATGGAATGTGCTACTTTAATCGCTTTAGCTGTCGGAAAAGAGCGTCTTGGAAATGACACTATGACGCTAGTGGATCTTCTAGCGAACATTCAAGCAAACATTACTGATCCTGATGACCCCCAAGCGCAATACCTAATGCATTGCTGGGGTCGGATGTGTCGTGTTATGGGCGCCGAATTTCTCCGTTTCCTACCCGCCGTGATGCCGCCTCTAGTTGAACTAGCTAGTGCCAAGGCGGATATTCAGCTTCTTGATACAGAGGACGAAATTGAACAACTACAGCAGGAAGACGGATGGGAACTAGTTCCACTTAAAGGGAAGATGATCGGGATTCGAACTAGCACCATGGATGATAAACATATGGCAATCGAACTGCTTGTGGTGTATGCACAAACCTTAGAGGGCCAGTTTGCGCCTTATGTGGCCGAGATCATGGAAAAGATTGCACTTCCAGGTCTAGCCTTCTTTTTCCATGATCCCGTTCGGTTTATCTCAGCCAAGCTGGTACCGCAGCTTTTGAGTTCTTACAAGAAAGCCTATGGGCCGGATTCTAACGAGCTTCGTGGATTATGGGCTGGCACAGTAGACAAACTACTCGAAGTCCTGACAGCAGAGCCCGCTATCGATGCCTTAGCTGAAATGTACCAATGCTTCTACGAGTCTGTTGAGGTCCTTGGCAAGAATTGCCTCACTCAGGAACATATGGGCAAATTCATTGATGGCGTCCACTCTGCTATTGAGGATTACAAGGATCGCGTGACCCAACGCGAGGAAGACCGAGCCGGTGCCACTGCAGAAGATGCGGAAGATGAAGCCGAAGATCTCTTACTTGCCATTGAGGACGACCAGACTCTGCTTGCCGATATGAACAAAGCCTTCCATTCAATCTTCAAGAACCACGGCGCCACTTTCCTCCAGCCCTGGGAGCGTCTTATGGGTATATATGAGAGTTTCCTCACATCTCGCGACCCGACACAACGCCAATGGGGGCTTTGTATCATGGATGACGTCCTGGAGTATTGCGGACCAGAAAGCGTGCGATATGCTCAATCTATAAGCACTGCGCTTCTTGAAGGTTGCAAGGACTCTTCTGCGGCAATCCGCCAAGCAGCTGCGTAAGTCAACGATAAATTTCATTTCGTAATAGTGCACGACCAAAGAAGACACGGCCGCTTCCCTCTATATCCCCAGCATCAAAACTATAACATGAGACGATCGTTGACGATTTCTAGGTATGGTATTGGAGTGGCAGCCCATCATGGCGGCATTCACTGGTCTCAGTTCCTCGCGTCCTCCTTACCGTACCTCTTCCAAGTCACACAGGTACCGGATGCACGCGGCGATGAGGCTGTCTACGCTACAGGTATGCTTTTCCGGTGCCTAGCCATGGGCATTCATATATTGTGGGTCGCTTGTTAGGCGTTCGACAGGCTAATAACCTTCTATAGAGAATGCATGCGCTGCCATCGCGAAGATTTTACACTTTAATAAGCAAAATGTGGAAAATCCTCAGGCTGTGGCAAACCAATGGTATTTAGCTCGATTCCCGAGGTAGTTACTCATTGCTAACTGTGACAATCCAGGGTTAATACGCTCCCAGTCACTAATGATGAAGAAGCAGCACCATATGCGTACGGATACCTAGTGGAATTGATTGAGCAGTAAGTCTTTCCAGCCCTTCCTTTTGCACTACTCAATGCCTTCGACATTTTCCAGAGCCCAGACCTGGGGCTTTGTTTCTCTAAACTAACAGTTTTCAAGGCAAAACCCAGCCGTTACAAGCCAAGTAGACAAGGTCTTTGTTTACGTTGGGCAAACTTTAGAAGCGGAAATGCTTCATGGCCAGCTTGCCGCTCGTGTTGCTGGGGCCGTCCAGAACCTTCTTGTTGCGGCTAACGTTGACCCTATACCTTTATTACAACAGCATTTCCAACCTGCAGGGCAAGAGATAATTCGTCGCCATTTCACCTAGGCAGGGAAAATTGCACAAACGATCTCGCTGATGACCATTCTCCACAAATGGGAGTCCTGCCACATGGATTTAGGTAACTAATCTGCATTGCCTCGGTCATCAGAATCAGACGGGCATCGCCTAGAGAGGCGAGTAGAGGTGCCTATGGAATCAACAATATGTGTTTTTTGATACCATAATCTGTGAAGGTGTCATCGGCCAGCCTTATATATATCAAGCGCAAGGGCTAGCATCACACTTTTTATCTTCTTTCCTTGCTTGGATGCGGGGATATATTCTGCATATCCCTGGTGTTCGGCCATAGGAAGATGGGCGACAGAGTCACAGCGCCATAGTCCGATTCAATATTCACGATTCATAGGAGGCTTGCGAGTGAATGGGATCAACGCCTGTATGTAGCCTACACTCGAGGTCTTTCAGATAGATAGAGACCTTCTGTAAACACGCCAAGTCAATAATTCCATTGAGGAACCTTGAAGTGTTGTTGGGAGATAAAATAGCGTTATACATATCTTATCTACTCCCCTAGCTTCTTTCTCTGTGGGGGTTTGATGGAAAGCTGACAGACTAATCAATACTAATACTCACCCCGAGGTATATTCACGTGCAAACAGAAGAGAAGTGTGGCTTTGTAAGCCTTGTAATGCATCATTTAGCAGCGCTCGGGGGAGTAAGCACGGGATTGCTCAGAAAGAGAGGGAGAGCCTATTGAAATCCGATGCTATACTTATTGGCCTTGGAGTGATCTCGATTTCTCCTCAATCTCGCCGAGCTTCTTGGCCATAACATCGAGGGCGTGATACACACGGCAACTGTTGCTGGAATGACCTCTGTCCTTGATGAGCACTGATGCGACATATTTCAGCTGGCCTTTCTCACTGAAGCGAGTGATGTTCCCTGCAATCGCCTGTGCAAACTTAGCCCCAACGTCGCGATCCATAGGCATCCAGTCCCTGTCGAATCTCATGTCTCCACGGCTCATTCCCCATGCCATCTATGTACCACGCTAGAATTTCTGGAAGGGTGCCAGCTAGTTCGAGCTTCCCGTTGGCTGTGGCGGCTTCGGGCGTCATCACTTCTCCGAGAGATCTGAGGATCTCTCGCTTCGTCTGCGCAATGGACTCCTGCTCGTTGATGTCTTCTTTTCGCTGGAGCTCCTCGAGACGCATTAAGCGGTTTTTGAGTTGCTTGACTGTGGGGATGCTAAATTTCACTCTTCCTTTTGGTAGCCTAGGTTAGGGTGTTACTAACTATCTTCCATATTCGCTCTATTCCATCTCGAGGCAGTGGCGGATGAACCTCCTAATGGCTTTCGAGTCGTAGTCACTTCACTGGCGGATCGGGATGGCTGTGACCATCGCTCTGCTGCAAACGGCCTCACCATCCTGCTTACGGGTTGTATAACGGAACGTCTGATATGAAGAAAGTTGCGAAGTAGGGACGATATAATAATGATACCCCCCCTTGAAAGTGTATAGGCAGTTTAGTTAGGAGGACTAGGGCAGAAGGCCTTCGGGATGATTTGATCCTTACTTTTCAGCTACTCGTTAAATTGTATGTAGGTCTAGCTTAGTGTACCTGCATTCACCTAAAGTGGGATTGTGGTATCCTCAGCCGCAACCCCTCTAAGCTCTAACTGAATATCTGAATCCTGAGGCTCCCCCGGCGGCCTGGTCGCATTTCGCTTGAGGAAAGTTAGATCCGGGAATATACTTCTCTGAGGAATAGGGAAATCAGTTGCGGCTGCAAGTATAGTCTATCCTATTCTCTCTACTCGCTGACATGGGTTAAATCAACGACTTGGCAAAGCGCATCGGCCAAACAATGCTTTTATGATAAGATCTCTACCATCCCTATTTGCCCCACAAGTGTTGAAAGCGAGGCAATGAGTGGGAATTTCATTTAATCATTGGTATTTCTAAGGTAAGAAGTGTGTTCGTAGGTGTATCGACAAGACATGACACGTGAAACGTTGTCATATCAAAAATTATGCATTGGTCAATTAGAGAGTCGTACAAGTATGAGGGTGCGAGAACGCGAGAGAAAAGATAAAATGTCTATATACTATCTGACTCAATATCACTTCCTTGATAAGGCGTATACCTATATAGCATGGGCAAATATTTCCTTGTGCGTGTGTACAGCTACCCTTACTTTGTGAGGATTATAAGATTAAACCTGGGGATACTCAATTGTTGATATAGGCAACTCGCAAGCAAGAAGGCGACGAGCTCGACAACATCTTTAAGGCAATGTAACCATATGATGTAATTAATATATCCTACCCCACGCTTGCTTCTATTGAATACGCCAATTATAATAATCCCAAGTCTTGCTTTGGGCTGTATCGTGTTTAAGGAGATTGAGTATTCCCTCATCAACTACCAAGAAAAGAAACAACGCGGACACTAGATGGCCATTGAATTCCCTTGCGAAAACTTTGTCCTCTTAGAAGCCTATTCTCGACGGCGTCAGTGCCCAAGTCTTTTATCGTACCAGAAGCACGACACTGATTCCGAACAGTTACATTCCTATCAGGGCTAGGCTATTCTGATAGTTGAATGATACAATTTCTCCAGCAATGGCTACTTAACCTCATTGGCCACTATTTTAACTTGTTGCCGAATCCATGCAATTTTCTCTCATGGGGTGAGCATAGTGTCACAGTACAGTACTATATAGTGAGTGCAGAGACGTCAAGCCTTCGACTTGATAACTCGTCGTTACCTTTTGGTGGCGTAGTGGCATAGTACTGCACTCCTTTGTCATTCCGTGACACATAGATCATATTCGGGCCCTAGTAATATGCGAGAGTTTGTTGTGATCTTGGGATTGGCAACGATGACGATATCGCCGCATGAGAGGCGGAGGAAACCCGCGGTTTCAAATTAATTAACTCATCACATTGGGTTTCGAACACAGTTAGCTGAGGTATGATTGACATGGTAGTAAGGAAGCCTGGTATATACCTAAGTATGCGGAACTAGAAGTAGCATACCCATTTTCTCTAATTAGCCGGAGGAATATTACTGGAGCGAGGCTTGGACTGTAACCGTGGAATCCGGGGTTCGTACCACCGCCTGCAGGACCACAACCTCGTTACCCTCCTTCCGGCGCTTCCTATTTCGTGTTCGGCATCCCATCGCTCCATCTACTCTACGCTAGCAGCGGGCCCGCCAGCTGCACACAATGCATGATACCGTGTGTTCGGATAGCTACCTGTCCTAATCACACAGATGCAGCGTGACGCTTGCCAGCCTTACCTTTCTTGGCTCTCAAGGCCTTGGATGCTGGAGTCGCGGGCCGTGTAACTCCAAATCCGTGCGGGTCTCGGCGATTTCAATGGTGGAAGAATCGCCACGGACGAGGACGTCACTTGGACCTCAATGAGATCGAAACACGGCACGGCGGAACTGGTCATCATGGAGGTGAATAGAAAAGCTTCGACAGCCGCCTGTCTTCCTGCGTAACTATACCATTTGGAACTGTGCGATTAGCTCATTTGCTTCGAAAACTGGATTGTTCTCAACGACAAACAAGACACGACGAATCAATAAGTCAACATGAAGAACTTCGTACACCTCGCCGCCCTCCTGGCACTCACAGTCGACTCTGTCTCAGCCCACTACATCTTCCAGCAGCTCACTGCGGGCTCTACAAAGTTCGATGTCTTCCAATACAGTATGCGGTCCTGCAAGACCTTGGTAATAGCTTCGGTCATTGTTATGATAAGAAGACTAAGATAGTGCTCATCCAATAGTCCGAAAAAACAGCAACTACAACTCCCCCGTCACAGGTAATTAATATACTAATCCTAAGATTACGGCTATTTCATTAATCTCGTTGCAGATCTGGCTTCAAACGACCTTCGATGCAATGTAGGCGCTTCGGGTGCTAGCACTGAGACCATCGAAATGCAAGCCGGTGAATCTTTCAGCTTCACCCTAGACACGGCTGTCTACCATCAAGGACCCATCTCCATGTATGCCCAATCTGTATTTCTCTGTGGCCAAGTTTGCATTACTAATCCTGTCGTCCCAGTTACATGTCCAAGGCCCCCAGCGCCGCTGCCAATTACGACGGTTCCGGAGAGTGGTTCAAAATAAAAGATTTCGGTGCGTGCAGTACTTTGTATAACCGGTGATACGAGACCTGTTACTAATTAACAACTGGTTTAGGCCCTACATTCAATGGCGGAAGTGCCAGCTGGCCGCTACAGCGTGAGTATAGCTATATATCTGCGATTACGGAGACAATACTGACTTGCTCGGTGTCCAGAAACATACTCTTACACGATCCCTAAGTGTATCGAAAATGGCGAATATTTGCTACGCATCCAGTCGCTCGCTATCCACAACCCTTGGCCCGCTGGAATCCCTCAGTTCGTAAGTCATACTCTTCCTAGTCTAGTTGGATCTATGCCCGCAACGCTAGGAATAACTGTCGCTAACTTAAAGTGCCGTAGTATATCTCTTGTGGTAAGCTAAATATCAGCATTCATTCCCTAGATACCATAGTATTTCCGCCTACTAGAACCGCACGATTGACATACAACCATTCCAGCCCAGGTTAAGGTGACAGGAGGTTCCGGTACTGCCAACCCGACTCATGCTTTGATTCCTGGAGCATTCAAGGAGTCCGATCCCGGTTACACCGCCAACGTGAGTTTCTAATCCCACAGTTTCACATCATTATGCTTGAGTAATGGTCGGGAACTTACATCGTTATTAGATCTACAGCAACTTCAACAGCTACACAGTCCCCGGGCCTGCTCCTGTGAGTTTACAGCACCTACCTGCATGAACCCGCGCTCAAGATACTGATATCGTCCTAGTTGACCTGTTAAATGAACACGCAACCAATTTAAATAGGTGGTAGCCATGAGATATATAGCGAGTATTCGTCTGATCAACTTGGATTCGACGACCTGTCGTCTGCAGGTCGTTTTGATTCGGCACGAAGGTCATCTCGCGAGGGCGATCCCGAGTTCTGGGCAGCGCTGGAGGAAAAATAAGAATGAGTAACGGCAGCTAGATAGCAGCTGATCCAGCCTTCAATTTGTATATATTGTGAGAGTAGACTCAGTACGTTGCTGCTATCAACATTCGCTATAGATATTTTCAACATCAGTACGATTAATTTCTTCATTCCTGGATTACCGTGGGATATGCGCACCTGTGCTTCGGTGAATTCGGTTAGGACCATTCAGGAGTAGCAAAGCCAATGAGATTTGTCCATATATATACATATAAATGCATATCTTGTACTCCGTACTTGCCCATGTAAAATGCCTGCCGATGAAGGGATGAAAACCGGGCATCGACCACCGGGCCCACAGTGGCAGCTAATGCAATCAATTAAGGTTACTGAGATGCAAGTTGCCGACGGCATCACAAAAGCATGTTTCACCCTACAATATAATATGTCTTCCCAGATGGCAACTCTCCCATCGTTGACAGACGAGCCAACACTCTATCCCGGGTGTTGCTTCAGCCTATCTCGGCCTTTACTCGCCACAATCCGCGCTCTCCTCGAATCCATTCCCATCCTCACGCCTCCTGATGTGAAACCGAGTAACAGCAGCAGTGAGCATGCATCTGTCTTACTCTCCATCGGAAGCGGCACAGGTCTTCTAGAAGAGCTTTTGCAAAGGTATTTAGAGAGCAGCGAGGCTCGTGACTCTAGCCACCATTCTTCATCCTCTACTTGGCGCGTCGAAGGTGTCGAGGTGAACCCTGCCGTGAACGTCTATCTCCCAGAAGACCGCATCAACCACGTCGTGGGCACATGGGCGGTCCTCGGGTCGCGAGCGCGCGATGCGACGGCGCTCATGTTTGTGTATCCGCGTGACGGGTCTTTAGTCCGGCGGTATATCGACCGTACATCCATGACGATGGGTCCGACATCGCGTACTACCTGCGGAGGCGTCCAGGCTGTACTCTGGCTTGGTCCGAAATGCGATTGGGAGGATACCGGTCTCGGCTCCTTCACTACGAGGGATGAGTACGAGATCTTTGAGATGCGAAGTAGCACTGGGTTGGCTGGATATGAGATGCTCGCTGTCCTTCGACGAAAGACGATAGCTTCACTGGCCTAGTATGGATTCCTCCGCACCTCGTTATTAGCATTTGAAGTATGACACAACCGTTATGCACACGGAAGAAGGATCCTTCAAAATACGACAGAAGTGAACAGCCGACATTCACTATTGAGATCAGGATCTAACTCGGGGATGGTACATTCGACGATGGGCTACCATATCTAGCATTCCTTGTATTGTATGTTCTGTTCCTCTAGATGAGTGCTCGTCTATCAAAATTCCATATTGTCTCCTCATTACGAGCTTTCTTGGAATGCTCCTTGCTGTCAATCTAACTAAGCCAATCATAACGTTCATGAGAAATTAAACGAAGTAATACTGTTCATTAAACCCCCCGAATTCCAATTACGACACTTTGTAAGGTGCCTATTACCACGAACAGTAGTGTATCGATGACATCAAAATGAAAACCCAGTTAGCCAAAACGCCTGTGCTGATGCCTCGACGGTCTATACAGGAATACCAAACCATTGGCGGCCGATCTCCAGAACATGGAACACGTAGAAATCATTTCCAGAAGACAATGGTGGACTCAAGAGAAAGTCTCGAAAGGGCAGCCGAAGCATATAAGCCTCATCCATCCACAATATCGTCGGTAGTATGCGATTTGGCAACAATCTTCCTAGGGACTACCCGTGGCTGGGGTCCTGGTCGCGTTAACTCCGAGTAGCCCGTTAGCATGGATGTTGGCCTCCATCTCTGCTAGCACGCTTTTCTTCACTACTAAATCGGGATCAATCTCATCGCCTCCTACGAAAGTCCAACTCTCTTCTTCTGATTCATCATCGCTGACTATCTCATCAGGGTTACCGGCTGTGGCGGCATTCTTTCCCGCCTTCGAAGCCACAAGGCTCTTTGCATACTCAAGGTCTCGGTAAATGGATTGTATGGCTGCACCAACGCCATCTTCCTGTGTTGGGTCAGTTCAGGTTCAAGGTGAAAAGTGGAAGGTAAAAGAAGCCTCAATCTTATGCCACGAACCTTGCGGATAGCCTCGCCTAAAACCCTTGCTTTGACAATCATCCTTTCACTATGTGTAGCTTCCCAAAGCGCCTTTGCGAAACTGTTGGCTCCCCATTTCTTCAGACATATACCAACTCCTAGGTCCTCGACCCGACCTCCAAAGAAGAATTGGTCTCCGAAAAAGGGTCGGATGATCGTTGGGATACCCGCTCGAAGACTGGCACCCGTGGTTCCAGATCCTCCGTGGTGAGCGGCTGCGTCAATCTGACGGAATAGCCAGTCATGTGGCGCACTTTTGATTTGGAATATCTCTGGTGGCAGCACATGCTCTGGTATCGACGCCTGTGCTTTGTCTAGCCGGTCTGACCACCCCTTCGATAGGATACACCGCACATCAGCTTTCAGAACAGCGTCAATAACATCTTGCGTCATCTTAGCTGGGTCGGGAACTATGATTGATCCGAAGCCGACATAAACGAGCTTTTTACCATCGCTTCGAGCTTTTTCGATGAAATGTCTTAGGTCGTCTGGTGGCGTCCAGTCCAGGCCCTCGTCCAAGAACCAATAACCTGTCACACGGATCCAATCACTGTAATCCAGTGGGGGAGCGACTACGGCGGGGGAGAAGTTGTAGAGAAATGGCACCTTGTTCGGCTGCAGTTTCTCTAAGTTCGTGTTGGGTAGCCCGAGCGTAGTATTGCGCCAACGGTTGATTTGGTGCGCGGTAGCCTTCCAAAACACATTGTCAAACATAACGTACGTTATATAATTGTACGCACCACCCATCTTGTGTTCAGGCACGATGAATGCATGAGGATAGGCGCGCGTGCGTGTCCATGGCATGGTAAAAGCCCGAAAATACGGAATATTCAGTGCCTCAGCGATATGAATGCCTGCCATGGCACTAGGACTTTCAATCAGAAGATCAGAACCCTCGCATGCGGTATACGCAGATGCCAATAATCCATCAAGCCAGCCACGGAAGTTCGTGTTTGCTTCTCGCAGAAAGGCCCACGTAAATGTGCCGTTCTCGATGCAGATGCGCAACAGTTCGCTTGGATCACCCGCGACTGGCGCAAACTCAATACCATGTCCTTCTATCCAATCCCGAAATTCGATATGAGTAGCGATTCGAGGTCTATGACCCTCAGCTAATAATCCCTTACACAGTGCGATATATGGCTGTACATCGCCCCTCGACCCAATTGTTAAGCAGGTAATTCTCAGGGACTCGGCTGGCTTGAAGTTGAGAAAGGATGCTTTGGGATCGTCGAATAGTATGGTGGCAGAATCTGAAAGACCAGAAGCTTCTTGAGGCATCTTTAGTTCATGCTCATTACCTTCCCGTAGACGCGCTTCGTTGAGGGCGTCACGCTCGGCTAATGCTCCACCCTCTTCTTCTGGATGATCTTCGTCGAGTTGGCCGGCTTCGCGCAGGTAACGTGTCGCCTCGAGCTTCCGTAACAAGGTCACAGCGCAATCATCTCTGACATCACCCTGACTGAACTCGAAGAATAGCTCTTCATGGCCACGGATTACGACCACCAAGCCAGAATATCCAAAGCGGAAGCCCATTTCTTTATCAACAGTCTCAATATCTTTGAGTGGAAGAATGAGTTTCGTCCGGGTGCCAGGCAATAGACTACGGAAGCAGAAATGTCGATCGCTGATGTAGACTTTGCCGTAAAGCGGCAAGACACGGATGAGAAACCCGAAGTATGTAGCTTGGAGCTTCTCAGTCTGAGGGAGAGCAAAATGACTGCGGAAACGTTCCATTGCCGTTGCATGCTTCTCATCAATGCTGTTGTTCTCGTCATCAGCCGCGTCATCGGCCCTGAGACCTGAGGTTTCGTGGTAGTGTTTTCTGCCCCCTTTCCACATACCCGAAACTTTCTCCACATACCCCATTGACTCTGTAGCGAGCAAGTTACTCATCCGACGGCTTGTCTGATTCAGATAGTTTGCAAAAATCCCAGCTCTCTGTAGAGGGTAGGTACCCATCTTGGCTAGGTTTTGAAGCCTTGGCGTTGTTGCTCTATCAGGTCGCTCTCCGTGAACAGAATCGTTTGTATGTCCGGTTGTCATAGCATGAGCTAACGGCTGGGATACTTCGGGCTGGCTCCCATCTTTCATATCCTTGTCTAAATGCTGGATCGGACCGGGTTGTGAGGCGGGGTTGGAATAACGAATAATAGGTCTATGAAATACCTCGCTCCCTTTGAGAATCTGACTGCCAGAGGGGTCCTCATTCGACGACGCCACTAGGCCAGACATATTGTGATCTTCCATAGCCTGAACAAAAGAATCGGATGATTCATGATATTCTTGCGATGTAGTGCTATCATACTGGCTCTTGCCAAGGGATTGGCCGCCACTAAGGCTTCTTCGTGGGCGATTGGCGTTTCCTAAATGATCAAGCTCTAGGCTTCGACGTGCAGATTTATGAAACGTATCGCGTGAAAAGTCACCGCTCAGCCGTGAGCTTGAACCCTGATGAGGCCGAGATGACCGAAGAGATAAAGTTGCTTTGACATGTTCATGTACTTTTGGTGACCTGGGTTCACTGGTACAAGGGTTTTGATTATCAGACGCTGAGTCGGACTTGACCCCAACGAGAGCCCGATGGGCGGTGTTCTGATCACTCTCACCCGAATGCCGACTGGCAACATCTTCCACGAGTCCTTTGAGTACATTGATTGCTTCTTTCCCAAAACTGAAGAAAGAGAAAAAATACTGTAGGTCGTTAATGAAAGTCTCATAGCAACGTAAAGAGGACATACCTCGTCAATGGAATATGTTTCGTCATTGTCGATAACGCGAACTTTGCAAGTGTCAGCAAGCTCGATCATCTGACTATCTTCGACATCTAATATATTTTCGATGGGAAGAGATATCTTAACACTGTCGCCTTCATTGTGTGAGCGGAATATGACGCGCTGGAGACTTTTCACCCATTCTTTGGCACTGGGTGCGCTATCGGCCCGGAAATGATAAGTTCGGTGATGTGTAGCGACTGAAAAGTGAACAGCATCTTGATCCTTGTCGGTGACATTCGCCGAGATCGCATAGCGAAGATCAATCTGCCCATGTGGAAAGTAGAGATTGGATGCATCGCGGTAATATGCCAGTACATCGCCCTTTAATCGAAACCAATACCGACTATACTTGGGATTTCTTTTGCCACTCTTGGCCAGATACCCCGATTTTGCAACTTCGTGCTGCAAAAGTGTCAGTTATGACAAGGCTAACGAGAATAAAAAATCATCACTCACAGCTTTCCGTGGTAAGTAGGCATAGAAACAGATGTGTCTTGATGTAATGTACAAGTAACCCTGCAAAAGAACACTTTGTAATAGCCAGCAGGGATATTCTGACATGACTATTAGCAATGCGTCAGTTCATAGAATTGGCACACATACCTTTTACAACTTCCTCTGGATAATCGAACTCAAATATTTCCTTCAGTTTTCGGGCAAGGTCGCTGTGTCCTGTTTCATTTACTTCGTCTTGTCGGTGTTTCGGTAGGCCTTCTAAATCGAAACTGGGCCGCGAAGACATTTCTGCTCTAGCTTCTAGCATACGGCTCATAACAGGGGCCACTTGTTCCGCACGATCGGCGACGATGGATTCGACGGCAGGTAATTGCAGCTCGGGCGTGGTAGACGTCGACATCTCGCGGCTGGCTTTGGTACTCGCGCTGGAGAGTCGAGAGGGCCTTAAACCTGAGCGTTTGCTTAGGATGCGTGTTGAGGTCTGTGGCAACTGAGGTAAGGATTGTAAGAGCTGCTCATTTGTTATACGGCTCTCCTCCTTGTCGACGGCATTCTTCTCTTTGCTAGATGAACTCTTTTTGAGAATGACGCTCTTTGAAACTTGTTCGGGATGCTTTCCCTTTCCTTTTGCTTTCCCCTTCGTATCGTTGTCGTCGGGATGACCATCCTCGTCCGCCTCATCGCTGGATTGGCCTTCAAAACGATCGTTGAAGTCTACGTTCGAACCGGCGGCGGCGATGAGGCCGAATATCGATTGGTTCATATTCATGAACAGGTTCGGGCCTTGGCTGGGCGGGAGTACGTCTTCGTCTGCATCATCGCCAAAATCTTTAAAGCGGTCGGGGAAATTCAGGGTCGGGCGGCGGCCTTCTTTGAGCCTTCTAATGCTCTTCTTTCCGAGTCGTCGCCGTGCGGCAGGGTCCTGTTCGGGATGGGAGGCCATGGTTCGAGCTAGCCTGAAATGACGGAGCAAAGTTTAAAGCATAAACTCTGTAGAGGCGCTTACAAAGAGAATGATTTCGGGTGTGAAGTATAACGGCAAGGAACTTGGGACGGAGCGTTGCAACGCAATCTGAGCCGATATACGGATCGGTCTTCACCGGACGCCAAGCAAGCTGACAACAAGAAAGGCAGTGTAGCAGGCTCTCTATAGAGACATGTAAATAATCAACAGAACAAGGAAACGCATCAAGGAACCCGAGCACATCAGCCGGCCCGAGGCGAGAACATTGAGAGATTGAGAGGCGGAGGATGAATGAAAGAACAATGCCTAGCTAGAACTAAGGCTCTAGGCAATACGACGAAGGAGATCTACCCTGTAGGCATAATACGGTGGATGGAGCTGGAGGCGTGCAGATATCGAAAGCCGGGTTCACTTGATCTTGATTGGATGCTGCTATGGTAGCAAGGCAGGGACATGATGCGCGGGTCATCAGATTCACGTAGCGTACCACGCATTCACTCAGCCCAAGGCAGCACTGGCTCGCTGGCCTACAGTTTAGACGGAGGCAGACAACAGAAGGCAGACAGCCGACTTCCTCTTCGAGTTGCCCTGGATGCCTACTTAGTCATCCGAAGCGCAGGCGAGACGCAGGCGAGGTGGTGGCGGCAGTACGATAAGCCCATGTTAGGCATGTGGTCGGCTACCTAAGTAAGGTTGGCGGTGCTCGAGACATGACGACGTAATGGTGCAAAAGACGGCAAGGTCGGTGGGACAAGTGAGAGAGATAAGAGGGAATGTACAATGTACCTATATACCTAAAAGTTACTTCGTACCTTAGGTAACTTTGGATGATAACCCTCCTTGTTAATAGACATTCGCTGCTCCTTGCTGGCTCACCTCTTCTACCTACCTATCTCTATCGACTCCCTATCTAATTACTACAAGTACTTACTTACTAGTTGTAATTGCCTGGTGCTCAGAAAGGCACGACGGTATCGGGGCCTGAACATTGGCGCAGGGGAATCCAAAGCCGCCCACTAATCAGAGCAGATCAGAGCAGATCAGAGGCCTGGAGATTATCGATAGACCGATACCTAGACCGATAGACAACAGGTCGACAGGGTGCCACCTGCTTAGGCACCACAGCCAGCAGGGATGCCACGCCCAAAGCTTACGGTAGGTACCCACCTACCCACCTACCCACCTACTACTTCCAACAGTACATAATGTACCGGTAGGTAGGTTGTGCTACTTAGGTATAGCGAGGTATAGGTATTACGAAGTACCTAAGTGCCTAGCCCGCAGATGACGTTGAGTCATGTCGAGTGGTAGGTAGGCTCGGTAGATTTACCTACTTACTTCGAAAGGTAGCGTAAGGTATGTTGATTTCCTAGTAGGTACATGAGGCAATTCTATCTTCTTACCTCCTACTAATCCTGTAGGTATGTACATGTAAGTACCTAGGTACATAGTACGGTAGGTAGGTCGAGAGTCATGTGCTGTAGGGAGGTACCTCTAAAATACCTAGGTACCTACTTATATACCTCCTTGTATGTGATGGAAGGCACGCCATGCCGTATATATAGTACCTACCTGTACTGTAGCCCTGCTAGGAATCCTCCCATCTAGATAGTCAATCCAATCCAGTTCATACAATGCCCTGACATTGTATGCCTACCTATCGAGGTACCTAGGTAGGTTCCTTAGCGCCTTCTACCCACTACCTACATGTACATAGTACCTCATACCTACCTACTTTCATATGTAGGTTTCAATCGCCTGGACAAGTGACCTGTAAGAGTGATCCTAGGCTGCTTAAGTAGGATTTCCCCGTGACCACGCTGAATTCACCATCTGGTACCAGAGCGGACGAGCATCACGCAATATCAGTCCACGCTTAAATGGGAGGGTGCAGATATTTCACGTTATATCTACCTTGAATTGATTGTGCAATATATCCTTTTTCAGACAATATACTAATTGCATGTACCGTTGATATTCCCACTTCGCATAACTATAGTAGGTAATTACACAGTAAGTAGTGAAGTACATACCTACATGATACTGAGATGAGATTACCTAAGCGTCTAGGAGCGCGAGCCCTAGGATTAATTCATAGAGTTCCCGCCCAAAGTTGTTTACCCGACAAGTAGTTGTCACATGCTCATTGGTACGAGATAATTGAACACATGTGCGCCCGGCGTTCACGGGCTCAACGGTGTATAGTTGGTAGAGTCACTCGAATCAATCTCCGTTCCCTTCGCGCCTCTAGAGCAATCACCAACCTAGAATTCGCTCCGTTGCGCTTACCCTTTGTTCTGCGTCACACGATGGGACATGAGACTCGAGATGACAGAAAGTGACAAGTCTGTTCTCAGATCAAGTAGTGCTACTTGAGGGTTGGTATACTAGACCCTGAAGATGAATTGGTCATTTGCAACTTTTCGTTGTGAGTACAGCTAGACTCAGGATTTCACCGCCAAGAAGGCAGTAGCCGCTGAACATGAAGGAAGAGAAGATGGAGAATATCACTGAGCGAACCCGGAACATAGATTTCCACCACCCATATACCCCTTACGACGTACAGCTGCAGTTTATGCGTACGGTATACAATGTTCTTGAGCGAGGAAATGGTCAGGTTGGCATCCTAGAGAGTCCCACTGGCACTGTACGAGGGTTTCTTTTCAGAAACATATAGTTAACCATACCAATTGCGCTGACTGTCATCAGGGAAAATCACTGTCACTTATCTGTGCAGCTCTGACTTGGCTACGGGGCCACAAGAGGAAAGCCTATGAAATCTCCATCGACACGGCAGCCAAACAGTTTAAGGATGAGCCGGAATGGGTGGTCGAGCAGCTACTTAAGAGAAAACGAGCTGAGATAGCCGACCTCTGGGAAGAGAGGGAGGCAAATCTGAGAGATATTCGAGCGAGAGAGGCTATGATGGAGCAGAGAGAGAAAAAGAGACAGAGATACATTGAGGCTAACGCCAACAAGGAAGTGGAAGATTTTGATGCCATCGAAGAAGAGTGGTTGTTAGACGAGCATGACGAAGAGGACGTGCCTAAATTTATCAATACGGGAGAAGAGGAAACTGGTGAGAGCAGGGAGGAGAACCAGGTCAAGGTGCGCTTAAACACACTCTGAACGCACCCAAATTTTATTAACCAAGTGTCAGATCTACTACACATCAAGGACACACTCCCAATTGACCCAATTTGTAGCAGAGCTACGCCGGCCGATGTTTCCATCGTCAGTTCCCCTCGAGTTTCTAAAGAATGACGAAGACCATGCGGCAGAAGCGGTAAAACACGTGCCGCTCTCTTCTCGTCAACGGCTTTGTATCAACCCCTCCGTTGCGCGTCTCGGGTCACTATCGGCGATCAATGACCGTTGCTCCGAACTTCAACAATCTAAGACTAAAGACAAGTGTCAATTCATCCCAAAGGCAGATAACCTCGGGGAGACCCATCAGTTTCGCGACAATGTGCTCGCTACCATACCCGATATTGAAGACCTCTATAACTTAGGAAAGAATTCTCAGGTGTGCCCATACTACGCTTCGAGGACGGCGATTCCGGGAGCAGAAGTCATCACCCTCCCGTATCCCCTATTACTCCAGAAATCCGCTCGAGATGCACTCGGTATCAAGCTTGACGGCAACATCGTCATTATCGATGAAGCTCACAACATAATGGACGCTATCGCCAACGTATATGCTTCTGAAATAGCCTTACGAGACCTAGCTCGTGCAAGGCTTCTGCTTGAAGTGTATGTGAAGAGGTTTGGTAAGAAGCTCAAGGGTGAAAATAGAGTCATGGTGGGCCAGGTGGCTAGAGTGGTCGAAGGTTTGCGTGCATGGATGGAGAATGCTCTTGGCCTTAAGGTACCTTAAAAATCTGCCTGGACCATTAGTCGTTAATAACTGCTGACGATTCACACTGCAGACCAGCCAAGGAATTGTTGACCCCAACGCACTGCTTAAACATAAGGGCATCGACCAGATCAATTTATTTAAGCTCGTTGACTACATTCAGAGGTCTAAGCTAGCCTACAAAATTGAAGGCTATGCAGCGCATATCGAAACGCAAGAAGCGACTAACTCTGCCACTCCACTTTCGTCAACACCTGTTTTGCACACGCTTCTATCTTTCCTCGTGTCACTAAGCAACCTAAGTTCTGAAGGACGTATATTCTACGAGAAGGCTGGTGAGAAAGGGCACGAAGACATTAAACTATCCTATCTCTTACTCTCACCAACACATGCATTCTCCTCGATCTCATCAAAAGCTCGGGCGGTTATTCTCGCAGGTGGGACGATGTCACCTTTCGATGATTATACCGCTCACTTGTTTCCAAATCTGGCTCCAGAGAGGATCACAACTCTAAGCTGCGGTCATGTTATCCCAGCTTCTAATCTTTGTGTCTGGGCACTTTCATCTTGCCATCCAAAAAACAATGTCAATAGGATAGAATTCGAGTTCAGTTATCAGAAACGAGGGGATAAGGCGATGATATGCGAACTTGGACTCGCCATCCTCAACATCTGCACGGTTGTTCCCGATGGTGTCGTCATCTTCTTCCCGAGCTATGGGTATCTCAATGAGGTAGTAGGTGTTTGGGGCGAGACAGATGGCAGACAACCTACATCTATCTTGAGCAAATTGCAGAGTAAGAAATCTGTCTTCAGCGAGTCAAAAGGGGGCTCCAGCGATGATCTGCTCGATCAGTATAGTAAAGCCATACTTGATGAAGACCCCAAAGGAACTGCGGTGAAAGCGGCCACCAAAACCAGCGGGGCCCTTCTTCTTAGTGTCGTTGGCGGCAAGATGAGCGAAGGCATCAACTTCTCTGACCGCCTCGGCCGTTGCGTCATCATCGTAGGGCTCCCCTATCCGAACATCAACTCGCCGGACTGGAAAGCGCGGATCGAGTACATTGAATCGACGACAATTACGCAACTGACGGAATGCGGAGCCCCTCGGCCTCGAAGTGAAGCTATAGCGGCAGCGAAGCAGGCGGCGAGGGAATTCTATGAAAATGCATGTATGCGCGCAGTGAACCAGAGTATTGGGCGCGCCATCAGGCATCGTAACGACTACGCCACGATCGTACTGGTGGACCGACGGTTCGGCACGAATCGAATCAGACAGAAGCTGCCTGGATGGATCCAAAAGGGGCTCATCAACGGCAGCGAGGATGGGGGACTAGGACAAATGATGAGCCATCTCAACGGGTTCTTCAGAGGCAAGCAATAGATAAGCCCCAAGAGGCTAATGAGAACACGACGAAAGGCGAATTATATATCCCAGATGAATGTGCCTGTTCTAGATAGATGCCTTCCCATACCTATTACTAAATTGGCATGGTGGACGCCATCTACGATGAACGATAAAGTGTAAAAGTGAGCTCAGAAACACTTTCTTCCTTCATCAATTTTGACATAATACGATGGTGCCGTGGCAATTTGTAATCTAGACTTCTAGACTATTGAAGGCAGCCATCCTCATGAAAGATCATCTGGTGAAGCAAGACTCTTTGTTCAGGAGATGAAGAAAAAAAAGAGGAGATGGACAGAGAAAAGGGTTTATATGTATTATCTATCTACCTTCATGCCTGCACACATTCTATTTTGCCATAATATTATTTTTTTGTGCAATGGGCAATGGGCAATGGTAATGGCGATCAGCTGTTTTTTGATCCCAGTGTCCACATCGGACATACTTAGGTAGTTGTAATACCTAGGGTGGCACTTCAGAAGGTGAGTGGTGTGATGTGGGATGGGAATGGGGATGGGGATCGGGGTGTGGCTTCAACTTGACCTTTGCTCTTATCCCATTCTTTGTCCCAATATCGAGCACGCGAATCAGTCAGCCACAGGTCTACTCCGTACACAGGTCAATAATCCCTGCAGGCATCGTCTTGAACAGAGCTTTGGAGCTCGCCCTCTGGACTTCTGGACTGGACTCTGGCCATCTCACCCCGCAAACGGACAAGGGGCGGCGACACTAGCGCAGCCGAGAGGTATTAAAGGAACTCCAATCCCCCAACCCATTGCGGCACCTCGGTCGCAGGAAGAAGGGCTTGAAGCAAGCAGTCATCAGGAAAAAGAAGAAACAGCCTACCAATACGTGGTACTGCCTCCGAAAACTCAACCACACATCGCATCACGTACCTGTCCACATTCTTGACGCCCGTGCAATAACGAATTCTTCTACCTTGGCCGCTATATTCCCACTTCCCGCCCACTTCCGCCCACTTCCGCCCCCCTTCTTTGTGTCATTCATTGTACACTGCCTGCCTTCTACCTAGAGACCCAGTACCAGGTACCGCATGTCCAGTGGTACATACCTACCTCAAGTACTACCTACCTTACCAACTTGATAAGCACCTGGTAAAGGAGAGAGAGGGACAGAAAGAGAGAGACAGAGAGTTGTTCACCATAATCCTTCCTCACTGGCCCAAGGAAGTCTACCTAAACTCATCAATTGTCGCCACCACCTCTTTCCTACTTTATCTACTTAATTAAGAATCTACCGACCGAGTGCTGCCGATGTACCTATGCATGCTTTCTCCCCTCCTTAGATTCTGATTCATCATACCTTTGACCTCAAGAAAACAACCAAAAAAAACACCTTTTCTCCTTCTTCCCCTCCATCCACCAAAACTAGCCCTCGGTTGGTACTGCCCACCTTTGGATCGTTTCTTGCGAGGTAAATGTGAGCATTTATTTGTTTCCTTACCACCTTTACCACCTTTCCCAAGGCTGCTTAGCACTTTTGCTTTTATCCTTATTATTGAACATTACTTCATACACCAAGACCTTCCGCCCTACTAGCATTACGCCGCCACCCCATATCGATATCCCTCTCTTATCACTCCCTACTCCTTTGCACCATTGCACCATTGCACCATTACCCCATTACCTACCGAGAGGTCGACAATTGATAGTATAAGGGTGTAGAGGGAGACATGGGTGCTGGTGCGTTGTGCCCCAATCCTGGGCTCGTACACTGTGTGCCTCCATCCATAGGGGCGCATGTATCCATGAACTGCTGCGACCCACCTCAACCTCCCCTTGGCCTGCCCTTGGTACCTCATGAAATGCCTACCTAGACCATCTGCCTGTTCCTCGTATCTTGTGTCCGGCTGTTGTATGACATCTGCCTGTCAGTTACAGTACAGTCAGTACCTGGCCAGGCGCTAGTCCAGGTAGCTATCCCAACCAAAAGACCGGGGCTAACCATAACTAGGTACCTATTTGCTCATAGATACTTGACCTGCCCGCTCAAGTGCTTACCTAGCTCTGTCTGGGTTTCCCTTCGCACGCCTGCCCGCTACCAACACGCATGCAAATCAAATCGCCATCCTTGAACAGCCTCTTTGTTCAGTAGTTTCATTAGTCCTCGCTGCATTTCTAATCTCGACAACCGCCGCAAGGGCGCAGTTCCAGCACAACCCTTGCACTCGACAAGACCAAACCAATACCGAGCCTCGAGATTGGGCCTTTAAACGCCCCTGAAGCTACGCATCTCTGCAGTTGTTACCCGTTTTGCGACAGGACGCGTCTCTGTGCCATGAGCACTATCGCGCATCCCACGCGCCACCTGCAATGGCAAAGACACTTAAGCTTGGACAGCGCCTCCGCTACCCGATAACGATTTCCAAGATCTTCAAGAAGCCTGGCGACGCTGTCGTTAAGAAGGAACCGATCCTGCAGTACACCTTCAAATTTGAACGCAAGATTGGGGACCCGGCCCTCAATGAAGAACGCACCATTCTAGAGAACGGCATCGCTGACTGGGACAGCCCTACCGAGGGCAGGATCAAACAATGGCGCGTCAAGGAAGGTGACGTTATAACCAAAGATCAAGACTTCGTCGTTGTCGAGGAAACCTGTAGCCACGAAATTCAATATGCCGGCCTCTGCGCTCTCTGTGGTAGGGACATGAAAGAACAGGATTGGGCTACTGAATCTCTTGACACCGAGCGAGCTACTGTCTCTATGGTCCACGACAACGTAGCTCTAACTGTTAGTCATAACCAAGCAGAACGAGCTGAAATGCAGCTCCAGCGACGGCTTCTCAAAGAACGTAAGCTCAGCCTCGTCGTCGATCTTGACCAGACCATAATTCATGCCTGCATCGAACCTACTATTGGCGAGTGGCAGCAAGATCCCGCCAACCCCAACTATGAGTCCGTCAAGGATGTGCGCAGCTTCCAGCTTGACGACGGCCCTCGCGGATTGGCGAGTGGGTGCTGGTACTACATCAAAATGCGACCTGGCCTGTTGGAATTCCTAGAAAGGATGGCCGAGAGATTTGAGCTTCATGTATACACGATGGGTACGCGGGCTTATGCTCTAAACATAGCTAAGATAGTCGACCCTACACAAAAGTTATTCGGGAACAGAGTCATCAGCCGCGACGAAAATGGTAGCATGACCGCCAAAAGTCTGCAGCGTCTATTTCCTGTAAGCACCAACATGGTCGTCGTGATCGATGACCGCGCCGATGTGTGGCCTCACAACCGACCCAATCTCATCAAAGTGACACCCTATGACTTCTTTAAAGGCATCGGCGATATCAACTCCAGCTTTTTACCGAAGCGTGAAGATATTATTACAGCAACTCCGGTTCCAGACCCGAAACCTTCAATACTAAATGGAAACGCAGCATCCGGTTCGCCAGAAAAGGTGGTGGCCAGAGCAGATGAAGAAAACGCTCTTCTACAATTGCAAACAGAGGAACAGGAGCGGACCCTAGAAAAGCAACTGAAGGACCGGCCACTTCTACATCTACAAGAAGAGTTAGATCGGGAAGATGAGCAAGCTGAAAAATTGTCTAATAAAGATGGCGATACCCAGGAAGTCGAGACCAACGGAAATTCGGAAACGCCTAGCCATCACCAAAGACATAATATTCTCCGCGACGATGACGAGGAACTAATCTACCTTGAGGATCACTTAACCGAACTGCACCGGTCTTTTTATGAGCAGTACGACGCCCGTGTCGCTACGCGCAATACTGAGGATATAACTTCGAGCATTGTACCCGATGTTGGTCTTACCCTAAACTATTTAAAGTCTCAAATACTTCGGGGTACGAGGATTGTGTTGTCTGGGCTTGTTCCACTAGGCGTAGACGTGCGAAAATCGGAAATCGGCATGCATGCTCAAGATTTTGGCGCTGAGATCCGTACACGGGTCGGCCCCGACGTGACTCATCTTGTTATCAGCAGTTCACGACCGAGAACTCAGAAAGTTCGCCAGGCAGCCCGCATTCCTTCTATCAAGATTGTGAATCAAAATTGGCTAGCGGATTCATTAGCACAGTGGCGAAAGCTCGATGCCACACCCTATTTGATCGAGATCCATCCATCAGACCGCTCTTCCCAAGGGACGCTGGTGACATCAAGCTCACCAACTAGGCCAAGGATCACTATTGTACAGACCGGGCATCGAGACCTGGAGCGAAGTCAGAATGAAGAAGCCGAGGATGGCGATGCAGATGACTCAGCAGAGGAAGACGAGATTGATGGAGATGACGATGACGATCTTGACAGGTTCGATATTATGCCAAGGGATCTAGAAGACGGCGAAGGTAGTCCAGTCGATGGCATAAATCAGACAGGCTGGGATGATATGGATAAAGAGCTCCAAGAGTTTATGGGATCGGATGCCGAGTCTGATCTCGAGAGTACGATGACAGATCAGAGTAGAGATACGGATACAGATGAACCCAAAAATAAGAAACGGAAACTAGGAGAAGCGGACGAAGATGGCAACTTCGATGAATCTCCTGGGAGCGTTTTATCGAAGAAACAACGTATCGCTAGAGCTCGGACAACCGCCTTGCGAAATGTAAAGAACATTGGAGATGAAGACGCCGAGGGTAGTGGGCTACCGACACCCATGGGAACGGGAGATGAGGAGGATGTGGTAGTCGAGGCTGCTAGTGATGAGGATGGTGACAGAGCCAGCAATGGTGTTAATGAAGATGGCGATGGTGAATTTGCTGATCTCGAAGCAGAGTTAGAGGCTGAACTCGAAGCTGAGGGCCAGGGCTAGTAGCGTCAGACCTGCAGTGTCATTTGAGTTGTAAAATAACGAGCCACAAGAACGATACAGGCGTTCTACGGTCTTGGGCTGCTTTCCTGGCATTTTTGGCGTTTAGATAGCAGGACTGGCACTGGCATTGAGAAAGGTTGGGTCTTTGGCGTGATTCTAGCCTATTGCATCGCGATTACGACTGTTGTACGCGATATTCAAAGTCATAAGCTGCATCATAAAGAGATAAACAAACCTCTTGTCTTCTATATATGCATCACTCCTCATGATCCTACAGGTTCATCTTTCTCGTTTGAACATATTGAATGGCACATCTGCCTCGTGCTATTAGATACTATCTATACTATGTAGACACTACAGTCATATACGTAGCAGAGCACATACTTAGTTTCAATGTACCTAGGGGTAATCAGCTTTCACGTGACTCTGCTTATGTAAAGCCATCTAGACCCACACCAAGCTCTCCCCCAGCAGTTCCAAGGTCGTCAGCACTTGTCCAAACTTGAGTGCTCAATTACGACCTTGTTACTTCAATTGACGCCACCCACGCCGAGATCCCGACCAGAAGACGTCGAGCGTCGTGTATATTCACGAAGGTCATACACACAGTTAGTTGCCCGCCATGCCGCAAGATATGCCCCCCGTTGGGGGCTACGGTCCCGTCCAATACAAGGTGAGCCATTGAGGACGTCTCACTCTCTTTCATTCTCTCTATACCCGTATCTCTATGCTTTGGTTAGGCTTCGCATCAATACGGGCTTTGAGAGAGGGTCGGAGGGGTGGTCGATCGGAAGAAGGGAAGGAGTACGGGAATGAAGACCAGAGGAGACTTGAGCCATAGGAATTTGTATAATATGGAGCGACAAGCAGAGGCGCCAATCCCAAACGATCGAGCCGAATACGATGAAAAGTACGACTTGCGGCAATGAGTGAATCGACGACTACAGCCTTGGAATTCAGATTATACTAGCAGCAGACCTGGCAGCTCTTAACGGCATCCCTGTTTTCCTCGATTCGGACGCACCTGCCAATAGATTGAACAGGAATAACTGGCCTATTATATGTATGAAGCGTTTGGGAATAGAGACTGGCTGTGTTCATTTACAAATAAGGGGGGTTGGAAGCGGCTTTCTGGGTATGCGAATGCGTAAGAACGAATGCTGACTGGATCGTAATGTAGCGCAACCTTCCTGCGAGCGGTTTTCGACCAGGCACATGGCTCGTTGCCATGGGCGTCGTCATGACTTACGGATTCTACAAATTGGGACAAGGTATTAGGGAACAGAAGTAGGTGGCTCTTTTGCGCAGCATGCTCTATTCTCATTCGAATTATTCCTTTCGATGGCCTGTGCCCTCTTTTTCGGCGCACCTACGGATATACCAAGTCGAAGAGGTGTTTTGCCTTTGCAGGAGACACACCGTTTTGGCTATAAGCGTGGCTGACCTAAACGTCAACCGTAGTGAGCTCGCCCGCGAGAAAATGTGGTCTCGCATTCACCTCATCCCCCTTCTCCAGGCCGAAGAGGACCGGGATCTTGTCCGCCGACATCTAGCTGACCAGGCTCGTGAGAAAGAGCTGCTGGGCGAGAACTTTAAGGTTTATAACTCTGAAAGGTGCGATTTTTTCTTCCTTGCCTTTTCTCTATTCAGTATTTTCGGTTGTGATTATGAATGCATTGCTCGTTGTCGTGAAGGGGTGAAGGGAGTCGTGATTATTAGACATCTGGCTTGAACACAATACTAAGATTCTCATTTGGCAGATACGTACGGCCGACGTATGCTGTAACCCCTACCACCACAACAAAATAAACCCACCGAGACTGAGGGCGGGGAATACCATGTCAGTGACATGAAGGATCACGAAAGTCAGACCACATGCATATAATGTGCCAAGCCAGGCTGGCAAAATGGGAAGAGCGTGAGTAGAGAGAGACTATCCATGAGAGGTGAGGCGAACTAAACCAAGAGGTGAGGAGGCACCGCGGAGGTCATTGTACATATTTTACAAACCTATCTAGACGTGTGCAACAAGAGCAACACTCAAATCTGAGGTGATGAAATGTTTTCTGTCAGTCTTTAGAACTGAAACATCATATGGTTTACTCGCTTAGTATTTACTACTGCAATCCTTGCGAAGATTGTTGCATCGGTTGGAGAACCGAGGCTTAATCTTAGCTTTCCAACTATCCTATTTGCCGAACAACATTGTTGAAGTGCAGCACGAGTATTGCTGTGTAGAGACTTCCTTTAGCATCCGCGACTGGATATCTCAACCTGAGCAGGTGGCCTCCAGGTTGCCGTAGCTATTGTTCATCAACATAAGTATTCAACAATGTATAAATGGACAATCCTTTACCATTTTGCATCAAGCTTCTATGTGTATATGAACGAATAAGGTCTACGCACGGACTTAGGTGATAACTTCATCAACATCAATTGCTAAGCTGTCGCAGACAGCGGGGCAAACCAAAGCCGAGCCAAGGGCTTATTATTGACATGAGCTACCGGTACCTTAACTCCTAACGTTGGTTCCATGTTGGTTCCATGTGGTGAAATCTAGCTGGCACACATAGAAGAAAAGTGCAGAAACATGGAAATAACTGGACTCCAGGCTTATATTCTTCTTCTAACTCCGGACCAGGTTAGCTAGTTGTTGTTCAAGAGCTTGTAAAGTGAGAGGTGCTAAGACAGTGGGAAATGTCGTGATATCATGTGCATGAGGTCTTACCCTCCTTTGGTGACGAAGCTATGCGCGACCTATAAGATCGAGCGCCTCCTACAATCGAACGAAACCCAACATTTCGTTTTCGATCGCCCTTGAGTTGGTATTCTCCAGCACTTCTTTCACTAACCTTATCATGTTTGATGAATACACCACCAGCGAGGAGGTCATCGAGACTTTCAAGTCTCTGATTAAAGGACGGACAGTCGTTTTGATCGGCGCTGGTTACCCCAGTATCCGAAGCCAGATGGCTACCTACCTACCTAGCAAGAGCGTCGCCTGCGCATATCCTCGTTGCATCCCGAACAACTTCGAAGGTTGAGCCTGTGTCAAGGACTATTGCGGGGATTGACGACTCCATCACAACGACTTTTGTACAAGTGGACACGACAGACCACGAAGCAGTTCGTGAAGCAGCGACTCCCACGATCGACGTGCTTATCCATAGTGCTGGGGCCATGGCTACTAAGGAGTACACACTCGACAGCCAAGGGATCGAGTTCCAGCTTTCCGCAAATCACATTCGCAGTTTTCTGCTGACGAATCTGCTTATGCCCGCCTTGTTAGCCGCAGATGAAGCGCGCTTCGTGAACTTTACGAGCGCAGGCTACCGCCTCACACCCTTCTGGTTCGATGGCTGGAACTTCTCTGACGGCAAAGAGTACGCCCCGTGGTTAGCCTACGGACAGGCCAAGACGGCGAACATCCTCTTCACATACGGCCTAGGCAGACGTCTTCAGCACCGCGGGATCACAGCATTAATCGTGCATTCCGGATATAATGGCGACACCAAGCTGGGAGCGCACCTCACTTGGGAAGATTATGGACTCATTGATGGTGTCATGAAGCAGAATCGCGGTGTTGATTGGGTGGTAAGTACACACATGCACATACATCAGGTCACCTCGGGGTCCTGTTCTTGTAAAAGCGTTGGCGCAAGTAAGACGGATGAGCCGCTTGACCTTCCTGAAAGGGGATACAACGCAGACGAGACGCAAACCGTACACGAATCTCGATGTTCTCATGAAATATAGTGGGAGGAGCCTAGGTTCAAGACATTCTCACAAATCGCTGCCACATCGCTCATTGCGGTGCTTGGTCCTGATCCCGCTTCCAAATCACCGGCCTTCTTACAAAACAGTCAGGTCCATGAGCCAGAAGAACACGCGAGGGGCCTGGAGAGCGTGGAAGAGCTGTGGAAATTAAGTGAAGAGTTGGTAAAGCAGAGATTCAAGTACTGGATGGATTTTCATGGCCTATCTTTGGGCACTGCCTGTTCTGGTGCCCTAGGAAATGTAAGCAACAGCAGGATCTCTCTCGTATGCCTAGATCCATCTCGCTCTAGCCATATACCTAGTGTACATGGGGAGGGTGTGAAATACATACCCTCGGCTGTAGAAGCTATGTGATGTCCTTCGGCGTAAACACTCTTGGAGCTATTCACAACGTACCGGCATACCGTGTGTCTCGGTGAACGAAAGTGACGCTTGATGTGTTCATTGACCCTTTCATCAAATTAAGGTCATCTTGATACAGTCAGAAACGAGACTCTAGTTATTGACCAGCTGAGAGTGGAATACAGAACACCACCGCTGGGTTCGGCATTGGTAATTTGCTCCGGGTCATAATATGTTTGACTATTACATGTATGCTCATCATGCAAAATGAGTCCTGAGTCCTGAGTCCTGCCAAAAGCTCTACTTAGAGGTTAAAAGGTAGCCATGCTTCCCAGCCGAGCCAGCGTCCATCCGAAGCGTCTTATTCTACCTGCCTTTTCTGGTACCCCCCTTATCCTACTCAGGAAAGTGATCTGATGGCCTAGACGGGATTGATAAGGCCCAGCTGGCGCTCCACCGTGGCGAGATCACTTGCATGTACGCATAGGTACAATCTTTTATGAGGATGGATATATTCGTATCTGGCGCCTGTTTGGTCTAAATGTTACATCACCCGCTATTACATACACCAAACCAACACGCAAAGAGAAGGTGACAACCACTACCAAACACTCGTGAGCCTCAGAAGTTAGCGCATGAATCCTCAATAGCTAACCATGCCAAGCTGAAGATCCGCTATGTTCCGTAGACCCTAACTACCCAGTTGCACACACGAGCGCAGCTCTCGTATCCATAGCAGACACTACGTCCAATCGCGACTGCTACCAGAAGCTGTGGGTGGCCTCTTGGCTGCAAGGCCAAGAGAATGAGATCTGGGGAGAAAAGCTTGTTGATCACTTGGCAGGAACGCGTCGCTTCGTCGAGCATCCTAGAAGCCATATCAACAGATAGATGCATTGTTGAGCAGAGTATCCGAGCGAAACGCTGAGCAAATCTCCCAGAGCAAAATGGTTAGAACCTCACTGAGTGCGGGTTAACACCCCCAATATAGGCCGACGCCGGCCAGATCCGACTTTGCCCCATGCACACAAACCCCTGCTTCCTGGATGTCGACATCAACATACCTACCCCGTTTCCTCATGCAGTACGCTGCGTTTTGCAAGTTATACTGTTGTTGATTTGGAAATTATGGGACGAAGCCATGCCAAGTGTAGAAGGCCGGCAGCACATTCGCCCACAGCGTGTCAACATACGACGACACTGATTAGTTTAACACAAGAGGCTTCATTGGTTCTCATACGTCCGCGGCAACCTAGATCCAAGTTATGAGAGATTATGAGGGGCCATGGCATGGATATATCAAACACCAAGCTATAAACGGCACGCGATAACCCCTCGTTGGCGAAGTTGTCGTGATAACCTGCCTCTCTTGGCATGCGCCGTGCAGTAGCAGTCATGTTTATCCGAGAACGCCCTTATCACCCGGCAAAGCGACTCTTGACGCTGAGAGGCTGCCGATCCCCTACCGCATCCAGCTCGTGATATGTGATATAAGAAAGTCAGCGGGGTGCTCTGTATGATGTCTCACGAGGCTCACCAATATATAAACCCTCATGCTCGTCCACCTGATGGCAACAGAATTCCTTCTCACCATCAGCCCGCATTCTCCTCTATCCGGCTCTAGTCATCTGTCTCGAAGATGATTCCCTCTACTACCTCTCTTGCGCTCTTCAGCGCCATCCTTGGCGCTGTCTCGGCTGTTCCTCCTCCTCAACCGGGCCGTTTTACCGTGAACCAGACTCGCAACGCCAACTTCAGGCGACACGGCCCAGCTCAAGTGGCCAAGACCTACCTGAAATATGGACGTCCCGTGCCTGCTGAGCTAGCCGTTACTCTCGGGATGACAAACTCCAAGCGTAGCCACGGCTCCGTCGCCACCGATCCACAGCAATATGACTCAGAATGGTTGACTCCCGTTCAAATTGGCACTCCCGCGCAAACTCTGAACCTAGTTAGTTTATCACTGCCGAATTCTTACTGTGACTGTTAATTACTGACATTGGAGTGTAAACAGGACTTTGACTCGGGTTCCTCCGATCTCTGGGTCTTCAGTACAGATACCAGTTCAAGATACGTCAACGGTCAGACGCAGTACAGCCCTAGCAAGAGCAGTAGCTCCAGCAAGCTCCAGAATGCCAGGTGGTCAATAAGCTATGGAGATGGCAGCTCATCTAGCGGCATTGTGTACACCGACGTTGTCAATATCGGCGGCCTTTCCGTCTCGAAGCAGGCCGTTGAGTCTGCTCAGACTGTCTCTACCTCCTTCACGCAAGAGAGTGATCTTGACGGCCTGCTCGGCCTTTCGTTCAGCAGCCTCAACACCGTCACCCCTACACAGCAAAAGACATGGTTCGACAATATCAAGGGCAGCCTTGACTCTCCCGTCTTCGCCGTTGACTTCAAGGCTGGCGGCGTGCGTAAGTTTGCACCTCATCTACTTGATTTCTCGGAGAAACCCATCTTTTCCCAGTTTAATAATGTATGCTAACCCTTCTCCCCTTCTACAGCCGGTAGCTACGATTTCGGCTACATTGACAGCTCTAAATACACTGGTTCGATCGCGTACACCTCTGTAAGTACCCGTCAGGGCTTCTGGGAGTTCACCTCTACCGGCTACGCTGTCGGCAGCGGCTCCTTCAAGTCGACGAGCATTGATGGCATCGCCGATACAGGCACCACCCTATTGTATGTGCCTAGCTCCGTCGTCAGCGCCTACTATTCACAGGTCTCGGGCGCCAAGAACGACAGATCCGCCGGCGGCTACACTTTCCCTTGCAGCGCCTCCCTGCCTGACTTTACTTTTGGTATCGGCTCCGCCCGGATCGTCATTCCCGGCGAGTACATCAACTACGCGCCTTACACGGGCAATACCTGCTTTGGTGGTATCCAGTCCAGCTCTGGCATCGGTATTAACATCTTCGGTGATGTTGCGCTCAAGGCTGCTTATGTTGTTTTTGACAGCAATGGACCCCGCCTTGGCTGGGCTAGCAAGAGCCTATAAGCGGGAAAGAAAGCATCAGAAGGGCCCATCCCCTGTCTTAGATATATAGTGTATTTCTTTGGCCAATCTAGTTCAAACACGTCAAGCATCCTTGAGAATAATTAAAGAAATTACGAGGCCTGTGATTAAGTTATGTGATCGAGTTTGAGAACCCCAGGTGATCATTCGCCGTGTCTTGAATTAATAGAACAGTTCAACAGTGATACTTGATATCAAGGGCAAAGGGCAGAGTAGCTGGATATGGGATGGAATTGTCTTTTGTTTGACGGAAACTACATGATAAGCGTATATTACACGCGTGGTTTCCCGATCTTAAGCAAAATCCCAGAAAGACAAAATATATGAAACCCGAATACAACATCATTCATCATAAGAGATTACTAAGTCAATAACTAGTCAATGGTTTGATGAATTCTATCAAATTATTGCTAAGCCTGAGAAATATCCCGTTTACTTACCTAGTAGTTTAGCAACTTGAACGAGTAAAGGATATCAGTCATATATCAAGCGATAAACGGACGAACCTCGAATATCAAGAGCTTCAGGGATATCTAGTTGATGAGACACGCACAGCCGGCAGCTATCTGAAATCTATCTCGTCAGATCTTAAAATAACAATGACGAGTTTATATTGGTCTACCTAAAGGATCATTTATCTGAGAATAATTGACACTTAGTACCCCTTTTAAACATCATAAAGGACTTATTTTTTATCTCATGCCATGGTAATATGGAATTTAGCAAGAATTATTTAACAAAGAAGTCACTTCACGACTTGGAAGGCTCTCATTACCCCTGGACCTCGTCTCAAGCGAAGCAACAGGGGCATCAGCAGCGTACTTCTTGGGCGTCTTTTCGATGGAAGTTGCGCTGTGGAACCTAGTATACGAATTCTGGGACGAAGAGGGTGCTGACTTTAGGTAGTACCTTGGAAAAACATATTTCGAGTACACAATAGCAAAAGGGCTGTGCTCTGATTGAAGGGATATAACAAGTCGAATGTATTAGCTCGCCAAAATTTAAGGAGGTTGTGGAACACTATATCAATGGGACTTTCATGCAAGCGGAGTATGTTTGGAGGACAATACACCCCGCCAAGAAATTTATAACAACATTATGTTGCCATGAATTACAAGACGCCGCCCGATTTGCAGGTGGGATGACGACGATAACAAAGGTAATGAAGTGCTCTGGGACTCACAGCAATCATGGTAACAATGGGTGTGATGTGTCCATTGTTAATAACAAGGCAACAACAACTTATTGAAGTGGATAGAAACAAAGGCTTTCAAGACTATTGACCTGTAACACAACAGTTATCAGGTACTCAAATACATCAAGATAATTCTAACACCACCTATGTAAACCTAGTGTATATAAATCTGACCTTCCTACCGCTTCTTAGTTGGGTATAAACTACTAAGCTCTTGTAAGGAGTTCCGTAAATCCTCCCAATCCCTTTGTCTTCTGCATTCTATTCAAAACCATAGCGGCAAAACAAAATGTCCGACAAAAAACCAACTCAGAAACCACCTACCACCCCGAAAGACCATCCAGTAAAGGATGATAAGAGGGAGGGGCAGGAAAAAGCCAGCGGCTCCCTAGATTGGCTGGTCGAAGCAGCCAATTATGAGGCCCCAAAGCAGCCCCCCAAAAGCTCAGGAGATTGGATAAAAGACGGTGGGAAAATTGTATGAGAAAGATTTCTTCAATGGAATCCTCATCTCACAGAGTATAGAACTGTGCGGGATGTAATAACAGCAATAATGTATAAAGAAAGAAAATAAACTAAATAAAAATTTAAAAATTAATAAATAGATAAAAAAATATAGGAGATATAAGGGAGCACAGCAATAATAAAAAGTAGGGTTAAAAAATGAAAATTATATTTTAAAATTCCATTAAGAGTGTTAGGGACAATTAGTTAATAATATATAGATCCCTTAAGGTGGTAATGTGTTAGGGCTGGGATAGGGGCAGAATCGTTACAGCAGAGAACGCAATGGTTACTTTTCTTTTCTTTCCTCATGTATATAAGACATAAACTGCTCCCGAGGTAGAGAGCCAGAGGAGACACCCATGCACCATAGACAATACACATCGCTTTGCCTTCTACACTCATTGATCAAGTCTTTCTATTTATCGTTTATTTTAATCAAGAATCTAAGGAGAGTAGGTTTTGTTGGTTTTTTGTTGAGTCAGTTACACTGCGGTCCTTACGTAGTAATATTAAACATTTTAACTATATGAAGCGGCAACCCATTACCTTGATCATTCCTTGGTAATTACGGTGATTGGGTAACCAGTCACGTGACCCTACGGTGGCCTGTGTTTCTCCCCCTTACCAGGCGCTTTCTCTCTCGCTTGGTCTTCCAACGGCCCGCCGTCTTGTTGGTCCGTAACATTCGTCAACTAGGCTGGCTATATACGCTACGGTAGGCTGAATAGGCTTCCGGAGGTCCGGAGGGCCAAAGGGGTTAAGCTATTGACTAAGCTATAGAATGCCTAGATGGCTAGCCCAAAGGCTAGGAGCCGTAACTTATAAGATAATATATAATAACCTTATAACATTTTTAAGGTTAATTTAAAAATAATAATAATAATTTATATAATTTAAAAAACTTTATATTATAAATCCTGGTTTCCTAGTGTAATGGTTATCACAGCGGATTCTGATTCCGCTAATCTGGGTTCGATTCCCAGGGAGACCTGATGAAGTTAAGAGAGATATTGTAATGGCAGGCATTGGGGCAATACTGTGCGGACTGAATATGCCCTGGCAGACTGGGCTAGCGACTGCCAGTAGCCTGTTAGGCTGTTACAGATATTTAAAAGTTATAAGCTTAAAACTTTCTCAGTCTTCTTTTTTTTATTTTCTACGTTGCAAATTCAACTTGTCTTTTTACATACCCTTGAGATAAACAGTGCGCATATGAACAAGAGAGCTTCTGACAGAGAATATATATCTATATGAAGTTGCCATAGCACTGTGTAACTGGCGCCTATGCTACCTAACATAGTCTCTCCTATTTGAAACCATACAGTAATGCATGCACCTATCGATTAGACAATGATGCCCGCGATTTTCTCTAGGTATTACGTTCATCAATCAAACGGAGCCTAGGAAGTGTTAGTTCACTTCATGTTCCTCTCAAAATGCGCCACCGGGATCTCCAACGAAACAATAAGCCGCGCGTCTAGATAACAGGTACAGTTGAGAAGAAGATTTACTTTCGATTCAACCCTCGAAGCCGGTAATCACTGAGCGTCCGTTCCATCTCTAAAAGCAACAGGCAGACTTGAGCAGACTCTGAAGCTTGCAATATTAGTGTTGCCAAGTAAGCCGTCGCACGTTGCGTTTGTTTGACTGTTGAGCACTTGGTCGTGGATAGGGCGAAGCGCATGCTACATGTGCTGAATTGATGAGCATATATATTTTTCTGCAGGGTGCTTCAATGAAGCCGTGCGACAAGAGGTAATCACAGTGATTGTACTCGATGGCCTAAAAGTCCATCCGATTATATCACTGAATCGTGGCGCGCTGAGTGGATTTGTGACCGCTGGGCTAGTTCAAATCTGAGTAATTGAGATGTGAACATCTCCCAGGGTCTCTGACCCAAGTTGCTGGGTTATTACACCTTCTGACCGGTCGTTGTGGGCCATCCAAATATTTGCCGTGCTTAAGATTGCTTTCGGTGCCAATCGTGAACTGTCCACTCCGCAAGTTCTACTGACCAGCCTGTATGTATTATCCTGTAGCTCGTAATAACACGTTGTTAATTCCTTCAGTATAACCATATCGTCTACGTAGGCATAACCAAAAAGGGGCTGTAGCGTCGAGAAGAAATCGGGTCCTCGATTTGGTGCCAGTCTAGATGGATTTCTGGTTTCCCTTTCGCTAAGGGGGAGCCAGTGGCGTTCATTACATTCCCCTATCTTCTCCCTCGTGGCGTCTCTAGTAGCGGGGTGGCGTAATCCATGATGGCAGATGTCTCTGATATACGCGGATTCTCTTGTCTGAATTACAATCACAAGCTTTAGTGGTGATACATGTCTGACGATCGACTGGTTACCCAGTCGCTTGATAGGCAGCGAAAGGGGGCCACTACACCTAAGTGTGAGACCATGTGTGAAGGGTATACGCCTCATCAATATCTTTAGCCATGGTAAACAGCATTTTGACCATCTTCCTTGCTGAAGACATGCTTATCTTCTTCTTGGCGCTGGAATGTGTGACGAATTTTCCTGCCAAGACGGGAATTGAACTGTCTCGCTCTACCCTTGAACATGAAGATCTACACGAGTATCCAAAGCATGAATCCGCCCTGTGGCATGGGATGTCACATATAGTTGAAATCTTGGCATGATCCTGTTTTCCAACAACAAGATCTCCTCGGAACTCTAGGCAAATTCCACGATACTAGATTTGAAAGTTGCACCGGTCACAGGATTGCCCGTTATGCCTACATTAGACGTAAGTGAGCTTAACATTGTGACTGCTGTCCTTGGTAAGTAGAGAACACAGAGTGCTACTATGATATGTGTCATTAACAATTTGTGCAGGCTCATTTGCTGTGGTATATGGCCTGTTTGCTGTCAAGATCAAGAGTGTATGGTATCTTGGCGAAGCATGTAAGTATGTTCCTCACCTTCATTACTCAAGGGTTGATCGCTAACGTAAAATTTCAGTACCAGCTTTGCTCATCGGAGTGTTTTTGGGTCCTGTGGCAGCGAAGTTCCTTGACCCTCAGAGATGGGGCTCAGCAGCATCTGGGCAAGAGCCTACCATCACTCTCGGCGTGATGAGAATCATGATTGGGATTCAATTGTATGTTTGGATTTCCTCCTTAATTCCTCAGCGCTGTCGCCCCAAGGTGCCGCCATCGTTACTCTCAAATCCCCCACTGCCGTGGCTAACCAATACCCACAGGGTGATTGCGGGATATCAGCTGCCTGCTAAATTCCTGCAATGGCGCCGCAAAGAAATTGCCGTCTGCCTCATCCCCATCATGACTCTCATGTGGTTATGTACTTCTATATGCATTCTTGCGACGATACCTAACCTGCCACTGCTGGCTACTCTCGTCATCGGCGCCTGCGTCACATCTACAGATCCCATCTTGTCTCAGGCCGTAGCCAAAGGCCCATTTGCTGACAAATATGTTCCCCGTCACTTGCGGGAGATTATTTCGGCTGAAGCGGGAGCGAACGACGGATTTGCATCGCCTTTTCTCATGCTCTCAGTCAACCTGCTACGTTTCTCCATCGGTCGTCCCGAGACTCTTGTCGATCGAGATAGGGGCGTCGGTCCGCACCCTAGCGACCTTGGTATTGCTATCGGGAATTGGGTAATAGAAACTCTTGTGTATCTCGTCTTGTTGGGCAGTGTATATGGCGCAGTGACAGGCTTTTTCGCTAGGAAAGCTGTTCGCTTTTCTCTGTCTCACAAGTGGATTGATACAGAAAGCTATCTCCTATTTCCCACAGCACTAGGTGTAAGTATTTCATTGACTGATCGAATCTTCTCTCAAATATGCTAAGAGACTCACATAAGCTTTTCATCGTCGGAACTTGTGGCGCCATTGGAACCGGCGATCTTCTGGCTTGCTTTGTCGCTGGATGTGCCTTGAACTGGGATGGGCAATTCTTGGCCGAAGCCGAGCGACGTCACGACGAAGTCAACTCTTGCATCGATGTGCTACTGAATTTTGGGGGATTCATGTACATTGGGACCACTTTACCATGGGGGGAATTCCACCAACCTGACACAACTGGGATAACGTTACCGCGCTTACTCGGCCTTGGAATATTCGTTCTACTTTTCCGGCGCATTCCAGCGCTGCTCGTCACATATAAGGCGATGCCCTCGGTGGTCAAAAGTTGGAAAGAAGCCGTGTTCATGGGCTATTTTGGCCCGATTGGTGTCGGGGCAGTGTACTATCTTGAGCACACTCGATTGCTCTTCAATCGGGACAACCCTCCCGAAAAGGCTGTGGTCGATGCTCTTTTGCCAGGTGCGTGGAAACTGTCCCTTTTCACCCCCCCTCCCGCTACAAGCTGACTAATCCCGCTTAGTGGTTTACTTTCTTGTCCTGCTCTCAATCGTAGTCCATGGCCTCTCTATTCCAGTATTGAGTATTATCTACCATTATTATGGTGTAAGTACGATTACAGACGACGTGGTGGAGCTTCGTCGAGACAGTATCTATGTCCCAACGCCACCGAACGCATTTCAGGGAGATAAAAATACCTTTATCGCGTATAATCGCTTCTTCCGCCCGTTGGCCAGCGTGAGCATGCTTCCACTTGCTCATACACGCAGCGAGAACCAAAATAGTACACACACAGAGCTTGGGGAAGATGGAACGAAAAACGAGCCGAGTGCTCTATAGTATCAAACTTGGAGAATCATGGATTATCAGCCTGTACCTGCAACGCTTAACGAGACACGAAGATGTGTCTACCAGGGAACAACGTGGCCATGAGACACATCTACGAGAATGTAGATCTAGGTAGATTAATGGTGTGATTTGAGGCATTTCCCTTTCATTTATTCATTCCTTTCTTTCTTTCCTCCCCTCATCCCCTTAATTGATTTGGTTATGTTTATGGGTCAAAGTTGCTATTGTTGAAGGGTAGGCCTCTATTCTCTTTTGAAAGTTGGCAATTGCACTATCATCGGATGAATGGATCGACTCCCCTTGTACAGGCCCTAATTCCATAGCGATGAGTAATTAAAATGTAGACATGGGAAATCATTTGAATGATTTAGGAGCTCTATTGACATCGCTGGCGCCTAAAGGGCGATTACTCCAGACACCTTGAGTATTTTGGACTTCCAAAAAGGGATACATCGTATCTAAGTGTATTAGGTAATTGGGGTATGGTCATGATTGTGGCGTGAGTCATATCAACAGGGAACAACCTGTGTACTTAGAAATAACCATAATAGTGGAAACTTTAGGCTTTCGGTTGTCTACCTGACTGATTGAGTTGATCGGTCGCCTGCATCTTCTCATTGTCGAACTACGAAATACCCATTTCTTTGTTGCGAGGTCTTCGTAAGGTGGTACCGTAGGTAGTGCAAGTATGAAGTACCTACTTCGTACAGCTTGTACCACCATCTAGCCACTCATGCCTACTGGCTTATGTCAGGATGGGTACCTAGGAGGTAGGTAATAGGTAGGTATGTATTCATGTTAGTGGTATGTCGATGGCGAAGTATTTGAACGAGGTTCATTTTTGGGGATTATGCGACAGCCCAGACCCTGCTTATGTATATACCTACTTATATATACATACCCAGGTAGGTATATACAATGTCTACCAGTCTTTCTGTTGGCAGTATATGTACATCCCGATAGGTAGACTGGCAAAAGTCCCTACCTCCTCTTCTCTTCTCTTCTCCAGCCTGGAATTCTGGAATTGCAAGCAAGGATTTCGGCTTTGGGCTTCCCCAAACAGCCCCTATTTGTATCCCCCCCCCCCTCCCGAGCCCCCATAATCCGCTAGATAGATAGGTAGGCCACTTAAGACATCTTAGCCTACCTACCTACCTACCTACCTAAGGTACATAGTTCCAGGCAGTAGTACCTAACCTAGGTAGGTAGTAGTAGGTTAGGTTACCGGTAGTACTTAAGTAGGCAGAAGGCTGATATTGGTAGACAACCACCCATCGCACCGTTCTTTCCCACCGTGTACGTCCCTTATCCACGCTATCCACGCTATCCATCTGCCTCAGCTGAGAATAATACCGTGTGTTTTTTTCTTCTTCTCATATGTCTTCTCCGTAGCTGTCAAGCCCAACAGTGCCAGCGCTGGCCGACACATAAGCCATGTCGGTCAAACGCCTCTTTGCCTTCAAGGGCACCTTGTCGAATGCCTCGATCCAGCACAGGCTGAAGTACATTGTCGCCGCCGCCCTCGCTGCCTTGATCTTCTACCTGGCTGCCCTCAACCGCCAATGGGCGCACCTGGATGGCGTCTTTCGCTTCGAATCCTCCCGCCCTCCTCTCTCTCCTGCGGCTGCCAACAACCATACCATCCACCGACTGGCCCAAGACGCCCAGATCCAATTCAAGCAGCTGCTTGCAAAGCGCGCCACCTCTCTAGAACAAGCCGCGAGCCGCTATCGCGAGCGCCGAGGACGACACCCGCCCCCCGGGTTTGAGACGTGGTTCGCTGCCGCGCAAAAGAGCGACGCCGTCATCGTCGAAGACTTCTTCGACCGAATCTACCATGACATTAATCCCTTTTGGGCCATTGAGCCCGCGCGCCTGCGCCGCATGATCAAAGACGAGCAACATTACATACGCGTTCGAGATGGCAAGGCCTGGTTCGTGTCGGATCACCTTGAGCTTCGTCAGCCCTGGGTGCAGCGATGGACCGAGTTGGTGCAAGAGATGATGCCACATCTTCCTGATCTCGACATGATCCTCAATGTCATGGACGAGACCAGAGTCTTGGTGCCCTGGGAGGATATGAATGAATACGTGGCCGAGGAACAGCGCCAGCGCCACATTTTTCACCCTTCTGACGCCATCGCCGAGTACACCAAGTACCAAGACGAACCCACCGATAATGACGAGCCTGCCATCAAGGTCAAATGGATCGGTGGCGAAGAGCATCAATACTGGGATCACTATCGTGTTACTTGCCCCCCAGAAACACCGGGCCGGAATGTATCTAGTCTCGAGAAACTCGACCGACCGCCCGTCTACCCGACACAGCCCATGCCGTTCACCGTGGATGGCTTTATTCAGAACTTCACCGCATCCTCAGATCCTTGTCTACAGCCGCACCTTCGTGGTATGCATGGAACCTTCATAGAAAGCGTCAGCATGTCCACAACCCATTCCCTGTTTCCCATTTTCGGTGGATGCAAACTGCCTGGTAACAATGAGATTCTTATTCCTGCTGGTATGATCCTCGATAGTTATGACCTGTTCAGCGGGGGGGATTCTCATGGCGGAGACTGGTCTACAAAGAAAGACAGCATCGTATGGCGCGGTGTTGCGAGTGGCGGCCGACATAAGGAGGACAACTGGTGGGGATTTCAACGAATCCGATTCATCCAGATGATGAATGGCACTACTATTTCACTCCTGGAAGCCGGCGAAGACGCCGCCCCCACCTTTGTCTTGCCAGAACGAGAGGAATATCAGGCCGAGGCGCAGAAGAACGGTAGTCTGGGTGAATGGGTTTCGTCATTCAGTGATGCTGCCTTCATGGCGTTTGAGTGCTTCCCTCGACAGGAGGATGGGCACTGCTCTTACCTAGACCCTTACCTGGAGCTCCGGGAGTCAATTCATATGAAAGATCAGTATGATTACAAATTTTTGCCAGATATCGATGGGAACTCATATAGTGGGCGGTTTCGCGCGTTTATGCGAAGCACGAGTCTCGTTCTGAAATCAACCATCTATGCGGAATGGCATGACGACCGGCTCATTCCCTGGGTCCACTTTGTCCCTTTCGACAACACCTTTATTGACATCTATGCCATCCTTGAGTATTATCTCAATGGGCATGACGATGAAGCGTATAAGATCGCCGAAGAGGGCCGAGAGTGGTCTGAAAAAGTCATGCGACGAGAAGATATGAAGTTATACGTTTGGAGACTGCTGTTGGAATATGCGAGGGTTATGGACCCATCTCGGGACAGACTGGCGTTTGTAAGCGACTTAAGGGATTGAGTATGACTTTTTGGACAAGCAATGAAGTTTCAAAGACGACATAAACCACGACTTGGATTGTATAGACTAGTGAGTTACCTTTCGTTCCATGTTCCTGTATGCCTTCGTCGTATATTTTGTATAACCCTGCCCTAAGCGCTAATCTTGAGCATTGATGGTAGATTTCTAATGTTCGGCGAGCCAGAAGCGTTCAGTACTAATGGTGTATAAGCATACAAGCCCGTCTCTGAGATAAAGTTTGGCAATGCTGCTGTTAACCCTGGCCGAGATCACGCTGCCTTGATCCGCTTGTTCGGATACCTGCTAGGCTGGACTTAGATGCAACATCTGCTTTTGTTTTCGCACAATTGAGACTTTTCGCTAGGCTCCGTCTCTGTTATGGCTTATGGTTCACGATGCTGCATGCATCACGTTGTGTGGCAAGGGCATTGCTTACGCGATGAAATGGAGGAGCGATATATTGCTGCCTAACTGCACGCCTCCGAGGGTTTCCGAGCACAACATTCTTTGGTATGAAAACTCCTTGAATTATTCGCCCTGTCGACATGCGCGAGACCACGTTCAACGTTTTCTCGGAGCGTTTGCACGTCTTTGTATATTTGTTGAACTCGGCCTGAAGGATTTCGGCGTTTGGTTGCAAGTTTAAAGAATGTGGTATAACCTATCCACTAAGTTCCGCGATGGCCGTAGACACCCCGGCATCGCCCAAGTCATTGGCTCACGATTAGACAATACCGCAAGACGGCCTGGCAATGATATTACGCACCGATTGACTGACTTCCTTGCATGTATTATATCACCATGTATGAATTCCTACGACAGCGAGCGAGCGAGCGAGAGAGAGAGAGAGAGAGAGAGAGAGAGAGAGAGAGAGAGAGAGAGAGAGAGAGAGAGATTTGTATAGGCGTTGGGTTAATTGGTATTAACATTTCTTGTTCAATATATGTATATCCTACTCTGATATCGTTCATTGCGTATGTCCACTTGGAGCGTGACTGCATCCTTGATCGAACTTGTTGACTGCTTGCTGGATAGAAGTAATGCTATGACACTCGTATTCATAACTGCGTCGGCATACACAACTCGTAACTCGAGGTGTTTTCAAAAGCCTTCCTTCAGGTCTAGGTCTAGTAACGGCTGCTCTTGAATTCTATGTCTTTCCTGAAGGTCCAGAAGCGGCCTTCGCTTGACATGCTCTTGTAACCTAGTACACCCTCGACCATGGCGAGAAGAAGGGTTGGCGAGATCTGCTGCGTTGTGTGTCGCGACTCTACGGTAACAGTCAGACGGTCGTATACAATGCCAAGGCCAAATGCAGATTGGTGTAGCTTAATTTCGGCCAGCGGCGGCTGTGAAGCTGTTAGCCGTGTTCGAAGTCTACGCTTGTATGTACAATTTGGAAATACGAGACTGACCCTGTTTGTGAGGTTGTAGTTCGTCCTAGCCCATTTCTTCAAGTAGTCTGATAGAAACTGCAATGTTGGACTATGACTGCATTGAACTTCGATGCACGATGAGTTCAAGTCGCGAACGGTGAGATGGTAAGGTGGCTTGAGAAGTAGTTCCTCGGGACGAGGTATGATGTCGACTTCGGGTACCACCTCAATCGCGGGGCTCTGATGCTGCGTGCTAGCAGGCGGTTGAAGTGATTCTAGTACGGCAGCAGTGCCAGTTTTGTTGTCAACTGTCATATCTGCCCAGTCGTCTGCTGCCGTGGGCTCGATGCTTGGCGATGTGCCAGCCTTTGCATTCTCTTCGAACACCTTGCGCAGGCATCCCGTAAAGAACGAGAGCATATAAGACGGTGACGGAATCGCGCCTTTAGGAAAAGATACCACGAGGCCCTTTTGTCGATCAGACCAGACGATATTTATTTCTCGGCTTTTGGACGTCTATGGACGTTCATGGGTTTTTATCAGTATCAAGTCAGCACAAAATGAGTATGCAGAAGCCCATACCTCGAGAAAGACACGAACATGCCCATCTGCGCGCTCTAAGAATTTGTCTGCCCACTGCTCGTTGGCCTCATTGTCGGCAAGCGTGGTTAGAGCCGTGCAACATGCTTCTACAGCGGCGGCTACTGACACCACCAGAATCGTCTTATCGGGATAGAAAGAGCCCAGATCTGAGACGAGAAGAGGCCACTCTGGGTCAACGGAGACCCTTACGCCGACCACCACCTTTAGATTCCTAATGGCTTTCTGTACGGGTGCATCTTGGTTGTCCCAAGAGTCACGAATGCCAACTTGAACCTTGATGGGGCTGTATGAGCGTTAGCCTTGGCTGGGCCCTTAAAATGCTAATCACCTAGTGTAACTGGATGAGCGCTCACAGTCTGGACATGATCAACGTCGCGTGCAACTACTTAGGTTGGATGGATGTCTGTTGAGTACGGGATATTGCTACGTCCATGCGGATATGACGTGGGAACACCACCCTCTACCATCTATTTCATAAACATACGCGGTGAGACTTCTACTACACGCGAGATTACCTAAAGCTTCCTGGACGCTATTCATCCTACTCTTATTCGTTGGTAAAATGCGCCTTACGGCTGAAGCGCCGTGGTAGCCCTGCCAAGCCTTAGCTGAGATTTGGTAGTGGCGGTGTCACAGGCCAGCAGATTTGGCACTTTTAGTGTTGATAGCTTCTCCACGTGCACGGCTCCTAATTATCTTGTAATCTCTTGCTTCAATCTCTGAGTTCTCCCTCGGCGTAATGCCATAGCCGGCTTACCTAGGTGCGGCGAGTTGGTGTAAAGCTCATCGCGGAATGTAGCCGCTTCAACTTGCCAATTATAGGTAGGTCGGTCGCATCACTTCATTGCTAGGCTTAGAGCCAGATCAATGAAAGTAGGTCTGTCCTAGCTCAACTAGAAACGTGCAACTGACTTGGCACACAGATATCGCATCCCGAATCGTGCCAGAAATGCTTGTTCGCGATGTAGGCTGCATGTCCCGTGCGTACACTAGGTACTCCGTTCGGTACAAACCTCTAGCACGAATCATTTATGCTCTGGACTACTTTTAGTTACTATGCATCCTTGAAGCTCGAAAGCGATGTTCTTTCGTTTAGAGTAATTTCCTACGGCGACCGAATGCGACGAATGATTCGATGATTCCCATTCATCTGTAGGACTTTACTAGGATTCTATGTAGGTAAGTTGAAACTTCACATAGATACGATATGGATAGTAAATCAAGGCTTGCACTAGGAGATTAGGCTGTGAGGGCTGAAGCTCCAAGGATTCCTTTTGAGGACGTCACACCGCTAGGGCTGAACACAAGGTTGACAACAGAATCAGGGGTAAGTTCGGGATAGCTTCAAAGCCCAAACTGATTAGGAAAGGCTGAGATCGCTATGGAGCTAGCGTTGCATTAGCTCCTTGAACCCTGAAGAATCGATTATGGATAGATTTACACTATAGTTTTAGAGACAATGAATACGATGTAAAATCAAGTCCCAGGCATAGCTATTAGTATATAAGTCGTAGTTCTAACCTTGTGTCCTCTCGAAATCGTCAAACCTTACCTCCCTTACAACTCATTCAAACCCTATTTCCCAAGCTCCTTCAGAACTCTCCTTCCAACATGTCTCTCCCTCCAGTTGAGAAGCTGCCTCTAGCTCTTCGCAAGAGTGGTGAGTTCCCTATCACTGATCATGTCCATCGAATCGAACACGAATGCTAATGGACTTAGTGAGGGATGACTGGGATGCTAAGAAAGGAGATCTTGAGGCTAAGATCACCGAGATCTTGGGCACTGAGTGGACTATAGATGTAAATCCCAACCAGGTCTTCGCCTACGCAGGGGAAGAGAGGAGTTATGCGAGGGAGAGTCTAGGTGCCTGCATTCACGAGTGAGTACTGGACTTTACGTCCTCTGCGGTAATATGAGATACTGATATTAGACTCAGATACTTTGACAGTGCTATGAGGCGACTGGAAGAGTTCAGCGATTACTTCAAAGAGGATGGTGTGAACGAGCTCAACACCATCGCCTACGCTCATGTCCTCAACTTGGATCTCGACGAGCAGAAGCGCTTCAGTTACTGTGGGTGTGACGTCGTCGAGGGTCGGCTTCGCCTCCTCTTCAGTCCAGGCAACCTAGGCTGCAACATAGGGTCGTGTCTTGACCGCGAGGTTCTGGCAAAGGCGCTCAACGACGCGCCCGCACCTGAAGATGCCGCCGCCCCCATGAGCTTCCATGCTCGCACCAGCATTCGTCAAGAATACGACCCCAAGATCGAGGAAACTCGGGCACGCATCGGCGAGATTCTGTCCAAGCCGGACATCAAGCTCAACCCAAACTTTGAGGAGAATTACGCCAAGCTCCTAGAAGAGAGCAAAGTTAAGAAAACGAATCTTGTTAAAGAATGGGAACAGCTCTTGGGTGGTTGGACCAAGAGTTACTTCTCGGGTCTGCTTAGCCAGCTCCAGTGGCAAAAATTCGAGGACGACGAGCTCTTGCAGGAGGGTTTCAACGATGTGGTTGACAAGGGAGAGGTTGTACTGAGACTCGTCGACAAACTTCAGAAGGACTCATACTGCGAGTGCGTGATTGAGGATGGTATCCTCTATCTCCAGGTAAGAAAATCCCTCATTGTATCAATGTGATATGTTTGACTAACATGGTATTGGCAGACTACTCCTAAGACTTGGGGATCGAACATAGATAATGCTGCCTCGAAGTTGATGGACCTCTTGTAAAAGGGATGTATATTAGTTCGTTTATATTAGAATCTTGATGATTAATAATCAACCTTGCATGTTTATATTCAAGTGTTGTACGCTGCCTAGATATTTCTATTCTACTCAACCAAACTCACATTTAGGGTTGTGCTGTCTTAAATACGTCCGACAATGTACATTAATGGGTATAATTCTGTAGTTGCCAACGATTCCTGGGCATGCCCCTATGTATTATATAAATATTTCATTAACCATTCCTGTGTCTGACGTGCAAGCTTCGACGACCATTTAGAAAACAATCTTGCTTCGGAGTAAATTCCTACACCTCCATTTACATATAGAATGTGACAAATTGTGCAATGTGAAGCTACTGGCTGTTACACGCGCTCATGGCTACGGGCTTATGCAGCGCGAGAGTCCCTTTCGTGACCTTCATCATGCATGCAATTAATATTAAAAGTAAGACTATACACACCTTACTTCATGAAACAGGCCAATTAGTCCTAGGTGGTTAGGAGAGGCAGTTCAGCTATATATAGAGTCAAAGTCAAGGTACCGAGGCTAGGAAGGAATTGGATGGCAAAGGACTGTCACAGTACTGCCCTGCTGTGATTACAAGTAAATGTTTTGTTATTGCACGAGGAGGGAAGTTCTAGTTTTCTCCCCTTATTCCCTTACTTAGCTTTATATAACCCGAATGCAGTGTTCATTGGTCCGTGCTATGTATTGGAAATTAGGCTTCATTAGTTCTGTGACAAGGACTGATGGAACACTAGCAAATTATTGTAATGTAAATAGGTTTAATTCCAAGCCCTGTCATCTGCACTCATTTTACTGGCATATTTAAATAAATATATAGAAAAATAGAGACGTTAAAGTTACCCATAGAGCCGGGAGCCTTGTAGCTAAAGAGTCGTAGAGTTTAGCTTTCCAAGATATATAGGAGGCTCAGAGATGAGGTTACTACTCCCTAAAGCGTTTCAGAACTTGCCTCAAATTTCTAATTGCATATGTCTTTACATGTATATATATTACATGGTAGATGTCCTCAGCTGATCGTGCTATAGATAGTACGAGAATGTTGTAGGTTCTTTTCTGGCTGGTTTTACATTGGCTGATCTCGAATTTAGTGTGATTTGGTGAGGACAACGATTCAAGAGTTGGGATGGCTGAATAGTTTAGGGCGTGTCCAGGTATTAAGACACCTCCATCTCCTGATTCCATTCATCAAATACCTCTGCTAAGTTTTGGTAAAGATGAGAAATGAGTGAGCAATAGTTCATACCCTCACCATAACAAGAATGTGTTCTTCTACCTAAGTCAACCCACCAAATATCATCCTCTCCCCACAGGCAACACACTTTCCAACGTCGGCACAACGGGAACAATGAAACCTGCCTTATCAAAATAGAGCCGATCAATCGTAGTCTCGCGTTTCGTCCCGTTCCCGTTGGGGATAGCAAAGCGATGATATGCAATATACCAATCATCGGTTCCAGGAACATTAACGATGGAGTTATGGCCCGTGCCCAAAATCCCCTTGGACACGTCCTTCTGCAGAATAACGCCTCGATACGTGAATGGCCCCGTGGCTGATGACCCAGTCGCATAGCCGATGCGATAATTCTCAGAGCGCGTGTCATCAATTGAATAAGTCATGTGATACACGCCTTGCCTATAGATCATAAACGAGCCTTCACGGAAATTGGTCAGGCCTGTCGGGGCTTTGAGAGTCGAGGTCTTGATGGAGAGCATGTCGTCACCTAGCTCGGCCATAAGGGGAGATCTAATATGCTCTTACTTAGTTGCTATATCGGTGTCTGAGGAAAGGGGAGGAGAAAAGAGAAACTGAGAGGGGCGGAAAGAACGGAGTAGCTTACCCATTCCCCCAGTATATATAACACTTGTTCGTATTAGGGTCCAAAAACGCTGCAGGATCGATGGCCTGACCAGAAGTGAGCGCTTCATTATTCAGGATCATAGCCTTGGACTGAGCAATGAACGGGCCCTCAGGCGAGTTTGCTACCGCTACGCCAATCGTCTTCCTGTTATACGCCGGATTCTGGCCGCTGAAGTAGAAGTAGTATCTTTCATCTCGTTGGATGATCGTGGGCGCCCATGCGCTCTAGACGTCTCCATTAATATTTGAATTACCATAATTGAGTATTAGCGTTAGCGATTGGGGGTGTGGCTTGCTTACTCCTGTTGCCCACGGCACATTTCCTCTGGCTCCATTCAGCGTCAAAAATGGTTCCCGAGAACGCGTCCACGTCGCAAGATCAGTCTATGTCATATACGTCAGTTCTTGCGAGGGAATCATTCCGTCTATAGCGGTGGTAATTGAGGTGTTATTCTTACAGACTTCCACCAGTAAAACGTCTGTCCGCCCCAGCTAGGAAATCCATCCGTAGTTGGGTAGATATAATATGTACCTCTAAAGACAGCAATATTTGGATCTGCATTATATCCTACCAAAGCAGGGCTGTCCCTCTTCTCAATTGCCCTTTTACTTGCCCTCTCTGCTGTTTTCGTGGGGACCGATATAAGGGGCCGAGGGATGCTTGCGGTGACGGCGCAGGCACAGGTCAATGTGAATGTCAATGCCGCTGGGATCACGCTGATTAGATGCATTTTGGAACGAGATTGAACGTACTATGTTTTGTCTCAATTGTCCAAATAGTAGCTTGGCTTCGCAACCCGAGTCAGCGTCGGCCAGTTCACTAATTTATACTAAGGCAACATGGTTGTGGTGTCATTTGCCAAGTTGTTTTCATTCCTCTGTACCAGGCAACTAGTTTTGGTGTGGGGTTTCATTCTATAGGATCCATCATATAAAGTCCTGTATATAATGGCTGTACTTGAAAGCCCACCTATGGGAAGAGATCTTGATGTGCCTTGGGGTCATGGTGGGGATTCTGCCGGTGTAGTGGTGTCCGTGTCATGATGTCTACCGAGGCTAGTGCATGCGGAGAATGCGATGCTGATGAATACTACCCCAAAGCAACCCTGGAGGGAGTAGGAAATAGCCATTGGCAATGTGGAGAGAACACGAGCGAAAAAGGTTGTAAGGCCTATATGCGCTCCAATGACACCGGAACGCTAATCCGAAAAGTACCACCAGTCGTTTGCACTTTTTATGTCATCAAAATTGTGAGTGAACTCTTGATCAGGAATACAAGATACATGTTTCAGATACAATTGAAAGAGGCATAGTTCTCTGTAATACTATGGTTGCTTTGAGTCTGTTTAGATAACCTGGATTGTTGCCGCTCAAGTGGCCTAGATCGTGGATCACCATGGAACAGTTGAAGTTCCGTATTGAAAAATATTTCCGAGCTGAATCTGAATTACTGCGATGTTTTAGATAGGGTATCACGGTTCGCGGACAAGATTTTGTTATTCATTGCTTTACAACTACTACTTCTTACCATGTCTAAGCAGTATTCTAGTTACAGGTTACTCTAATAGATTTTTTGAAGATAATGTGCAGAAATAGAAATGTCTTTTTTTAAAGCTAGATACTTGGGTCACATTTTAATCTGTGCTTCTCCGCCTGTTATACATTCACACGGCTTCAAATAGGAGGTTTAAGGTTTAGACTACAAGAATGTCTGTCCTGTTTCTAGCAGCTATAGAGTTTTATGCTCTCCTTGCCACGATACACAAAAGGCTTTGGGTAAGCTTCTTATAGCGTTAAAGCTATAAGTACCTTTGTCACTCTGGTTGAAATGGTGCAACAACTGGCAGGCACAAATCACAACTTCCTTGTGTTTGTCTTTTGTTTTTGTGTTCTAGTAAGTAGCACACAGAGGCGCGTCTTCCTTTGGTGCAACAAATCACCTCTCATTCCTGCCTATCTTGGGGATGAGCCTACATAAACTCCTGCACAGCAGAACAAGAATCCAACCAAATGCACCGTTGGATACTTGAATAGTCCCCATGGTCAATTGTCTCTCAAAATGGGAAATTCTGATATTCCGGATACAGGTGGGCTACAAGGAATAGAAATTAAGACGCCTTTGGACCCGGATTGGGGAGTCTATTCTTCCACATACAACCGCCGTGTCCCTGTTATACCGAGAATCGTGGTTCTCCCTGCAACTACTGAGCATGTTTCTCAAGCTGTTCGTTGGGCTGCTGCATATGGCTTCAAGGTTCAGGCTCGCTCAGGCGGCCATTCGTATGCGTCACATAGCAGTGGAGGAATGGACGGATCTGTAGTGATCGACCTGCGAAGATTGCAAAACATTGAGCTTGGCCAAGATGGAATCGTGCGAGTAGGTGGTGGAGTGAGACTGGGAAATCTGGACCGTGCTATCTGGCAAGATGGAAGAGCAATTGCCCACGGCACTTGCCCGACCGTTGGCATCGGAGGGCATTTCACACATGGTGGTTTTGGTGTCACATCACGGGCATGGGGCCTGTCCATGGATCAGATTCTGCGGTTAGATGTTGTCATGGCAGATGGACAGATTGTCCAAGCGTCAGAAATGGTGAATAACGACTTGTTTATGGTGAGCTGGTTATCCTACCCTCTGTACCATAGCAGCATCGGCTATTCCTCGCTGACCTACTAGAGCAGGCAATGCGTGGAGCTGCAGACTCATTCGGTATTGCTGTCAACTTCTACATTCGAACACAGGAGGCACCCAAGGCTATCACCAAATGGTCCGTTGACCTCCCACAGGCTATGAAGACTGTCGATAACGCTGTCGAGACATTCCAGTATATACAGGACTTCGTCAACGATGCGTCTAAGATCGACCGAAATCTGAATGTTGTCATCTTCCTCGGCCACGATCGTTTTACCATCGAAGGAACATACTTAGGAGGCGCTTTGCAATTTCATGATATGGTCTTGATGCCGTTGCTGCAAGGGTGCCCGGCAAAGGATGGCCATAGCGCCAGCTACAACCCAGTTGGCTGGATGATGCTACTGCAGCAGTTGGCTGATGGCCAGGATCTCAATGTCAGCCCCAACCACATGGAGCGCCTAATCTTCTTCGCCAAGAGTGTCGCAGTGTCCAATCCTGGACTATCAAGGGATGAATTGAAGACCTACTTTGAGTACCTCCTGTCCGAGGGGCAGTCCACATCGATTGGGTACTTCGTTGGCGTCCAACTATATGGAGGGATTGACAGCCAAATCACTGCTAACACTATGCGTGATGCTTACGGGCACCGGGATGCCATGTGGATGTTTCAGCACTATGGGTTCGTCAACGAGGGGACGTTTCCGGAAGAGGGTATTCGGTTCATTGACAACTTGAACAAGGCATTAGGATCTAAACATGGCGCCTCTAATAACTATGCTGACCCGTCAATGGAGAGAGACGAGGCACATAAGCTGTACTACGGCGCCAAGCTTGAGATACTCACGAAGCTCAAGGGAGCGCTTGATCCCCAAGATGTGTTTTCTCACCCACAGTCAATTCAGAAAGAGTAGGTCATAATGGGGGCGTTTATGAGACGCGGAGAACAGCAATGGGGCGGGTGATGGTATAGGGAACTTACCTAGGTTCGGGGTGTATCGGTAGCAGCTACATCACATCACGTCTACACGAGCTACCGACGGTAACAACGGAAAGACGAATAAGTTATCATATCTCATGTTTTACTCATGCTGTAGAATGTGTCTGTCCCTCTGATTTATTGCTTCCAGCTGCTGCTCATTCTGATATCTCGACAGCAAGAATCTGATGATTATAAATGGCATTGGTAGGTACCTGATGATTTGACCATCTAACGGGCAGCTTACCTCAGCAGATTCATTAAGATATGAAACTAACGAGGCGTGTATTTAAACAGATTAACACATTCCCACCTGGGCAATTTGAACTCTACCTCCCTAGCCAATATTCTTATAAGCGGGGTATCTCGGCAGTGCCAGTGTCGATTCGTCCCATTAGGCAGTCATCAACACCATTACTCTTGAAATATTGTCATCACGATACTTATTGTCCTGTTATCAGCACAAGACGGCAATGATATGGCGTCAGAAGCTCGACTACCTCCGCCTATGCACTCCTTTGAGCGTCCCTACAGCTATCTCTCTCGGGCCCTAGTGGCCGCATCGTATCCTCTATTGGGCATATACTACTTCTTACGTCATCCGGCCTTCTACCCTCTATTCCTAGGTCGACTTCTGCCTCTTTCTATCATTTCCATCCTTGTGTATTTGATACTATTTACATTCACTTTTCTCCCCCAATTCGCCTTTCTGGCCATATTTCACGGCCGTGCTGCATGGCTCAATGCCGTAGTTCTCGTATTGGGCGAGGGCCTGGTCATTATCCAGGGTTTGTTCGAAGGCTTCTTCGTCGACGAGTGTCGCGTAGATGTATTTGATGTGAGATGCCCCATTCCGAGACCTTCTCCCTCTATGGGGAAAAATACGACCACATATTGCTCAATTGCGATGTGCGGATACAGGCGAGATAGTTTTCGCTAACCCTGCATAGGCAACTTTGATCAACGAAGATCTCGAAAACCTTGTCGCGCCGCATCGAATCCTTTTCCCGGATGCGCCGAACTCAGTCAAAAAGCTTGGGAAACCGACCAGTGCTGCAGTCTACCAACCGTGGAGCCTAATACAGATCGTCGAGCTCATCATTTGCCTACCGCTCAACTTGATTCCATATGTTGGGACACCGGCTTTTATCATTATCACTGGCGCCAGGCTCGGAACGTTTGCGCACTATAGATGGTTCGAGCTGCGAGGGCTGAATAAGAAGGAGTGCAAACTCGCCCTACGAAACAGGAGTTGGGACTATACGTGGTTTGGTACGGTGGCCATGGTTAGTTCCCCGGAGTCATTTATTTCCCTCTAGACAGATCTCGGGTCGCATTGCTCTCGCATGCCCTCGAAAAATGTGCTGAACTTATGCTCTTCCTCATGATTACTGACTCTAGGGTGTAACAGATACTGGGGCTTATACCCGTCCTATCCTTCTTTTTCCTCTTAACCTCGACGGCAGGGTCAGCACTATGGGCGGCGAGATTAGAGCACCAGATGCGCGTATCTCAACAGGTACCGGGAGAAGTGTCAGCGCACGATCCAGACGAACCGCCTCCCCCATACGTGGATAATCCTATATAAGTACCAGTCTAGGTTTAGTAAATTTGACAGCGCAAGATGAACTACCTCTGTCTGGCTTCATTAGTGCCCTCGAACTACGTTCAGCTTTATTCAATATGTCATTGATTGATACCCCTCTCCACGACCTGCAGCATTATGCTCATGCAGTTCCCTTTGTCTACATGCGACGTAAGTATTGTCATTTCCGTTGTGCTCACCTCATCATAAGTGCAACCCTACCGAGGGATTGACGATTCAAGTAGTGTGATATAACTTCCCTTGTCGCAGGAGAACGAATTTGAGGAATACCTTGGCTTCTAACATCATCCTTACAATGTAGTGAGCTTGCCTAGTTTTACTCGCTTGTGTAGCTTGTACCGCTTCCAAATGCTTATTACATTGCATTGTCTAAATCTAGTCCATCAAAAACAAACTGCACCTCAAACTGAATCTGATGCTGTTCTTTCTACCTGCTCGAAGACATTTATCTCTCCGCCGCCTGTTTGAAATGAAAGACAGCGAGGTGGGTGATGCGCCACTAGTTGTAAGTTAGGTGCACTACCTACACTCGATAAATGCTGTGCTTGCCAGTGGGTTTGATTCTTCAGATTTGTACTAATGTAGGTAGGCAGCATCAAGCAAGTGCGGCCAATTTCGTGGATGCGGTGTGCAGTCGTCTGGCCTTTCCCTTGCCACAGCCATCTCTAGTAGTGGAAAGCACGCAAGTGTGATAGTGACTGCAACGCACTTTCCGCGGACGTGTTGATCTTTGAAGTGAAGGTGCTCTGGAGTATGTCTGACTGACTGACTTGCTCCTTGCCTGTCTGGTGGAGCAGCAGGCATGGCGAGGAAGGATGGAGGGTGCCCGTACCTGCTTAACCCGGTATGATATGGTGGTGATGGTGCTCATGGCGCTGCAAATGGTTGGCGTACCTTCCCCCCTCTTCAATATATGACGTGTCTACGTCGTTCGTGGGAAAGCACGACGTGTAGGACGCGTAAATTGCGTTCGAGTAGAAGAGATGGCTTCTCGCTTTGATTCTCCCACCCACCTTTCTCACCTGCTCCTTTCGACTCTCCTCCTCCTCACCCTTCCTTTCCACCTCGCCCGCTCACCTCGACCTAACTTTCCTCTCCATCATCTCTCCCTCACCTTTCCCTCATCTACTTACTACCGTCGCCACTCATTCGTTACAATTGCCATACCAGCATTTATCACACATTGATCAGCATCCAGTCACATATACAGACTTCCATCCGCACGTCGCCAAGCAAGCATGCGTGCCGACGCCCTCTTGGGCCTCCTTGGGGTTGCTGGCCTCACAGGTCTATCATCCGCTCAGCAATACGGCAATTCGTAAGTACAGCTTCTCCTTTCTACTTTGACGACTCTGCCTCTATGGCTAGAGCGGCTGATGCATCTTGATGGAGGCGAGGCTGACCGACCTGAACTGCATAGTCCTGGCACCTCTGGAAATGGAGGCAATCCTAATGGCGGATCAAGTCCGCCTCCTGGGTCTGGTCCTCAGACTGGATCAAATCCCGACACTGGGTCCAGCCCTGGTACTGGCACCGGTTCAAATCCTAACAATGGACCTGGTAACGGATCTGGCAGCGGACCTGCCGTTGGAACTTGTCCTGTTCCGCCAACTACTACTGTTTTTGTCACCATCACGCCTGCATTTCTTCCCACTGCTGTCTCAACTGTCCTCTCTACTGTCACCGTTTCTGTATCTCCTGGTTCTGGTAGTCCTGGTCAAGGCGGCCCTAATCAAGGCGGCTCGGGCACCGTTCCTTACATCACATCTTATCTGCCATCCGCTTCTAGCTCCTTCCCATGGTCTCCTGCTGGCGTATCACCAACCAATCCTGTTGCCTGGTCTACAGACTTCCTGACTCTCACTTTGCCTCCTGGCCCGGGTCAAGCATCTCCTAGCACCATCACCTATACCATTGTCTCTCCGCTTGGTTACAATCCTTCTGACACCAATTACAGCGGCCACCCACAAACCATAACTGTTACCCAGCCTGCGGGTGGGCCGGGAAATAGTGGTGCTCCTGGCGGTGCGCCAGGTGGCGGATTGAGTGGCGTTCCTGGTCAAACAAGTGGCCCTGGCGGCGCTGGCAGTGGTGGTAACCCCAATATTGGTACTGGCACTGCACCTCTTACGATCACCGAAACTATACCGGCTGGTAGCTCCCCCAACGGGGGTTCTGGTGGCTCTGGTGGAAATCCCAACATCGGTACAAGCCTTACTCCTCTTACGATCACTCAGACTGTCCCAGCTGGTGGTTCACCCAATGGAGGCCCCGGTGGTTCCGGAGGCAACCCCAATGCTGGTTCTAATTCCCTACCTCTTACCATCACCGAAACTATTCCGGCTGGTGGCCTACCTAACGGTGGCCCGGGTGGTCCTGGTGGAAATCCCAACATCGGTACAAGCCCTACTCCTCTTACGATCACTCAGACTGTCCCAGCTGGTGGTTCACCCAACGGTGGTCCCGGTGGTTCCGGAGGCAACCCCAATGCTGGTTCTAATTCCCTACCTCTTACCATCACCGAAACTATTCCGGCTGGTGGTTTTCCCAACGGTGGTCCCGGTGGTTCTGGAGGCAACCCCAATGCTGGTTCTAATTCCGTACCTCTTACTGTCACAGAAACTATTCCGGCTGGCGGCTCAACCAACGGTGGCCCGGGTGGTCCTGGTGGAAATCCCAACCTTGGTACAAGCCCTACTCCTAGGCCTCCTTTTACTTTTACCGAGACTGTTCCAAATGGTGGCCCAGGCAACGGTGGACAGGGTAACGGACAACCTACAGGCATTCCCTACGACACCGGCAATTATCCTACTCCTACATATCCGTACACCATCACCGTTACTGTGCCTAATGGTGGCATTACAGCATCGAACCCCTCTTCAGGTGGGTTCCCACCTGGCGGTCCTAATGGTTCCAATGGTCCCGGTGGTCAAGGTGGCATATCCATTATCCCCACTATAGTATCCCCTATTCCATCTGGCCCATTCTCTGGTACGTTTGGTATCTCCTCGTCTCCATCTCAGACTGAGAACCCTTGGGGTCCCTTTGGTGGTCTCACTCCTTCAAGTCAGTACACAGGAACAGCTCCTAATGGAGGTAGTGGATCTGAGGGCAGCCAACCTCTACCAACGATCACAATCACGTTTCCTGGAGGCTCTCCGAGTAACCCCAACGGCGGTGCAGGTGGTCCTCTGCAAACACTTACGGTCACAGGTCCTAACGGATTACCAACTGGCCCAAATGGGAGTCAAGCTGGAGGTCAATCTCCTCAGACTCTCACCGTCACGGCACCTAACGGATCACCAACTGAGCCTAATGGTGGCGTGGGTGGCAGCGAACCCCAGACACTTACAGTTACTGTACCCAACGGCCCAGGCGGTAGCGGACCACTACAGACACTCACCGTCACTGTTCCTAATCAGCCATCAACAGGACCTAGCGGGGTTGCAGGTGGAAATGAGCCTCTTCAGACAATTACCGTCACTGTGCCTAATGGTTCGGGTGGAAACGGACCACTTCAGACTCTTACCATCACCGTGCCCAACGGATCGCCGACCGGACCCAACAACGGTGGCGCAACTGGGGGTGCACCTTTACAGACACTGACTATTACCGTTCCCAATAGTGGGACGAATGGCAACGGACCCCTTCAAACATTCACTGTTACTGTCCCTAACGGATCACCGACTGGGCCCAGTGGTGGTGCAGGTGGTAGCGGACCACTCCAAACGCTCACCATTACTGTACCCAATGGAGGTACGAATGGGAACGGCCCCCTTCAAACACTGACTGTCACCGTTCCCAACGGAACGCCCAACGGCCCCAACGGTGGATCAGTCGGAAGCCAGCCTATTTACACAGTTACTGTTCCGGCACCGACCGGATCGCTGACTGGGCCTAACGGCGGTGAAAGTCAGAGCCTGCCGCCACCTACACTCACTGTTACGATCCCCGGACAGTCCCCTACAAGTTATGGTGAATCATCCATACCCCAAGGTAGCACTGGGAGTAGCCAACCACTTCCTACTATTACCATCACAGTACCAGCAGGATCAGGCACTGGTAATGGCGGTGGACCTAGTCAGAGCCAACCCCTTCAAACCCTTACATTGACTATCACTGGTGAGGAAGGACCGGGTGGAATCCAGCCCCTTGAGACAATAACTGTTACCATTCCTTCTGGAAGTCCCGGTGGCGGGGCTGGTGGCCCTGAATCTGGGCAAAGCCAACCACTCCAAACTCTTACTGTCACACTGCCAGCTTCTCACAGCGAGCTAGAGGGCGAACCACATACCATTACCATGACAGCCACAGGCGGATCACCAAGCAACAGCAATTTCCCAGGTTCCAGTGGTCAAGGCACTACGTCTTGCGACGAGAACGGACCCGGCTTGCCAAGCGGTGAACCATGGTCCCCATCGCAGACCGGAGGTAACCCCGGTGGTCAAGGAAGTCAACCTGGAGGGCAGTCGTCCGGTCCTTGGCCAACCCAGTCTGCAGGCGGACAAGGCCCATCAGGCTCACCATCAAGCGGCCCTTTCCAGACTTCCAATAACCCTAACGGCGCTGGTCCGTCCGGCTCTCCGTCGAATGGGCCTTGGTCACCTTCTTCTGCTGATAACCCAGGGGGCTCGCCAGCCAGCACTTATCCATGTACTGAGCGTGGGCCTGGCGCTTCACCATCGGCATCCGATACGGAGGGATCGCCATTTCCAGTAATCACTTTGACCCTGTCTGAGATACCAATTCAACCAAGCAGCGGCAGCAATGGCGGCTCTCCATTCCCTCCCGGATCTCAGAGTAGTCCAGCAAATCCAAACAGTGCGCTGAACCCTAGCTCAGCTGAAGAAGGTAGTCCATCTAGCGGCATACCTGGGTCTTCGGGCAATCCCACCTCGTCAGGGAGTTCGAATGCTCAACCTGAGCCCAGTCCAAGCGGTGGGTACGGTGCGCCTTTAGTGAGCGAAAGCACTCTTTTCCCCTCTCAGGACTCGGGAAACAGCGCCGTCAACTCTAATCTAGGCCCAACCACGACTCCAGCGCTACCCTTCTCATCGGCTCCTAGTTCTCCATCATCTATTACCAACGGTCCTTCTCGTGGACCCTTCTCATCTGTTCCAAGCAGCGGCTGGAACTTTTCCACATCTGCCTCTCAGGAAGGACCAGCTAGTGAATCAACCAGCTCTCCCGTCGCGGGCTCTAATCCCAGCGAGACCACTTCTTGTACTGATTCAACCACAAATCAAGGTGGATCGGCCTCGACACCCTTGTCGCCTAGCTTTTCATCACCCGTATCGCCCGCATTGACTTCACCTAGTGAGGCAGCTGCCACATCGCCATCTGCAGGCGGCCCTGCCGGCGGCTCAAGCCCAGAGACCCCTATCGGCTGCCTATCCATGACAACAATGGTAATCTCAACGATGACGTTCTCGTGGTGTGATCAAGTGGCATCCTCTACACCAGCCGAAGCTGGCCCAACCGGGCAAGCTAGCATTCAAAATGTTGGAAGTTCGGCAACCAATTCCCTTTCACCAACCTCCCCCGCTGGTGGATACGAGTTCGGTTCTGCCTCGATGGGTAAACGATCAGCTACAACGATTGATATTGTTTTCAACTCAGTTATGAATATTCCATCAACGTTGGCCACTGTCATCCTTCCATCCCCTTCAACCGAGGACGCTCTCGCACCGAGTGAGACTACTTACTGTGGTGGCCTTACTGCTCGAGGTAATTTCATTCAGAATGTGAGTAGCGGTTTCTAATGTAGAATAAACTGAACCCATCAGCTGATCAGTTCTAGTTTGATGACCTCCTACCCCAGAACGTGGGTCTTCAAGATGATCCCAAGCCTATGCCGATACTCGCTCCCTACCATCGTTTCTATTACTCAGGCGGCTTCACTGTTCTTCCGCCCCCAGCCGCTCATTTCAAACCTTCCTCTGGTAATCTCATGATCCAATTCACACCATCGTCTATTTCCAACACTTCTCAGCCGGGAATACCTCCTGATACGGCTGCTATCAGCGTTGGACCTCAGCAACTTGCAACTTGCTTCTCGTTCAACTTCACTCAAGCCAGCATTGGCTGCGATTCCAAGGATGTGCCTTGTTCATTCGCCTTCGCAGGTTTCAAATATGATCGAGTCAAACAAGCCGCCACTAAGGTTGTATCGCAAACAGTCGACGTTCCTGCTTGTCCAGAGGCGACGAACTGTGCATTAACTCCAATTTCCGTCTCAGGGTTTGATGACATAACCTCAATGACTATACAGGCACAAGCCGACGACAAACCTACCATCTGGTGGGCGGACGATTTCACTTTCGGTTGGTTCGAGGATACCTGTGAATCTGCAATGTGTCGTTCTAGAATCCCCAATGATATCACGAAACCCAGCTGGTCTGTCACGGGTCGACGAGCTGCATCCAAATTGATGAGCCTTGTCAGAATTTGGCATTGATAATGCGACACTTGATCTTTGATTGATTGAGTGTGATCGGAATATTTCACTTGCTTCACACAGAAATTTGCTTGTAATTTAGCGGCGGTCGTCATGTGGTCAAGGCTATTACCTTGCCTTCGACATAATACTTATGGTGGATGGAAGTCACAGGTAGATAAAATCACACATCTGGCAATTTTTGGTCGATCCAGAATGTAGCTATTCCTGACGATCTCAAGTCAGATCATCATGTCATACCGCAATTGATTTTGATCTCTTGGTACTCCTTGTGAAGGCTGAACTTCGCGTCTTACATAACTTGAGGCCACACACATCTCCAAATAACCGCACGTAAGTCTATATCATACCTTTAGTGAGCCATTGAAATTTCACGCAAGGTTTTGCCTCCCCCCATTCTACCTCTTCAAACACGGTTCGGTTCTACGCCTGATCCTCTCATAGCTTTTGTCTTTGAGGCATCGCACTTTGACATTCTAGTTAAAACAGAAGCTCTTTTTGAATCGTGGCACTGGTAGCTCCGTAAGCCCCGAGTCTCTATTGTAATCAGAGTCAAGCCTCGACGTACCCAAAGTCCATGCGTTGTGAGTGACCCGCACAATAAGAAGTGTTTGCGTGCGGGGTTCAAGTTCGACTTCATTTAACATGCGCTTGGTTTGGATTCACTGAAGCCTTGATATTCTTAATCATGTTTGAAACAAAATAAGTAGAAAAAAAAAACTAAAAAAAAAAAACATAATGCCTTACTTGGTTACAACTCGTATACTAAGCTCTCTAACTTATTTTCATGCAGTCATTAAATAATGCTCAGTCATTCATCATCATGCGATAACGTCTTCCATTTTTTTATTATCTATTTTTTATGTACAGAGTGATTGGATATCAAGCACTAGTATCAAGATACCACAAGTTTTAGAATGAAGTTTTTATTATGTTAAGGTGTAGTCTAAGCCGAACCCCTCTACCTTCTATCTCGTATCTCTGTGCCAAAACCAAAAATTTTGCATTCCTTGCAACCTGTATACATTTTTTGTATCTCAAAAATGGGGTATAAGTTCAGTAGGATTGTCTAGTTACTGGGTTGTGGTACTTCATTCAGAACGCCGATGGTATCAATTACAACATCTGCAAGACTCTTAAATGTAAGTGTAGACGCTAGGAGCTTCTGGAAAGGGTAGTCTAAACCGAATTCCTTGAATAACCAAGTTCGTAACTCCGCGCCGATCATGCTGTCGAGACCATAGCTTGCGATTGATGCCTGGCCGGTGAGCTCGAAGTTGTCGAAGGGGATCATGAGGATGCTTGACATTCGCCGCGCGATATGCTCCGAAACAACCTGCACAACAGCTTCCGGACTTTCGGAAGCTGCAACTTTGATGGCTCCAGTGAACGAGTTGCTTTCACTGTCTTTGCTGTTGTTGCTGGTCCCAGTACCAGCTAAAAGCCTCTCCATTGCAGCCCGCGTGTGACGGAAGCGAGAGTCTTCATGCCAGTATGCAGCAGTGTTCTCATCCACAGCTGACGCTGCCAGCTCACGGGGCTCCATCCCCATAATAATCTGTGACTCATCTGCAATCACATTTGTTGTGATTACCGACTTTGAGGTGCTTGAATCCTTCCTCGTGTCGCTACTCGATCGGGACATGAGCATTGCCGCTTCAAACCCCCGCAGCATTTCGTGCTCATCAATGCCATACAGGCCTTTTCGAACGAGTGAAGCCTCGATTGAGTCGTTATCAGCTACGACACCTACGTCAAGCACCATCGGAAGCACAAGTGATGTCGCAGCCAGCCCTGCTGCACGTCTTTGTCGCGCAAGTGAGTCCAAAGCGCTATTTGCTGCGCTGTAGTTGGCTTGGCCAGTATTACCTAGTAAGGCAGAGATGGAACTTGTCATCACGAAGAATTCAGGGTCAATGCCTGCACTTTCGAGTGCACTATGAAGGCTCAGTGCACCCTGTGCTTTAGGTCTAATGCAGTCATAGAATGATTGGTGTGTCATCTGCTCAAACATACCATCCTATATCAGAATTGTATCATTAGCAAACATCCAGTAGTAGTTGTAATACATAACGTGTCCAGCGTCTAAGAACGTCTGAATACAACAGACTTTTCAATCGGCTAGAACGGTTACAATGTGAGGATCACTAACCTTTAAAACCATCGCTGCGTGGACGACTCCTCGTATTGGCCTCTCTGCCTGGATTGAAGCTACAATTCTGGCAATTTTATCTTGATCCGAGGCATCTGCGCGTTCCACTCGGGTAGAGGCACCGGAAAGCTCAATATGCTTAACTAGGCGAGCGGCCTCTGGTTTATCGATGCCCGAACGTGAGATGAATGTGAAGTGTTTAGCGCCATGCGCCATCATCCACCTAGTTAAGCTGCGGCCTAATCCCCCTAGACAGCCTACAAGTAGATATGTAGCATCTGGGCTTAATCGCAATTGCTTCCTCTTGGGTATAGCCCATATCCGGCTGGTTTGAGGACGATAGCACACCACTACCTCAGGGCCGTCAAGTTCCTTACCCTGGTGTTTTGATGTATACATAGTGTCTTCAATATCAACACAATGGGTGTCGGAGTCAGACATTTCCATTCTGAGTGAGGGATGTGCTTCGATAAGGTTTAATGACGTCGCCAGTAGGCTTGAGGCAGCTGTGGTAGATTCTCGCAGGTACTTCATTGAAGAAGGGATGAAGCTTGCACCTCGTGAAAATGGTAACGGATCCAATGTAGTTTCAAGAGGCTGTTCGTTGAGCACGAGGAGGCGGCATGATGGTGGGATGCCTCTCCATACTTCCTGTGCCAGATGTGTATCGAAGTCATGTGCAATAATGGTAACAGCGCGAGAGGGAGCCGACTCTCTCTGACTTGATATCAAGGCATTTACAGTGTTTGCATTATCCGTATTATTGACGACGCTGAACCGCCAGCCCATGATATTTGCCAGCCGTGTTAGCATCTTGATGCTTTGTTCATGGCCTGGAAGCGATATGACAGTGTCTCCTTTCTCCAGCTTGGCACTAGAGAGACAGAGATTTACAAAAGGGTACAGCGGAAGGGCAGTATGCACTAATTGTTCAGGCGAGAGATGGAATAATTCTTCACTGACAACGGCATATGCTGAAGTAGTTAATACTGTCTGCAATGTGTCATATGTGAAGGCTATCGCACGTTTCCCTATGAGGTTTTCAGCTACGGAGCTGCCAACTCCGATAATGTTGCCCGCTACAAGCATTCGAGAACCGGCAGAAAAGGATGGCCAGTTCGAAGCCAAAACTTGGATCTCGACCTGCTCATCTCTCAAGGTCGCTAGTTTTTGGTCTTTGAACTCGAACACGAATCGTCCGTCCTCTGTCTTGGTTGTTAGCCTCAATGAACCAGATAATGGTGTCTTTTGAGGCTGGACTTGACTAAAATCTCGATTCAACACATCTCGGGAGTAAATTCGTGAAGTATGTATGATGCCCCGGTGTAACCAAAGCTCAGTGTCGCGGCCCGAGTCCTTCGTTGCTGCGGAATTAAGTGCATGTACTATGGCATGGCACACGTTGGCCGGCTTTGTATCAGCATCTACATCTAGTATTGTGATCTTTGCGGCGGCTTGCTCGGAGCGTATGACACGAAGCAAACCCTCGGCTATACCACCTGCTCCTGAATGCCGCCCCACTGAGAGCCCCTGTCTTGCTCCTCGAGTTAGCCAAAGCACCGGGACTCCCGATGTCAACACTTGCTTGATAATCTCGAAAGTAGCCTCTTTCTCGAGCATCAAAGCAGATATTGCGCCAGAGAAATCATCAATCAGTATGCGACGGTCTTGTCCTCGGGTAAATTCAGATATATCTTTCTCTTGAACCTGAGCCTGGGATTGTAGCCTTGGTAAAGTATCTCCGAAGTCACGCAAGTTTCGGTCACATGATGCTGACAACACCGTAACTTCGTCGAGATAGGAGCTGGCCTCAAGTTTCTGAGCGCTGCCCTCAGTCTTGTGAAGCAGGGTGTGTTCACCCAGCTTTAATGAGAATACAGCTCCCAATGACGCGGTGGCTTCAGAAGGGTAGATCAGCCATCCGTCCTCACCAACAAGTTGTAGAAGGAGCTCAGAACACAAAGGTTCCTGGCCTTGGACATGAGAATCGGCCACAACCAAATCATGACTCTTAGCATCAGTCATGTCCCAATTTTTAGGATTGGCGCCCCAGGTATTTAACTGCACACGTGGTTGTGCCAACTCAGACATCATGACAGCTGTCTTGTCATCGTCGCCCACGGAGACGACAACGGAAATGCTCATGCTGTCTGGGATGGTATCTAAGATGGAGCCGATCAGTGCTTGGGCACTCGCAACGGAATCGCGTACAATAATGAGTATTCTAGATAAAATTTGACGGTGACTGATGAGATCGACACATCGTCCAATTTTGTCAAGCTCACTCGGTATATCCGGCCACAATGCTTCCAAGTCGTCATATCGAAGGGTTTGAACATCGGGTTTCCAAGACATGATAGAGAAAGGTTCTGACCCTTTGGCTTCGGTCCCGTTGAGAACATCAGATACAGCAGGCAGCGCAGCTTCATACGCAGTACACGTCAAATTCTTGATATCTAAAAGCAGACTGTGATCACTGCCACTGAGTTGGACATTGGTATTGAAGCGACGCCCCTCGAAGCCGTTTGTCCATGCCACGGCGTGGCCTATGCCACTTTCTTGGCCAGTCAATGCAGGGAACAGTGTCACTTCCTCGAGGCGTGTTGGTACAACGCCCCAGGGCATATCTTTATGCTTCCCAGAGTTGATTGAGATAATGATTAGTTGTAGGCAAGCGTCAATACTTGTCGGATGTATTAGATAGCGCGATTCGCCCTGCATTTCCTCGGCATAGATTTGTCGTATGGTTACGTCGCCCGAAGCATGATGAAGAGTCCTAGCGGTCCGTGCATGTCGCAATTGCTGAAAGGTTTTTCCATAGTAAAAGCCCACTCGATGGAAAGCACTGTACCACCGTTGCCCTGACACACGTTGTGTCAGAGCCGTCTCGTCAACAGGAGTTTCATTGCTAGATAGGATGCTCTTGGGACTGCCGATCGCCGATATTCTTCCATTGCAATGAGTTGTCCATTCCCCATCTGATCCTGGAGACTCGACGGAAAAGTGATACCAATCCGATGTCGGGTCGGTCGGTGACTGTAGATTCAGGATAACCTCTATACCATCGTCATCGTCAGGTACTACCAAGGCTGTCCTGATATCAACATCACGCAATGTGACTCCTTTGAATGGCTTCCCTGCAGTTTCGCAGACTTGTTGTAGTGCCTCTATCGCCATTGACAGATGACCTGCAGCGGGGAAGATTGCCGTACCGCCGAGCTATTTGATATGTGGTGGTTAATGGTATATGCTTACAAGAGACATGGAAATTGTATTTCAGTACGAGAACTCACATTATGGTCTTTGAGCCATGGCACATCGCGGTGCCGCAGGACATTACGCCAGCTAGCTGATTTTCTTGAAAGCCCTGATATGCGACTACCAAGAAGGTCGTGGCGAGGATAAGCTCGTGCTCGCTGCTCAGCGCTGGCTCGTGGTTCTGTCCAGTATCGCTTTTCGTAATTCCATTGGTATGGCGGAAGATCAACAATCAGATGTTTCGTTTTCTGCTTACGAGCATCGTTCTTTATACCACTTTCATTCGATTCATTAACTCCTTCCAAATCGACGTTGTATCCCTCTAAGAATAAAGATCCCGCGACACTTAGCAGCCTATCTGTGTCGTTTTCGTTACGTTTCAAGGATGGGAAGTATTTGATTCGAGACCCTAAATATTTGTTATGAAGACATATTTGCTTGAAAGGGCCAGCGAGAGCCGAGTGTGGTCCGACTTCGATGAGATGAGTTAAACTTTCAAAATCCTTGTTGCTACCTAATTGTTGGACAGCTGTGTCAAATAAAACCCTGTTGCGAAGATTGTCACTCCAGTAACCTGGCTTCAGTGACTCTGAGAAAGAATCCACAATTCTCCCAGTGACAGATGATATCATGCATGATCGTGGACGACGCCACAAGAAGTCGTCCTCTGAGATCTCGTTGAGCGCATTGGTAAGCATACTATCGTAAACTATACCGACAGATGCCATATGGGGAGAGTGATATGCTCGACCTGTTGGGAGCTCTCTTGCAAAAATCTTTTCTGAAGCAAGTCTCTCTCGGACCTCTGAGATCGGGCCTTCTCGTCCACTTAGGGTCACACTGCTAGGTGAGTTTTCACAAGCGATGCAGACATCCTCCACGTCGAAAGGAGACAAGTACTCTTCAACTTCGTGCACTCCTAATCCGACCGCCAACATGGAACCTGGGGGTGAGTATTCAGAAACAGATCGTCCTCGGCAAAATGCTGCAAGAATCGCCTCAGGAGCGCTGATAAGTCCAGCAGCATAAGCCGCCCCGATCTCACCCGAGGAGTGACCAATGCTGACTTCGGGTGTGATATTCCACTGCGCGAAGAGGTCAACGAGCGCGATCTGAATTGCTGTGCATAACGGCTGGGCAATGTCTGCATCGTTGATTCGTCTTGCACTGTCCTCACTGCTCTGCAGAAGCAGTTCAGTCATGTTGAAGGACGGCTTGGGTTGGGCCTTACTCAGGATTCTATCCAGGTGCTGGATTGTCTCCATCATAATAGGGAATTCTTGGCAAGCTGCCTTGCCCATGCCAGCCCATTGTGCCTGTGATAGCAAGTCATCAGTTCATAATTACTTGGAGGCGATGTTGACTGATACTTACCCCCTGACCAGTGAAGAGAAACCCAATAGAAATTGGTTTCTTCGAAGCCGACCCAGTTTGTAAGGCTGCCTTGGAAAAACTATCGGATTCATGACCGTCTCTTGCTACAACGTAGGCTCGATGCATAAATTTCGTCCTGCGCATATTCAGGGTATATGCCAGATCAGAGAGATGATATTCTGGGGCTACGGCGCCGACGGCGGTGATATTGCGAAGTAAAGTGGGCTTATCGTGTGCCGAAAAGCACAAAAGAGTGGCCTTCTTCGAGAGTCTGACATGCTGCGAATCTCGCCTTTTTTGGGCGTGCTGATACCAGGGGTACAGAGATTCGATCGCGTCGATGATGACATGGCCGTTAGTACCTCCATATCCAAAGGACGACACACTGGCTCTCCGTGTTGGGTAATCACTCGGCCAGGGTGCTGTGTCAGCATGTACCTTTACGTTCCAATCTTTTTCTTTGACTATTTGATTTTTTGTCAGCATGCCATTGACGTACCACCAGAGAAATCCTCGCAATACGGCATGGCGGTGAAGATTACCTACTTTCAGGATTTAAGTTCTGGAAATACGCAACTCCAGGTATTATCGCAGCCTCTGTCATTAGTGCTGCTTTCATTACAGCGAATATCCCGCTCGCCGCTTCGGAATGTCCAATATTTGGCTTGACTGTTTCATGGGTTAGCACCAGCTAGCCAGGAGCATAATGGCGAGAGCTTTACCTGCTCCAACCAGCAGAGGCTTATCAGTGGGTCTCCTATCGTTCAATGCTCGTGATATTGCTCGTACTTCTATTGGGTCTCCTACAGGAGTGCCTGTGCCGTGAAGCTCGGCATAAGCTGTGAGAGTAGGATCGAGATTAGCCTTTTGGTATGCCATTCGCACCACCCGCTCTTGGCCTGCCGCGCTAGGGTGAGTTATGCCCATCCCTTCAACTTTCCCATTGCTGTTACACGTCTTTCAGTAAACCTAGTCCTCAAAGGCGGATAATTTCTGCCCACTTACGTGTTAACGGCCGTCGCGCGTACGACGCCACGAATTGGGTCACCATCACGAATCGCGTCCGAGAGACGTTTCACGAACAAAGCGCCGGCTCCTTCCGCTCTACCGTACCCGTCGGCTGAAGCATCAAATGTATGGCAAGTCGACGTCGGAGACAAAATGCCTAGTTTTGCAGTATTCATGTGTTGATCAACGGTTATAATCAGATTAACGCCACCGACTATAGCAGCGTCGCAATCCCGATTGCGGAGGGCGTGACACGCGTTATGGAGGGCGTAGATAGATGAGGAACATGCGGTGTTGATGGTGAAACTGCACCAGTTTGGTCAGCGTCGCACTCTCCGTTGAGGCGTGAGCGGAGTAAAACGCTAGGGCATGGCGTGGCAGACAGGGGCTAAGAACTGACCTCGGCCCATTCAGGTTGAATACGTTACCAATACGGTTGCTGATTATGCCAGGGTCAACCCCTGTTGCTGCGTAGTTATGGCGAAAGTCTGGTTCGCGGGTTGACATCTGCTCTATCGCAGGGAAATCCATGTCAGCGATTATTTCCGCGCAAATTATGGAATGGTGTGAGGAACTGACGATAATCTGATGTGAAAGACCCCACGAATACCGCCGTATTGGACCCAGCAATGGACTCTAACGTGATACCCGCTGACACTAAGCATTCGTATGATACCTCAAGCATCTTTCTCTGCTGCGGATCGAGCCATTGCGCTTCGATGGGCGTCATGTTGAAAAAAGTAGGGTCGAACTCTTCAGGCTGCCCATCGAGGAAATACCCTCCGGCAACATTAAAGGAGCCTGGACGGGCGAGATTCTCGTGATAATGGGCGTCGATATTGAAACGAGACTCGGGTACCCGCGGTGTCTGTCCAGAGCGCTTCTCGACCAGCATCTTCCAGAAGGATGAGTCTGAATCAACACCACCGGGCAGTCGACAGGCTGAGTGGCCTCACTGTTAGTCTATCATCTCCAAATATCCTTAGAGAAAATAGGAGTTGGGATTAGAACATACCCATGCCACAAATAGCCACGGGCTCGAGAAGGGACTCCCCCAACCCCTCATCTTGCTCTACCAAGCCCGGCGACATGTTGAAAGTCGGGTATGCTTAAACAACTTTTGTTGAAGGTTTTGGCGTCCTAGTTTGGTTCCAAGTTGTCGGGTGGGTGGTCGACTCTTTAATAATCAAACCTCCCTGCCAGCTTATAACCATTCTCTTCCGCCCAACGGCGGCGTAGTCCCGGACTCCTGCAAATTTCTCGCACCATTCATGAATCACGGTGAAAACCCCCAGATCCGTCTCATACGGGCCCACTACAATTCTCACCTTGATCCACAATGGGACGGCCAACATCGTTTCGTCCAGGGCCCCGGTCATCCAAGTATTTCGCCCCATGCTGATGAGGTGCGGTGTACATACAGAGTACACAGTCACTACGCCGATATGCTAGTGTGTACCTTTCAGATATTTCTGACTTAAACCTGGTCTTAGAAAAGACTAAGAACGTACTAAAAGACGACGTCTTGGATATACGTGTACTAGAATGTAAGATCCCTAATCTACCCCTTGCTTGTTTGCAAGAATCTAAAGTGTCGTTTGAATCAGGAACAAACTACCACAACACATTCTGAACGCTACGTGCCGCCTAGGTGTCAATATTGTCTTTTTTTTTTTTTTCTTAGTCTGTGGAAACACGCCGTTGAACGAGGCTATATATGGTATTATCGAAATCTACATATCGGGAATTTTGACACCCCTGGGCAACAACGCAAATATATCTACCCATGTCTGACTTCAATGCTTGGGCCGAAGAATGGCCCCGCCACGGTAATTGGGTCCGCCGCATCGGATAGCAAGGGCCGGGTATCCTTTACCGCGTCTAACGCTGACATCCCCTTTGACTGGTAGCTATGACCAAGCCGGCGCTCATATGGGGAAGTTACAAGTCGATTTGTATTGGCATGGAATCGAGGCACCACGAGCTATATGCCGCGCAGCAAATATCGGTGAAGTTCAAAGACTTGCGGTGAGCTCAAGCACTTTTCCTAGACAGGACAGACCGTTGTCACTGCATACGCAGCGATCTCGTGGAGACTTAATATAGCACGTATATATCATTATGTAACGGGGATGTCCAGAGGAGTTCTGAGGGTATGCCCCGAGTGCCCCTAGGTAAGTATATCGACCAGGATGATTCGACAACGACCCAAGCTTTTGGTTTGCACCTGGTCGGTACATTCTTGCCTATCCATCCAGACGACAATGGCATAGGTATTTTATGTGGCATTATAGCCCGTTCTCTCTGTACGGTTCCTTTGCATCCCAGGCAGGGAGCAACTCTTCCATCCTGTTTGTATGCTCCAAGGGATGTTGACAACAGAAAGGGCATGGTAATCTGCAAAATCACTGTTCGTACTCGGCTCGTAGATGTAGCAACGGCCAAGCTGTCAAAAGCGGGCTCGGTACGATCGTCACTAGGAACGACCCCATGCGAATGTGCTACGCATGCAGTGCCATGTAGTGTTCTGCAGCTGTTCGAAGTATTAAGTATGGAGTCGGCCCTGAATGTCGGTAACCGGTCACGGCAAAATCCATAGTCATGGTTTCAGGGATGTTGCTTCGTGACAATCCTTTTGACCGACCCTTGTAGCGTACCAAGCCTGTTGCCATATCACTCTGTTCGAATAAGGAAAGCGTTTCGCTCCATTTTCCTGAATGATTGTGAGATAACGACAAAAACGTACACTAGGTGCAGTGATGCACCACGTAGCAAGAGCCCGACATGAGCATAGGTACACTACCCACTCACGCATGAGACGAACTCCATCAATGTACCATCCGATTGAGTCTGCATGCATACAATACATCCTATGTATGTAGGTACGGTAGTACACTTTCCACAGCACTTAGCTCGCCAAGCCATGAACCGAGGCGTTCCAGTCGCTCATCAGGCAGTTCTTCCGCACATGACGCGCACAACGCCGCAAAATTCTGCTCTGCAGGCAGAAGCAGTGCAGCAAAGTGGTTCGATAGCCCCGGCTCTGTGGGACTGGGATCTAGGGTCAATCCCGGGCCGGACGCAACGGTTCCCACCAGTAACGGTACCAGTGTTCAAACGCCACACATCTGGACATGGATGCCCAGCTGTCAGATACTAAGCGAAATGAGGCGCCGTATTATCTTCCTCTCATTGGGTTGTACAAGTACACGTGTAAATAAGGATCACTAAAGTTTTAAGATCGCCCGGGTATAGTTCTTTATTGGTTCTGGGAACTGGGGTCATGGTTGGCTAGCGTTATCAGTCGACACTGGACTCCGAAATAGGAAGTTAAGCAAGATTGAATTGTCATGCGAGGATGGCAGTAATTTCACTCCTATCGGATGCTTCTGAGCAGCTCGAGCAGGTCTTGTCGACGGAAATTTCATGTTTGAATCGGACACTAGTGATGTTCGATCGACGAAGGTACATGAACGTAGCCTGGATGTGTCCCCATCCCATTGCTTATTCATCATGAAATCACGACATTTGTGGTCCAGCACAGTACGCGACCGTCCACGCGGTGACTCTACGCATCGTCAAATATCGTACACGCGCCCTCTTCCACGGGTTACTGGTCTCTTGTGCAAGAGAGCCAGCCATTGAGAGCAAGCTGGGAAGTCATTGCCCCAGATGCCGCACTTATATTCCTTGGGCTCAAGATACGGTTTCCAGCAATGGACCCATGATAAATAGATCGCACGTGGCAGAGCGGCGCAGAGCAGCTGGGCTGGGCCGGCCACTGGTCCAGCCTTGAAATTGCTTTTGAACCGGACAGACAGCCAGACTTTGTAACCCAGAAAATGCCCGATGTCTCCGCCACACCCCGAAAATTCGGAGGCAGCTTGAGCTACCCTCGGCCTCCGAAGATCCACTCCCAGTTCTTCAAATATGTCACTCAGGCTGGTTACCGATATACTAGAATATCACATGAAGTTGTGCAAAGTTGGGGTTTCAACGCAGCTAAGAGAGTTGAAAACGCTCGGTGTGTAGGTAGGCTCTTACAATGGACAAAATCCAGGAGAAAAGCCCATCTTCCTGAGCTCGTAAATTTGTCAGCTGTCCCTATAACCCTCGGTAGATTGTCCGTCCGTATCCGATAGTGAGAGCTCCCAAGTTTCAGAATTCATCCTTACACCCCAACATTCTTGCTCCTCAGTTGAGGCGACGACAAAACCCGCCCGCTCGTACAGCCTGCGTGCCCCTCCAAGCGCGCTGTAAGTCCACAAGACAATCTTGGCGTAACCGCATTCTCGTGCGAAGCGTACACACTCATCAATCAGCTTTGAGCCAAGCCCAACCCCGCGCACAGCTGGGTCAACAAGCAGGAACCGCAAATGTGCTGTGCTCGCCTCTTTCCTGTGTTTTAAAACAGCGACTGAACCTAGAAACTCGGACGTTCCCACAGACTCAACTATGAACGCGCGCTCTAGATTAGGATCGAAGTTATCGAGGAAATCAAGCGTTGTGCGAGCAACGTCGGCTTCGAAACTCGGATCCCAACCAACTAGCTGTTTATACTAATGCATTTACTTAGCCCGTGCTATTTGAAAGGTGGTATTGCTTCTCTTACCAGAGTAGCATGCTGATGAATTATCAGCCCCATGTCACCAGGACGATGCGTTCGGATATTGTAATTGGCTGTCATCGCGTACGACAAGAATTTGTTGGGTATTCTGAAATCAAAAAGCAGCACGGATCACATGATAATCGATCGATCATGTGGCGTTATGATCTTACATGATGGTCAGGACACTATCAATGGCACTGGCCGACCATCTAAGCTTCCTAGTGTGCCTATTCACTTGTATGGAAGTCCCTGCGGAGACACTTACTTATACTTATTGTAGCAACTGAGTGACTCATTGCCACCCCTGCACTATTAGGCCAATGTTCCGACCGGAAGTGGCCCCGAATTGGCAATACGCCGGCACCGAAGCCTTGGGCGCTAAACATTCTATTTTCCCTGCACCAGTAATTACCTCATCGCTCTTCAAAATCTCTACTTTGACACTAATTACAATCCGAGTCACAGGTACAGGCGACTTAGGGGTTTGGAAATATGACATATGGAAAGTCGTAGGCTTGGTGATGCAAGAAGAAGAAAATTGTATAGTAGAGGTCAGAGGACTTACTTTCCAATAAGATAAATCCACATACGTCTTGAGGTAATTAATCATCGATTTCTTTTCGATATTTTGAATGAGCTCTTTTGAATAAGTAACTAACAGATACTGGCTGGACATCCAATATTCGAAGCCCACTGCTCTCCACTAATCCCCAGGATCGACAATATGCAGTTAATTGTACCTCCTATGCCCTCCCCAGCTACTAGGCCAGCTGCAACCCCAAATCCCAGCTGCTCAAAATCACTGGGCCTCTTCCGTTTCCATACCTTTGCCATAATCGCCCCCACCATCATCGTGATGCCGGTTTGAGGGGTTGGTAATGTAAAAGCCAAGGCCAGAATCATCATGTTGGGCTGATAATTCCTGAGGAATGATAGTCGGCCAGTGAACAAGACTTGTTTAAGGAAAGCCAGTAACCCTGCACTGGCCGCAAAAGCAATCGAGAACGTGGCGCTAGATGCTGGAATGGGTGAGGTAGACTCACTGACTGCAATCGCGACTGCTCGCCAGGATGCTACTGCTGGGCCGGGGAATTGACATGTGTGATCTGTCATTTGGTCCTCAGATTTCGCAATGATGCATGGGTAGGCCTTGGTGAACAAAACAAAGATAGAGGGTGCGACCATGGTGGCGACGAACGTTCCCAGAAGCTGGGCAACGTATTGAAGGCGAGGCGGCGTGCCGAGCAAGAAGCCAACACGGAAGTCTCCTATCAAATCTGCGATATTCGAAGTCCTCGTTAGAAACTTGAATTTCTACATTACCACGCTTCTATATCACGGTGGTCTCGATGGGACTTACCAACTCCTTGACTTGCACCGATGTTTGTTAGACTAGCACCAAGAAGGTTCAGTCTTTGAGCGTCAGTGATGCTACCCCCTGCTGCCTGAGTAGCACCACTCAAAATAAGTTGTGATACTTTTGAGATAGCGTTGAGGGGTGTGGTGTCTTTATTCGCAAGTTCAAGGATCAGTTCTAATCTGACGTAGGGAGGGCTTCTACATTGACACAAGTGGAAGGGGCTTGCATACCTGTTGCTCCCGTCGCTTGAATAGCAACTAAAGAGAGGCACAAGGACAAGAATAGAGCTAAAAGTGTCTCGAGAGCTGACATTTCGAACAGAAGCGGTGCGACGACACCCGCCAGAACCACTAAAACAACAACCCCTGGTGCCCACATCCACCTGGCAATATCTCCCCTGTTCTCTTGAGGCGAAGACTCGGCTCCTGTTTCTTCCTTGCTCTCTACGAGATTGTATCCAGAGAAGAGTCGTCCTTGAAAGATTGGTCTTATGGTAGAGATTGTTACCATAGTGGAGAGCACAGCGAATTTCCATAAAATACGCCATTGACAAGCCAATTCTATTTCAGATTTCATCAGTAGAATGCAAGATAGGGCCATGAAGGATTGGTAATAGCCATGAGAAGATGGAAAGCAAAATTGAAATCTTACCGACGAAAGCGACTGTCAGCGTGCAGGCAACTCCCGGCCAAAGCAACCAGTATCGTGGACTTGGATGAGCAGCATTAGCAAATTCAGATGACATTACCGCATAAGACATAAAACCAGTCCAGCCGGGCTTGCTAGATATATACTCTCCAGTTGCAATACCCTGAGCTACGAGGTATGGTCCAATAATACCCCTGTTTCCCTCAAAGAGTTAGCTGAACGACATACAAAACAAGAAGCAGTCCATAGCGTCAGTGAAGCCAGCTGATATAATAGAAAGAGCACTAACCATGCCAGAACGGACCCTCCAAAGAACGAGCAGGCAACCCCGAATTCGACCAGCATGCCACTACCTAACATGGCGGGAGACCACTCTAAAGACCAGCCCCAGCTCTCAGCTGCGACGCATAGGCTAGGGGCAATACCAAGTTCGGCTAACCACGTAAAAATGTGCCAATTCTGTTAAGCTCGTAGTTTAGTGAATCTACACTGATTTTGTTTCCGTACACATAGCAAGATTATGATAGTGTATGACATACCCAGAATACTCCAGGCATCCATTGAGATGTCACTCTAAGAGTCATTGCTGCAATGAAAGCATAAATGGTGGTCCTCATCTTGAGCGTGGCTACTTGCTCTCCATTTGCTGCTGAATGCATGCTCCTTATCGTGATAGCAGTCGCCATAGAAGACGGGAACACGAGGTTGAGTTCAGAGGCCACATGCTCAATGAAGAACTTCCGCACTGTTTCACTGTTTGAGTCGATACTACAATCTTGGCGTATACTGATGGGAAGAATACATACGAGGAACAATTGACAGGAGCCCGAAGTACCCGCCAACCGCAGTGAGTGCGACCACCCGAAAGAAGTCCTCTGTGGGACTTTTTAGGAGCCCGAGCTGGTAGAGGGCCGGCACTGCGGAAATGAAGACATTGGACATGCCCCCGGAGGCTGTAGCAACGGTCTGGACGATGTTGTTCTCATGGGGCCCAAACGGGTGATTTGTGCCAGCCGTCCATTTCTTCAGAGCGGAGAAACCAACTATGGCCTGTTCACTTGCAGATTTAGCTAGCTAGTACCAATAACTCTAATACCATATATATTAGGAGAAGGACGGTGGATCATACACCGAGGATGTTAGCAGAGGTAGTCCATCCTGCCTTCAGACCAAGGTAGATATTCGAAGCGTTGACTAAAGCTCCACACAGGCTTCCTATGAGAACGGCCCTCGGCGTAACTATGTTAATGATTGGTGTGGTCGGCGCATTTTCGAATGGTACGAATGGATTGATGTTATATCTTGGAGGGACCGAGCCCATACGATCATCAGGATCGCTGGTAACAGTGATATTAAAGTCGTCGTCGACGCCTAACGGATGTTCGACTTCACGCCTGATCTGGGAGGGCGTTTCTAAAGACATGGTAGATGAGCACGAGATACATTTGTCTCTTTGAGTATGTAAAGAAAACCGAGTCAACTAGGAATAGCATAGTAGTGTCTCATTTGCCGTTAAAGCTAGAATTGGCCCCATTGCAGTGGCTTTCTACTTGGTACGACCATGTCGACACTCTATCAACGCCTTGAGGTGAGACGAGTAGCTAAGGATCTACTCTAATAGGTAGATGGTCACATTGTGCATATACATCCAGGGATGTGGGTTGCCTTTCCGTCGACTTGGTAATTACGGCTGCACACATAAGGAATCGAATCCCATGTGATTGTCATAGCCATGACAAGGCATGAGAGTTGGTAATACCTAAATACGCATTGCCCCCTGCACGGTAATATGCAAGGTCACAGCAACGTACAAACATTCATGCAGGACAATAAGCATTTCACCACCAGCCCCTCTTTATACCAATACCCCCGCTTGATAATTAATCTCAGCTGTCAGCAGAAGATGCCTTTCATACACTACCTAGGAGATGGCAGTGAAGACTGATCCTAGTGAAGAAGCAGAGTTCCCTTTTCTTCTCATTAAATTTCACCTGGTGTCTTATGGAAAAGAGAAAGCCCAAACTGAAGCTCACTTTAACCGCCATAACATGATGCCATCTTTCTATTTCAAATTGCCGCAGTGGAAATGGCCCATTAGGGGTAGCGCAAGGGGTATTTACACTTACCTCTCGGCCGACCAGACATCGACTGATCAAGACTCTGGCGAGTCCCTTCTAGAGAAGGCCGGACCGTGTATCGGCGGCAAGTGCTGTCATAGACCTTTTTACAGGGACGCACGATTCCTGGTTGCACATTTTGCTATATTCTCTATTTATGTATTTATTTTACTTCTGGTAGGACACAGTGCACAGAATCTAAGGTATCATGGGCTGCCATATTGTAGGTTAAAGCTAGCAGGCTCTCGAAAACATGTGGTCGACTAACACCAACGTTCAGCTCCGGCTAGAGGCTATATCACATTTCAAGAGACCTCTTTCAGCCTGGAGGATCGTATTCAAGACCATGCGAGTCCTTTCACGGGCAAGCCGAGCGAGGAAGTTGACCAAGCCTGGCACGATCTCTTGAATGGTATGTTACTCGGCTCTGACTCCAATATCTGCGTATTAGAAAGTCGAGCTAACTCGGAACAAAAGACGAGAACATCCTGCTCGAGCCCGAATACATCCGCCATTACAATCGCGAGGATTCCTCGGTGGAAGTTCCAGAACATGGCCATTACCTAGGCACTCTCAACGTGTACCATGAGTTGCATTGTCTCAAGCGGATACGGCAGTATATGTACATGGACTACTACTTCCCGTCAATTTCCGAGCACCAGAAGGAGATTAACCGGCTTCACAATGGTGAGTACTTGACAGTGAAACCATGTGAATGGCAAAGAAACGGATTTCTACGAACTCGGACAGGCATATTACTATTTCTAGGTCGTCTTTCCCTCTCAGATCACGTTAGATATGCTTATACCACTGCCGCTAACTATCTGAAAAGAACATTGCATAGACTTCCTTCGCCAGTCTGCTATGTGCCACGGCGACATCGGACTAATCACGTATAGCTGGCATGCAGACCAGCTGATGCCGATTGCGAACGCGACGAGCCACCAGTGCGTGGACTGGAACAAATTATCTCATTTCACACGATCCAGATCGGTCGATATGATGAGACCCAATTGGCTGAGGCACCCTACGAAAGGTGAGTTCTTGTAACGATTAACTGGTACGGATTCGATGGATACTAACCTGAATTCTCTAGGGGTGGCATACCCCGATGGAGAGGGGGATAACATTGGTGCAGCAGAATCACCGCATTTGGACAATGGACATGGACATGGACATTGATGTTGATGTTGATGCGTTGCGTGGCGTTTGCACGCTGGCTTGTCTGAATGTATATGTATATTCCTATTCATAATGCTAGAATCACCGTTCAGAGATTTTTGTCAATCCATTATACCATCACGGGCTTGTAACTAGAACTATTGATGGACTTAGAGCTTAATTATTCGTAATGTAAATTGAACAACAAGAAACGAGCTGGATCAAAACGTACAAGAAAAAGTAAACAATAATTTATAAGGCATTTCAAGTTCAATCTGGGGCAGTATATATATGCTGCTAGCCGCGCGATCCTATGAAGAACTTCTGGAACGTTTATCGAGTCCAAAAGATTCAATCTCTTGATGGGTGATTAACTATGTGCCAAAACATGCAAGGGCGGAGAATGAACAATATGACTATGTGCTATATTTTGAAACGTTCATTTAAATACTATAAAGTTACGCTTAGCTTGAGTAGGAGATGGGTATTTTCGAATATTGCTTCTGACTGATCTGCCACGCGATGCCCTTTTGTCATTCCCGATAACTATCTACCTTACTGTAACGCTCCACGAAACAAGGCACCCCACCTGAATGAAGCTTTATTTGGTATTTGTTGAAAGCTCTCCGGAAGACTTTAATTCAATCTATATACCAAGGATATGTCTGCCTAAATCTATTCTGGCTAGCAAGTGACCTAAACATGGGAAACCACTACGATCGAATTAGTTGTGAAATTTCCATCAATTAACTTCGACGACATAGAGAGAAAAACTTACAGGTGTTCCAAACCCACTAGCTGCGTCCCATCCGCTCATCGCCGGAAAACCCGAAGTATTACAACCTCGAGTCGAGCCCAAAGTAACATCAGTGAAGGCCCTGAATCCGCCTGAGTAGAGCCAGGGATTCAGGAACCCCAAGGGAGGCTTACCCTCGGCAATTAAGGCATCGTTGACTAGAGCCACCACCGCCGCAAAGATTGGAGCAGAAGCACTCGTGCCATCAACAACCTTCGTCGTTCCGTTCCAAACAGTTACGATGCGGTATCCCATAGCAGCGACGTCCGGGTACGCGCGCCCGTGGCTGTTGTATAGCCCATCGTGCAAACCTTCCAGTCTAGAGATATAGGAATTGACGGCATGATCCTGATAGGCCGGCCTCGCGAAGTACTCGCTAAACCCACCACCACTCACAAACCCATTTCGATCATTATATGCCACGATCTCTGGGTTGATGTTTCGAGTAGCCCCCACTGAGGTGCCGTAAGGGCAACTTTCGGGAAAGCGCGCAACAAACCTGGGATTTCCGGCAGGAGAATGGCACTGCTTCGGATCCCCGACACCCCAGTCGCCGGAGCCGAAGACAACAGTTACGCCCCTGGCCCCTAGCTGTGCAAAACTATTGCAAACCCATTTGGCATAGGACGGCGGAACCGTGTACTCGGTGTCCGCATATGATGTGCTGACCACCGTGGGGAGCTCAGTTTGGGCTAGAATGTACTGTAGCCAAGTCAGAAATGGCTCATTAGTGTTGTCTGGAAGCGACACGTCGGGCTGGTACGGTGGAGGCTCGCCCCCGACGCTATAAGTTACCAGACGGGTAGGGCTTCCGACGCCAAGCATGACTTGAGCATCTAGGTTTCCCTCACGTCCCTGCCCACGCTCGAGCTGTGATGCGGTGGCTGGTGTTTGCTGATTGACAGCACCGCCAATATCGTAAATGGTAAAGTCGTTCGCCGCCTCGGCAGCCTCCGGACGGTAGAGATGCAGGTAGCGTTTTATATCGGAGCGGTTATTGAACTCGCCCCAGTAATTGGTCAGAGCCATACTATTCTTCTCTGCTGCTTGGGCTGTGTAATTCAAAGTTCCATAAAGTGTGCGCAAGCATATTGGAGTCACTGCGCTAGTATTGCAAGCCGTTTTCGGCGTCATGTCAACTGGTGGGTTGGATAGATCTATCTTATGCAATATATCAACGCCGTCGGCAATGTCCTCGGCTGCATCATTCAGCGATGGTTGCGTTGAAGACTGCACCTGACGAGATTGTGATAAGATACTAAGCGGCCTCATTTGGGAAAAGGATGTTGTGGGTTGCACGATGTCGATAAGTCCATGTAGATGTAAAGGCAGAGACCAGTCCTCGGTGCGGACAATTGTTACATTCTGTTTTCGGTAGACGTGATATGATGTATGAAGTAATTTCTCAACTAATGAAATCGGCAGTTTCGGTGTGATGATCCAATCTCGACTTGGTGAAAACTCGAGCAGCTCCACTGGAACTTCATAGCCCTCCAGCCACTCTTTCACGGCATCGATTGTCTTGTTAGAAGGCTGAACAAGAGCCCTTACAGCCTGTGCTGTAAGATGAAGCCTGAATCTTGGATGGCCAGGAGTAGATATTTCCTCCAGTTTCTTCTCCAGCTCTTTGAAGTTTTCTTGCGCAAGACCAATGTGGAGGCTGAGCTGATGCTGACGGGGCGCTCGCTCACCTCGTATCCAATCTTTTGGGCTAACATGATGTTCTTTAAGTGAATAGAACGAGTACTTTCTTGTGCCTGGGTGTGAAGTTGATGCAGTTGAAGCTACAATGGCCCATAAGATGAGGAGACTCGTCAACATCATATGATGCACCGAGTAGGTACGCATCTAGAATAGAGTGAACAGCAAAACACCCTGCTTGCATTAAATCCAGCGAGGGATCTCGGGGTTTGAGACTGCTAACAGGAGACTCTAACATTGTGAATTATTTCGCCAGATATTCGAGTTCCGTAGCGTGACTGAGCGATACTAAACTCACCTCCCAGCTACACAAAGTGTTGTCAGTGCTTGCTGGCGATTGACATAAATGACCGTGCATGATGACCAAGGAAGATTTACATGTAAGCAAGAATGGAAATAACCCGGTCAATTCAGATGCAGCGTCATGCTACAGTATTCGTCGATTATCCTTATTGGGAAATGCATGTACCGTTTTTTGTGCCATTCCAACCAATCAACTAGCTGATACTTCAGTTTACATCTGAAATTGCCTGGTTCGGAAGTGCCTATTTGAGCCAATCAAACTGCTTCATTAGATGAAGCTACCTCCATATTATGGAGAAGGTTTGGTAAGGTATGTTCAAGTGTCCAATAACGGCTAAAGGAACCTTATAGGGATTGATGTTATGTCATTGATGATCAACCATTACATGGGTGACCCTCCAACAATAATGACTTCGTCAGAAGTGCATCGTGTTATTAGACTTGGATCAATCCAGAAAATTTCATTCCCAGATGTCACTCAATATTTATGTAATCTCTGAAACTCTTAGCTCTTGTCCCTCGATGCTTTTCAAGAGTGAGCTCTAGTTGTTTCTTTAGTAAGATCATAATCTAAATACTTGTTTTTGGAAGCGACTACACGACCAACAGTAAAACTCCATCATGCAGTTTTGGCCGAAACCCCCAACCTTTCCCTTCACCTTCCAGAAAAATCTAGAGGAGGCAGGCCGACCCATCTCCAGCAACAGTAGCGAAGATGGTCTTCTCAGCGAGAAGGATATCAGGAGTCTTCGATCGAGCCGTTCCCCCTTCTCAAGAACGTGGATCTGTATTTGCCTATCACACCTCATTCTTTTCGCTATCTACTTGGCCACGATAATCTCTCTGCGTACAGAAGTGCATAGGCTACGTAAACATGGTCCCCAGCTGGTCAACAGTGTGTGAATCAAAATAAATGAATCCCCTCTTATTATTATTTACTTACATCATCAATTAGCGCCGGCGAATGAGGCGTTAGAATGGGAATTACGGAAGTTTGACACGAATGATAATCAAAACGGGCCATTTTCTGGAAAACCACGTGAAGAAATTGACCGGAACTGGCACAAGCTCCTCAATTGCAAGTCCACACCTAGGTATAATATAGTTCTATATCTCGACATTCTAATTTTGTGTTATAGCTGAAAACATCATTATCGAAAGCGAGTACATGAAGCAATGGGGTCGAGAGAATTATGGTGTAGCGTCTCCTGACGGGAACGGCTTCCTCGGCACTCTCAACGTGTATCACGAGCTCCATTGTATTGTAAGACATTCGTTTCAAAATTAAGGGCATAACATATCGGACCTAACATATTGTAGAAACGGCTTTATCAATATACGTACCCCGATACATACGCCAAAGGCCGAACCTCAGGGGATATAGAAAGGGATCGTGCACACAAAGGTTTGTACATAAGCATCGATTTATCGTTCTTGAAGATAGTCGCTAACATCGTATGAATTCAGATCACTGTCTAGACTTCCTTCGACAGTCCGCCATGTGCCATGGTGATATTGGGGTAATCACGTTCCAGTGGTCTCCTGACAGCCTTGTTCCCGTCGCCAACTCAACCTTTCATCAGTGTGTCAACTGGGAAAAGCTTGATACATGGACAAAAGCTCGGACAGTGGACATGATGAAGCCAGGCTGGCTAGTTCACCCGACCAAAGGTGAGTAGCACTTTGCAAACTTACGAACGATGATGCTGATGATCGTAACAGGCCTGGCCTACCCTGAAGGAAACGAATGGTAATGTAACGAAAAGCTCTAAATTTAGGCATATCGCGCATATACCTATGCACGCACTGTCATCAATGAAAAAAAAAAAAAAATATTAGATATAAATCTTTAGCAATATGGGGAACTCGGTTATATGATTACATTGTTACTCAGTTGCCGAGAGTTCTTGAAAAGGTCGAAACAGGTACCTGTCATACTTCGAGTACGAAGGGTAACAAGTAAAACACTCCCGCGGCCCGGGCCGCACGCTAGAGCACTGGTCTGCCCTACGCGTTTGTTTAGATACCCGCTACCGATGCGCCAATCCATAGGCTAGTTTTATCAGACACAGCTTTATGTAGCTAATTAGAAGTTGATTATGGTCTTGTTCATTCAGCACTGCTACGATCACATTGAACAATTCAACAATACCTATAATTATTTCGCTTAAACCCTTCATTGGAACATGCGTCGCATTGGCACGAAATGGCAAGTCAAGAATGTACCCTCTTCGACCGCGACTACGCGGCAGGCAACATCGCGCGGTGCCTTTATTCTCCAACGCCTATTCGTCACGTTGATAGCTCACGCCATTGTCGACTTCGTGGCCTCCCTACCGCCCCCAGACCCTGTTCTCGTGCAACCCGAGAAGGCAGCCCTGTTCTACTCGCTGCGCCGCCTAGACGCCGGCGACTTTACTTTCCGTGCCGTAATGACGATCTCTTATTGGTTTACTACAGGCACACTAAACCTCTTTATGGTTAATATGGGTGCAACTGTCGCAGTACTGTTGCATTTCAGCCAGCCTGCGGACTGTCCGCCTCTGTACGGTGCTTTCTTAGAGGCATATACCGTCTGACGCTTTTGGGGGTGAGTGAAGTTACCTGCACTTGAAGGCTGCATGGCAATATCCAGCGACGAATGCGCGTGGGGATAAGCTGACAATGTAACCTTCGCAGAGTATCTTGGCACCAGATGTTCAGGAGTTTCCTGACCCGACACGCTCGTTTATTCGTTGACAGCGCGCTTCCCTTCCTCCCCCAGAGCTCGTTTGCGGCTCGGTATGCACGATTGACCACCGCCTTTCTCATTTCCGGCGTCCTGCACTATCGTGCAGACCAACTTATGGGCGTACCAAATGCCAAGAGCGGTGCGGTTATCTTCTTTCCCTTACACTCCCTTGGCATTTGCCTGGAGGATGCTGTCGCCCCAATGGTTTTTGCGTTTCTCCCAAAGCCAGTCCGTCGCATTACAGGCTATTTATGGGTTCTAGTGTTTTTCATCTGGTCTAGCCCGGTCTATACTTATCCCAGTGCGAGGCTGGGGATTGACACGGCTGCTCTCCTGCCTGTACCTACGTCTCATCGGGCCTTGGGTAACACGACTGATCAGCTTAAACAATGGCGTCTGACCGGCTTGCAAAGGGCATTAGCCCATACAAGGCTTGTGCTTCATTACCCCATCATCACCTTACCGGTACTATCCACCTCCACACCCTCCTATGACCCCACCCAACCATCTCCAACATTTGTTGGGCTCGTGCAACCATGGCGCTGGATACGCACTAACCTCAAAGTTCTGTTAGGAATATGGTATGAATTTCGCAGATGGAGGGTGGGCACGGAGCCCTGAAAATCGGGCAGTTCGGGAGTGCCTGGTGGATATGAACTCAAAAGCGCCGACGCCACTACTCCTGACAAAGGCCAGTGAGGATTACAAACACGCGGCGTCAACATGGACCCAACTGCTTCTAGTATCGAAGAGGATCTTCCAAGATCAATGTCATGGCGTCTCGTATCTGATGAGCAAGACACTACTTCCTGTCATCATGGTTCGTTCCTCTTATAACTACTAAGGCTTTGTATGGCTCAATGATTAGCTTGACTAAAGACATGTTTCCTTAATAACCAGGCCCTTGTAAACGGCATATCCTTCTACCGAACCCCTCACGATATCCAGGGAACCACCAATCTCCTCTTCTCGATATTTCTCGTCACCCAGATGTTCAGCTGCATCAACCGCGTGGCGATCCCGCACTTTGTCGGGAGCCGATCTCTCTTCGAGTCCCGGGAGCGCCACTCTCAGACGTACTCCTGATCCGTGTTCGTGGGCCCCAACATCCTCGTTGAACTTCTCTGGCAGACGGCGGTAGCGGTCCCGGTCTCTGCCGCGTGGTACTATCCCACGGGCCTGGGCTTTAACGGCGACGCCACCTTGAGTACTGCCGCGAGAGGCGGTATATCGTTCTTGCTGATTTGGCTGTTCCTCTCGTGGGTCAGCACCATTTCCCAGCTATTTGCAGCTCTCTTTGAGCACGCCAATATAGCCATGGATATTTGCGTCCTGTTCTACTGGCTAACCCTGGTGTTTTGCGGGTGCGTGATATCTTTCAAACTCCCCTTTCTCATATTTCTTCATCTCCTCTTACTGCGCATAGTAAATTCGCGTGGGCAAATGAGACGAGCTGCTTACCTTAAGCCTAATAACCTAGTGTTCTGGCAACGCCCAGCGAGCTACCCAGATTCTGGATATTTATGTACCGCGTCTCTCCACTGACCTACTTCCTCGAAGGCTTAGCGGTAGCCGGACTGTACAACGTCCGGATGCAGTGCTCCACTGTCGAAGAGCTACACATACCACTTGCGATAGAGTCGGGAGCGAGAAATTGCGGTGAGTACCTCTCGGCGCTAGCGCAGCGCACGGGAGCCGAGGTCTTGAATCCTGATTCTAGCGATGGGGATTGCCTGCTTTGCCCTATCTCTGGCGTCAATACCGTCCTGCAGCAATTTGGTATGACTGTCAGTCCGTGGCGGGATGTGCGATTGATGGCTGCGTATGTCTGTTTTAATATCGCGGGGACATTTCTAGTCTATTGGCTTGTTCGAACCCCGAAAAAACAGGGCAGGGTCGGGAAGAAGAGGGAAATGAGTAAATGTATAACTACGGTAATACCGAGCTCGGGGTAAATAGATTTTTCGGTGGCCTTTAAATATGCCCGTATTAAAAAAGAAAAAAGGAAAAGGCCTATAGAAATTTTCGGACGGGGAAAACAAAGGGTTCACAATACAAATTTTCAGAATTCTACAACGTCCGAGAGCTTAAAAGCTATCTAAAGGGGCTAATCGAATAGCCAAGTGCACCTGATAAGCACCATGACAACCTCGTAGCCCCAGCATCAAGAATAATAGACGAGACGGGTTTGGTAAGGGACTTTACCAGTGTCGCTTGTCCTGGTTAGCGACATCATGCGCGACCTGTTTCGCGATCGCTGTGTCCATAGCATCTTGTTGTCTCTCCACGGCCAGGAAGAGTCTGCTAAGTACATGTGCGAGGCCGTTATGTCCCAGGTGAGATGTGACGAGTCGGTACATATCGTCAATATTCTCGTTCATTCGTCGTTGTGTAGCCTGGAGCGAGAGGTCGGTGGTCGCATCGTGAAGATCTTGGTTATACGGTCCGGAACTGCCGTCGTTATTGCGGTATCGAATAATATCGGTCAAGGCGACCTTCCGCCGTCTCTTCATAATCGGGGCAGTCGGCCCAGACGTTGCTACCATCAACGACGTGCTCCTTGCCGCAGTTGCCGCAAGCAGCTACGACGACGGAAACCTAACACGGCGATAAGCGAAATAGCGAGCCCATTACGAACTAGAGGAGGGGGGGCGTAGAGGACGGATATCTCGATATAAATGAATAGAAGATTGAGTAAGTGAAGAAGCAGATTGAAAAATAAGACCCCCAGCTTGGTGGACTGCATGTCGTCACATCTGGAAAAAGAAAATACGAACCTTGCCCCTATTACCCTCTCAGTCAATCTACAAGAGCCATTTCAAGAGAACGATCGAACTGTATCCGATGCGTGCAGATAAAACCCACGTTGAACTCAGCTTATGGGCAATCACCTTGCAAATAGTTACATGACATGATTAAGAACCTCGGTGCAAGCATAACGAGACAAAATTTCTAATATACCAGCTTATATCTTGTCTTCAAATTCAAATGAACCATTCTTACTCCACTATATACCATGGGTGCTGCCACCGGAAAGTTGTATTCAACGCCACCTCTCGTAACCTAGGAAACCACTTCATTAATTTAGTTAAATAATCTTCGTACCAGAGATTATAGGCGCTTCACTTACAGGTGTACCAAGCCCAGTGGCAGCATCCCATCCGGGCACGGCCTCAAAACCTTGTGTTCCACAACCGCGATTGGAGCCATGCACTACATCCCGAAAACCATCTCTTGCCGAGGTATAAAGCCATGGGTTCAAGAACCCCAACGGCGGCCGCCCTTCGTTAAGAAGGTTGTCATTAATCAGGGAAATTATGGCCGCAAATGTAGGAGCTGAAGCACTGGTCCCATCGACCAAGTGTGATGTGCCATTCCAAACAATTGAGTAATGGTAAGCCATTGCCGAGACGTCTGGTATGCCGCGTCCTTGTGGGTTATAAAGTCCGTCATACGTGGTATTCACGCCCTCAATGTACGGCTTTACGGCATCGTTTTGATATTTCGGACGAGGAAAGTAGTCGCTGAATCCACCTCCTAGAACTGTGTGTTAATATCCGAAGCCAGTGTGTTTTACAGTAGGTTGGTCTATACTGCTCACCTGTTACAAACCCGCCCCTCGCATCAAATCCAGCAATGACGGGGTTGAAGTTCCTCGTGCCTCCGACTGCAGTGACGAAAGGGCACGACGCCGGAAAGGTAGGCATAAATTTCGCCTTGTTTTCTCCGTCGTTACTGTAGCATCGGCCATCCTTACCAACACCTTCATCACCGCTTGCAACGATGACGCTGACACCTCGGGCCCCGAGTTGGGCGAATGCAGCGCAGACTCTTTTCGCATAGCTTTCGGGCACGGTCTGCTCCTCATCAGCGTATGATATAGATATGACCTGCGGCAGGTGATCTTGTGCAAGTACATAGTTGAGCCAGTCCATGTACGGCTCATTGGTATTTTGGGGTTTGTTCTGGCTAGGTCGGAATGGCGGCTTGCCTCCGACGTTCCATGCAATGATAGGCACGGGGTAGGCGACACCAAGGAGAGTCTCAATGTCCAATGCACTCTCGAGACCCATACGTTGGTCAAACTGTTCTGGGGTATTTGGCGTTTGCTCATCTGTTGCGCCCGCTACAAGGGTGGTCTCAAAATAATCGGTACCTCCGCCCTCTAGGGCGTCAGGGCGATACACCTTCAAATAACGCATAATATCTGAACGGTTATTCCCATTTCCCAAGAAATTGACAACGCCTACTTTGTTGGTATCGTTCTGTACCCGATAGCCAAAAGTCCCGTAGAGTACTCGAAGACAAAGAGGCGTGACAGCAAGTCTATTGCAAGCATCTTTAATCGTTGGGTTAGCGGGCAATTCTTCGATCGTGGGAGTATCTAGATGGCCGCGATCCACGAGATCTTCTTCCACGAGCTCCTCATACGTCGGAACCCTTCTGTTTCGCTCCCAATCTGGTTGAGGTATTCCTCCATAACGGTCTTGTGGCATAGCGCGAAAGAAAGAGTTAGTCGGCTGAATCACGTCAACGTGTTCTCGAAGATATTCTGGCATAGACCATTTGAGGGTGCGAATTATAGTTTCGTTGTTTTCAATATTCAAAAACTCATGATATCGGCAATCCAGCAGTGCCTCAACTTGTCTGACTGGCGCCGATGCGGTGATCCAATCTCCACCAGATGAATAGTTCACTTGAGTGATCCCCCTACCATATAACCAATCTCGAACTAAATTTATAGTTTCCTGAGGAGGTCTTAGCAGTTTTTCTAGCTCTTTCCTCGTCAAATGTCGGCCATACTGGCTGTGCGAGGGGCTTGATACTGTGGATAGTGCGGTCAGTGTCGTTGTAACTCAGATATCCAGGGGTATATCAATACTCGCCTTCATATAGTCGTCTTTCAAGCTCATGATAGCCATCATGTCGAAGCCCAATGTTAAGGTGGATGACGGTATCATCCTTAGCGAGGTTGGATTTTCTCCACCGCGGGGGTGGGAAAATCGACTCGGTTACTCGTGCAGCCTCTTGCCCATGTTTAGAAGAAGAAACACCTGATATGCAGAGACAAGCAAACAACAGTATGGCAAGTGTACTACGAGGCATCATCACGATGAAGATTGCAGTTGCGAATTGTAACAGAACGAGGCGGCAAGCTGGGTAAGACATTCACTGATTAGAGGACTCTGATGCAGAACGATAATACAGGACAGGGAAGGTTTCTTAGACGATTGGCCCGTGGGCGAGTAATGGAAAGAGATCGTCGTTAGCAACCAACCCTGCAATACGAGAACGCCCTCATGCCCATCATAGGACAAGGTAGTCTAATTGCGTGAAACGTATCCTGCATTGTCATGAAAAAAAAAACTAGAGCTACACTCAGATTACGGGGGGGCGGGCAAGGATATGAGTGACATTGCATTAACCCTTGCCCCACGTGTTATCAGGCATGCGGCATGACTGCAGTGCGTAAAGTGCGTCGGCAATGTTGATTACGTACATTGCGCTGATGTCTTCACCTGGTTCCCGAATAACTCAATCAATGCATGAATATGATATTCGATTTACAAGGCTCGGAAAACTAAGCTGCGACGTAGGGCAGGGCATAAACATTGCAGTTGAAATCCTTGGCACTATCAACAACACCTCAACTTTCTACATCAACACTCACGACGATATCAAGAACAAACAGCACAGTTTCTAAGGGAAAATATGGCATCTATCAACCAAATATTCTTGCTGTTATACATCTTTTCATTAGTACCTTCGTCTTTTGTTCTGGCTGAACCAGCCCAGTACTGCCGCTATGGCGATCCCTCCCGCCCGAACGAGGACGTTGACTTCTGCATGGCTGTTACATCCCAGCAGAACGCAACGACGAGTGCTCACAATGTATATATCACCTTCACACATACGCGCCGCCAAATGTCTGCCACCGGCTGGACCGCGGTTGGAATCGGATACGAAATGTCGGGATCCTTGATGTTCATTGTCTACGGAGACCCAACATCTGGTCATGCTCCGATTGTCAGTATTCGAGCGTCAACCGGTCATCATCAACCGACCCTTGTGACTCGAGATCAGCTGGGTGGCAGCGACCTACACGTTTTACAATCTGCCTGGCTCCTGGGAAACGCGTCTGAGCCGATCGGAACAGCGACAGCCATTGTCTCGATCTTGTGTACCTCTTGTACACTGTGGCCAGGCACAACACTATCAGCGCAATCTGAGTCACAGCCCTGGATATGGGCCTGGAATAAGGACCAAAAATTCGAGGTGTATAGCTATGAGGCGCACTTGAAAATGCATGCCCATCATGCCGGAAATGGCGGCTGGGGTCGCTTCTACATTGACATGAGGCGTGCTGAAAGTGCGCCAGGCTATCTCCCCTCCGTACCTGTCATTCGGCCTGGAGTTGTTGTCTTGGGTGCCTCCGAAAACCCGAACATCTTCGCAGGTAATGGAATCTCGAGTTGGCTTGCACACAATCCCATCATCCACCTCCACGGCTCCTTGATGGCCTTTGCTTTCCTCCTGCTATTTCCCGCAGGCGTATTCAGCATGCGTTCTGGTTCAAGACGAGCCTTCAAGCATCACTGGATAATTCAGGTAGTCGCATCTGTTGTCACAGCGTGCGGAATGGTGACAGGAGTAACGATACAACACGAAATCAACACAGCCCATCAAATCATTGGTATCGTTATTTCAGGCAGCCTTGCTTTGCAAGCTTTTCTCGGTTATCGACACCATGTAGACTTCATGCGCATCAGAAGAAGGACGTGGATATCATACACGCATGTCTGGGTAGGAAGGCTCATCCTATCCGGCGGCTTCATCAATCTTATTCTGGGTCTCCTGCTACGCGGCTACTCGAGAATATGGATATGGCTTACAGTTGCGGGCATTATTTTGGACTCCGCCACTCTCATAATCTGGATCTGGCGCCAGAGGAGACAGGCTACGTCTAATATGCGTGTTGCTGAATATCATGCTTTGGAAGAAGACGCTCGACAATTTGCCGTTGCTGATGATGATGATGATGATGATGATGATGATGATGATGATGATGCAGGATCTGACCACGATGTAATTAATGCAGATCCCGATGATAATGAGAAAACAGAGGGGAAGGGAGCTTATGTGCCCAGAGGTCATTAGCTATTGCACTGAATCGTAAGAAAAACTCCTATTGTGTGGTTGCTTTGACCAGGATAATTATTAGCTTGTTTGATGACATGAAAATTTGATGTTAGAAGTAGAGTGAGGAGAAATTACCGAGTGATGAGAGCTTTACTAGACCTGGACACGATAAACGCTCGCACTATATAGGCCCTTGTGAATAGGTTTAATGGTAGGCGTTATATCTCATAAATGATTCATTTTAGTATATTGAACGTTATATTGAGGGTTTATCTTCAGCTGCATGACTATGGTGCGATTCAGGGGTAAGCGAGTGGCATGATTGACGTCGGGCAGCAATGGAGCATTAGGATAGAAGTTACCCCGAAGGGATGGGGATAGCTTGGTAGTCAAATATAAGAGGGCAAGAGACCCCCTTGAGTAATAGGAAGGCTAGGGATCAACATTACTGAGCGAGCCCCTATCCATACATTCGATCTAATATCTACTACTCAGGTGGTACCTACTTACAACCAAGCTTCACTCCGGGAACATCCACCCATGACAATTTATCAGCATAATTATTAACTAAATCAACATCTTGTCGTTGGTGGGGATGTAAGAAGATACATAATGGCGCTTGCGGCACGCGCCCTCGTATCAGGTTGCATTCCCGCCTTTCGCGCCAGCTCTGTTAAGAGAGACCAAGTATCTGATGCCTTAAATCGAGAGGAAATATTTAGTACGCGATTACACACGCTACCATTTAGACGACGTGCAACAAATACTTACCGAATTTTGTAATGTAGCTGCGTCTTTCTGTACGAACCGTGCGATATCTGGCTGAGACAGCAATTCTTGAATTCGACGGGCAATCTCGCCTCGGGAGGTATCCACAGACAGTTCTGCGGACTCTTGAAAGGATTTATCTTGTACTGAGGCACATCGACTATCCGGGTAATGGGACTTGCGTGACAGGACCAGTTGGCGAAGCTCACCAAAATAAAGCTTTTCGGCCATATGGCTGACTTCATCTCGATATGCCCTCATCTCTCGTGCGCTCCATTCCATATGGCTTTCCTGGAGACTGCAGAGTAAGCTACGAAGTCTTCGGGAACGACTAGCAAACTGTATAGGTCCTATAATAGAGGAGTCAGAGAACTTATGGGTATAATAAGCTGATGTCATCGAATCAATGGAGTCGAAACCATTGTCTTCCACGACGTGCAATACACGCTCCAATCGCGATTCTAAAGATTCAAAATCGTGAGCTTGTTTGCCTCTTGGATTTGACTCAAGACTTTCAGGATCTGTACTAGTGGAGCGGCAGCTATGTCGAGTTGTATGTCTATCCTGGATAGGAGCAGGGTGGTGGAACTCTGTACGACTCTGTTGTCGGCCTTCTTGCATAATGCTGGATGGTAAATGATGGTGGCTATGGCGGGGAGACTGTTTGTGGCATCCCTCTGGTGATTTGCTAACAGGGCTAAGTAGATACTGAACGTTGTCCGTTTCTTCTATCAACGATTGAGTTGATGATTGATGAGGATTGTGCTTGGGGCGAGCCGTGCTGTTCACTAGAGACAGATGGCTGCTCTGAAGATCGCCTGTATTTGGAATAGACTGGACGTTGCCGATGCCAGCAGATGCACGCCAATCTGCGTCGCTGCTTGACGGTATGAGTGAGCTAATGATAGCCGTATTGCTCGCACGAAAGTCTGTCAAGGCCGAAGGCTTCTCGGGTGTATGGGAGCTCACACTTGCATCAACGTCAGTGTCGGCGAAGTCGAAAACAAGGGTCGGATCCGGTTCGAAGGGATTGATCATGTGCATGTCGTCTCCATCCCAAGATGGGTAGTGTGTCGTGGCTGGTTGAGTTAGGTGTGATTCTTCGACTTGGTGAACTCGAGTGTTCTTGCCGTTGGCCCTAGCCAACTTCTTTTCTATAGCATTATATTAGGTTAGGAGGAGATCTTAAGAAGCGATGTAGGTGTTTCTGCCCACTTTCGCGATGCTTACGCTGAGCTAATCGGTTCCTTGTGCGTTGTCGTTCTTCTTTCGTTGTCATGTTCTCAACATGATAGAAGGTAGCGTTGTTGTTAACCTCCATTTTGACGTTGAACGAATTGCATGCGTTGACAAATCCGGGGCCTCTCAGCAGCATCACGTATAGGAAAGAGACCAGGCTAGCTTTTGTCAAATATATTCTCACCTTCGACCTATCCAACTATGTTTTTGCCTCAGCTTCTAGATTGCCTGCATCTGCCTACTAACTACCCAAATTACGGCACAAAATACGCCATAGAGGCACAGCAGCGGACATGTGATCTGAAGCTGACATCTGGGAGTAGAATTCACTCTAAGGACCCAAGGAAGTAATACGGAGGTTCTTATCGCACTGCAGTAACCTAGTTTATGACTCAGCTAGGGTTTCAGTTTGGGCGCCCATGAGTACCCGTAGACTACCTAGCTGCTGCGGCAATTATAAGGAGTTCACAAGTCTTCTGTAGGCCAAAAGCTTTCTGCAGAATTTTGCCATTCTACCAAATTGAGTAGTATCAAAATTGGTATAATAACTTTTTGGCAGCCTATGGGTTCTTGGTAACCCGCGGGTTATGCTAAAATGAAGTTTTTGGGTACCCGCGGTTTACTGAAACCCCGGTTCGGGCCATTAAGTATTTGGCACGAATCAGGTCGCTAAACTCATACCTACATATGTAGGTATGTATGAGGCGTAGGACCCACGCCGAAGACTCAATAGATGTGATACGGAGGTTCTTATCTCACTGTAGTAGTGGATGAGGCGTAGAATCCAGCTGCATAAATTGCAACAACGATGATTGGATCGGACATTCGGCGCTTTTCAAACTAGTGACAGTCTGAAATAATCCTCTAGGCATTGTGTTTGGGTGTGTCTCATGTAAGCATGCAGTTGGCACACAATCTAGAACCTGCGGACTATGTAACACAGGATTGAATGACGGTGAGACTCTTCGGGCTGTTTTCGTATGCAGACAAATAACACATCACTATCTACACAATGAACATAGGTATAGTAGATCGCCCCCTCTCGTGGTATGGAATCGTGATTCCCGTCGTTCAAAGATTTTGTAACCCGTTGAGCACTACATCATTTCAATCTTACCCTATAACCAACACGCTAAGCTCTCTCTAAACATGGACAGCCAGGACGTCGAAAAGATCAGAGGGCAAGAACCGTTGGAAATCCAATGTTCAGAGGGGTCCAAATCCGAATCCGATTCTCTTCTGGTCAGTCCATTATTGTAGCTGATTACCATATATCTGAGCTTATAACAATGCTAATACTGGGAGTATTAGGTGACCTGGAACTCGAACGATGATCCCGACCACCCCTTCAATTGGAGCCAATTTCGAAAATGGACGATCACTCTGCTCCTCTCACAGGGAGGATTAGTAACTCTCATGTCAGGCTCGATGCTGGCCCCTGCCCTGACAACTATTGCACAAGACCTAAACACGGGTGTAGAGGAGACCCAGATCTTCCTCTCAATTTTTGTGCTCGCTTTCGCCTTCGGCCCAATGATTCTTTCACCACTCGCTGAGGTTTTTGGCCGCCGTCCGATTTGGATCATCTCAAGTTGCTTCTACATCTTATGGAACACCGTCGGTGGCTTCAGCCGGTCACCGGGTCTCCTAATTGCTAGTCGTATCTTGTCTGGCTTCGGAGCTAGTGCCGAATTCGCCATTAGCAATCCAGTATTAGCAGACTGCTGGCACCCTTCTGAACGTGGCAAGTCGTATGCTATCTCTACTTTTATACCTCTCTTAGGTCCGGCCCTAGGTCCTATCATTGGTGGAGCATTGACCGGAACAATTGGCTGGAGGTGGTCCTTCTGGATCCTTTCAATATATGATGGCATCCTCGTCATCATAGCAATATTCGCCTTCCCAGAGACATATGAGGTCATTCTACTTAACAGGAGGGCGGCCATGCTGCGAAGAACGACTGGGAGACCATACTATACCGAGACTCACGGTGCTTCGGAAACCCTGAGCAGTAAACTAGCCAAATCTCTGAACCGACCTCTACGGCTACTATTGACTCAGCCAATATTGCAAGTCGTGGCAGTGTTTCTTGCATATAACTTTGGCATTCTCTATATCGTGTTGTCAACGTTTGCCACCTTATGGATTGAACGCTACGGCCAGTCCGAAACATATAGTGGATTGCATTATATTGCTCTTGTAATCGGCTACACCATCGCAGCCCAGGGGGGTGGCCAGCTGATGGATCTCTTATGGAAACGCCTGAAGGAAAGAGCTGGGAATAGTACCGCTCCCGAGTACCGTGTCCCGTTGATGATTCCCGGTGCTATTCTCATTCCACTCGGACTCTTCATCTATGGATGGGCAGCGGAAAAAAGATACCACTTCATTGTTCCGGACATCGGGATCGCCATTTTCGGTAGTGGGATTATTCTGAACACTCAGGCCATGCAGGCATATGTCACCGACGCATTCCTAAAATATACAGCCTCTGCGTCTGCAGCTTCCCAGTTCTTGCGCAATATTTTCGGGTTTGCTTTTCCAATTTTCGCTCCAGTTCTGTACCAGCGTATCGGTTATGGCTGGGGCAACAGCTTACTTGCCTTTACTTTCATTGCTCTTGGATGGCCTGCACCCTTCCTGCTCTGGATGTACGGGGCAAAGTTAAGGGCACTTGGAAAGCCGCAATGGTGAATAGAAGGAGCAAGAGGAGGGTTTGCCTTTTGGTGATGCTTGTTTTCATGTGGGCACTTTCTTCGTCTTAAGCCTAAACGGTTAGCTTCCACAGTGCTCGGGTTATCTAATTTCGCTTAGAGAATGAGAGCCAGACTATTTGAAGGCCTGTCATTTTTCGAAGTTATTTAACTCATACGGAACCTGCCCAGGAACTGGTTGCTATATATACCCAGGGGAAGTCTGAATACCCTCACTCACTTGAAACCTTTTGATAGATGCACAACAATAAAAGTTCTTGCCGCACACTTACAAGGCTACTCAAAACATTAGACATCGTCAGGAACTTTCCAGTCCTATTCCTTGTTTTTCAACCTCCTCCTCACCTTATTTCCTACTATCTTTGGCGTAGCAATCGATCAATCCAGCAATACCTAGGTGCAGTGGGTTGATACCTATTGTCTCTTACTCTTTATTTAATGACTTTCTATTAGGCCCATTTCCAATCTTATGACCCAAAAACTACACCCCACCTACAATAAAGACTTGGAAATAGCTTTGAATTAACAACAATCTTCATTGACTGCCTAAATGCTTCGTTAAGTGGTCTCCCTGGCTAGCAAGGATGACTTGACTTTATGTACAACTGCCGTGAAGGTTCCTGACTTTCGTGGTTGGACCAATTGTCTCAAGTAAGCGAGGGCTGAATACCTTCAGTTTCAATACTATTGAGACACTAAATAGAAAGGCGTATGCGCACACGAAACAGTGTACAATGTGTTCACTGCCTTCAGGGCGTGTGAAACCACCTTTGAGGCGCTTCTCTCTCTCTCTCTGCCATCGTATGTTTTAACGTTATTTTTTTAACGTAGGGAGGACAGTGACATATGACTCTCAATGATTTTTAGTGTTCAAAGTTTATCATTGCTAAAACACGCTACCCCTCTGTCTGCGCAACTTTTAGATTCACTTCTCATCATGGGGGCGTTTGCAACATGTTCGTACCACGAGCGACTTAGCATATTCTTGTTCTTTTTTTAAAAAAATAAAAATACAAAATAAAAAAACTCTTCCTTATTAATGAGCTAAATACCATATGAATTCTAGCCACCTCAAGTGTATGATTCATTCTAAATTGTTATCTTATTACCCCTAATACTGCCTATGTTATCTGGAAGAGAGAATGAGACACTCCCTGAAGTGCCCCTGGCATGGGATAACAAGGCCTAGGATCCAAGGCTCGTAATATAACTTCATTTCAATAATAATCTTCTATAACTGCCAAAGTCCCACAAGATCCGATTGGATCGTCCGGTGTTGCAGGTGAATCTTACTCTAGATACAACTTGAGTCATGCCTCTTAACGCCTGAGTCCACCAATGGGCCTCGAAATAATGAGGACTCAGTAGCCCCAGTTTCAGCAAGTCTTCATATGGGCACAGGACAACTGAACTGAGCATATGAGACATCGTAGAAAAGCTCATCGCGTGTAATTAATACCTGGAGCTCTGTGGTAGTTGCCGTATAATTCCCCGGAACTCCATAGATCAATCTCATTCTGGTTCATGTATGATGTTGAGATCATTCGTTTGACCATACTGGTTATAAACCGGTCCTATGATAATTGAGGTTAATGCAGGAGCACAAACATCTCGTGAAGTGAGCGTGCAGAAACTTACCCAGTTTCGGGTGAATGATCAGGCCAGGCTTATACATATCAAATGCTTTCTCTTCAGCCCAGCTTGAGAGTTTAGGCCAATTAACACATTGGTGCGATGTTCCATTCGCTCCTGGTTTAAGGGTGTCGGGCTGCCAACTATAGATTACTAATCCCACGTCACCATGACACATTGCAAATTTCCGCAGTGTATTAAGGCAGTGATCTATATCTTATTATCAGCACATCTTCATTTCGTAGAGGTCAGGCGAAAAGTGGGGTACTCACTACTGTGCGATCTGTTCTTCTCTCTAAGTACGCTACTTGCGTTTGGCCAGTATTCTTCATGATAAACAAACTTGTGCAACCATCTCTATATTGTCGCAATTAGCAACCTGCACAACGTATCTTTTCCTTGTAATAACTTACTACGCAGTGTAGCTCGTGATATACATTCAGTGATCCTGCATAGCCAGAGCCGTCTGATAATGCTACGGCGGTCTGCTCGCGACCGAATGCCTTGACATCATTCAACCCCAACCTGACATTCATCGCTGGAAGCTCCATCAGCTAGGAAGTTCTCAAAGGGATTCAAAAAGTGAGAAACTCACGACCTAATAACTCGGCCCAAGCCTTCTCCAAATCCGGCCTCGGCGGCCCGATGAAATCGCCATGTAGGCCGTTTCCAGATTTAAATTCCTGAACGCTCCAGTCGATTGCCTCGTTCGCCGGGGCTAAAGTTCCTCGGGATTAGCCTCTAGGATTTAAATCACGACGTTATTGCTTACAATATAGAATTTGGCGATCAATTCTTTTCCAAGCATGCCCAAGCGCAACTGATAACCCAGCAACCGTTGCTATGTAGAAAATAAACAATGCTGCGTGGATTTTGAAGGCATGCTTTCCGCACAACCAGGAATTCCCTTCACGGTGAATAATCTGTGTTTTGGAAGAACCGAGGAGGCCGTCGGTCACAGCTCCCGACCAATCCTCATCCTCACAAGGATTTACTGTCTTGGTAGTAGGGTCGTACGCGTCCATCCTGTAACCGATTCGTACGATATCCCAAAAGATGGAAAGCCGATCAAAGATCTTCAGAAGAAAAGAGTGTTGAAGAGAAAGAAAAGCTGGTTGTTAATCAGCCGCCACATATGGAATTGACACTAAACGCATCAATCTCATGCAAGTAGACTCTTCATGGACCTATTGGAATCTATGTCTAAGGTACTGCAATGAGCCAGGACCAGCCTAGTGCAATTGCAAATAAGTTCGTCACTCCGTGACTGGACTGGCTTCGATTCTTCATATTATTTCTCAACATCCACTTGGTAGGCCCACAATGCAATGTCATTGTCATGTCATTGCGTTGACAGGACGTCAGCTTTCATGCACAGTAACGCGATGCTACCCTTCGGTTAGTGGGTCTAGGGAACCAGCACTCCAGATACGATTCTTGTCCCAAGGGCACAATTTGTAGCTTAACGCGCGTGCAGCCAGCCTCGTCAGTCCTCGTAATAGTCCCGTATCTTCTATGGTGGAGTGAAGTCAAATTATGTTCTGCATTTTGGCACATGGGGCTTACAATCACAGACTAACTTGCGAGTTATGCCATGGCATGATCCGTCTGACACGCCCCTTTTCGCGTGACTTTACAGAATCATCATGTGAGGGCTCTACTCAGATTCACCGCCAAAAGTGACCGCCACAGAAGTTACGGGTGACAGTAACGTCTCCAAGTGTAGCTAAGCTGACGGAAAGTATGAGCAAGGATCGCACCTATGACAGATGAATGAGGGGCAACGCAACAGGTAGAGGAGACCGGTGAGTTTCAGATACTCACATACAGACTCTGCCAGAGTATTCACCGCAGCTAGATTACACCTAACAGAAATGGCCGGGGGGGAGGTCTACCGCAATCACTCCAGAGCCAAGGGCCGGCAATGAGGAATGATTCAGCTAAGCTGTCTTGTCAGGCATCAAGCCAATTGTGAGGATTTGAAGGACATCATCCAAACACACCGATAATTGAAACCAGAAATTGAGTATAAACTACGCCTGTGCCCATCGTCTTTTGTAGTTCTCTATTCGAAACACCAAGTCGCAAACTCCAAGTAACCCGCACCAATAACAAAGCCTCAGCATTCAACGCTCACTTACAATCAATTGCCTCACTCGTCGATCGTGTTCATCTCGAGAAAGTAGCCAACATGCAGTACCGCATCGTTTCTAGTCTCATCACCTTCGTCCTTCTCGGCACCTCAGTTGCTGCCCCTTTCCCCTCAGGTAATATACCAAACCCATCATTTCAAACACCTCAAACCAGACTAAATTATTGTCTAGATGCTGATGCCGCTACAAAATATGTGGTCGACAAGCGATCTGATGCTGATGCTGCCACCAAGTATGTGGTCGACAAGCGCTCCGATGCCGATGCTGCGACTAAGTATATAGTTGACAAGCGCTCAGACGCTGACGCTGCCACTAAATATGTGGTCGACAAACGTTCCGATGCCGATGCTGCTACCAAATACGTGGTTGACAAGCGTTCTGACGCCGACGCCGCCACTAAATATGTCGTTGATAAGCGCTCCGATGCCGACGCTGCCACCAAGTACGTGGTCGACAAGCGCTCTGACGCTGACGCTGCCACCAAGTATGTTGTTGATAAGCGTTCCGATGCCGACGCTGCCACCAAGTACGTGGTCGACAAGCGCTCTGACGCCGACGCCGCCACTAAGTACGTGGTTGATAAGCGTTCCGATGCTGATGCTGCCACTAGATACGTGGTTGACTGAAGAAGCCGGGTGTGGAAGAAGAATTCCCGGGCCCCTGGCGAGCTGTCTTCCTTAACCAGGTCAGCATGAACTCAAGGCTGTCCTAAGGCAACACTCACCACCTGCCAAGTGCGTGGTCAGTGCGGAACTCTCTTCGTTCGGAAACTGCGATATCCAAGTGGTCGGAGGGGCAAAGTGCGGAACGAGGACAATGGCTGGCTTCGTGTATTTCGTCCGAGATCTTGTGACTACTTTCGTTTTGGTGTGGGTTATGAATGTGTGGATTTTCTTGCGGGCTTCTCGAAACCAATCTGCGTATTAGTATCACTGGTACCTTTTAGAGCGGTTCAGATCTAGCTGTCCAATCATTAAGTTCAACCCGTTGTCCCCCTGTAGCAGTCCTTATGTACAAATGAATACCTAGTATTGATATGATTATATGAAGCATCGGATAATGCCATCGAAGGACGTCACTAGAAGAGGCATGCAAATCGCAGCTTTTCTATAGAAGGCTGGAAATACTGGGCAACCCTCTAGGCCAGCTGAAAGTTAGGTAGGTAGTAAGCCCAGCACAGTTAGTGTGAGCATTACAGCACGTTTAGCGTTGCCGCTTATGGGATTAGGGCGAGGTCCTGGTAGAGGTAACTGGTACCGCTAAGGCTCGTCGCGTCAACACTGGGAACCATTTTAGAGAGCACCCTGGCTAATGAACACGCGGATATCGCCTGCAAGCACTCACGATAGCATCTGCCTTGCCGTGCTTGCGATCTTGACTGAGATTCGGATCTTAATTACAGCTCCTACTAATTCTGATTGCGCAGGGACGGGCGGTAATCGATTGGATACAGGGCTGTATTCGTCACATGACGCGGGCGTAGAGGGCATGGTCCTATTCCATGCACACCTTCAGACATATCGTCCCTTACAACTTCTTGACTCTACATGGTGGGGTGGAATCAAAGAGAGTACAGCGTAGAAAATGAATGAGACGAAGAAGAGTTCCATGAAGGGAGCTTCGGAGAGAAGTGAGTGGTCCTATGAGATGTTGAGTTTATCACACCAAGCTTTTCTTGGCCGAATTACCGGCGTCTCTCCTATTTAATTATCAACCGTTGTGGCTAAAATCATTTTCCTGCTACACTACGTAAAGGGAACTTGGGGCGTTTAAGGAATACTTGATATAAAGTACTAACTATTCTTATTAAATCTAAATAGTTAATGGATTTACTAATTATCGTGTTGTTCTTCTACTTAGCGTCTTTTTGTTGGCGGTTTCAGCAGCTCTCTGATAGCCGTAGGTGCGGGCCCAATTTCAGGGTGAAGATAAACGCGTTCAAGAGAAAATAAGGGGAGGAACTCGTATTGCCAGCCTTTCCAGTATTCGTTTTGTCTAATCATACCGTGGAGTTTACCCCTCACCTTTGCAAAAAATACGCGAATCTTAACCCCTTGCCCTAGGTTATCAATCACAGCTGATGATTGATAGTCTAGATCCTCTGCGTGTATTGGCGATGCAATGTCATAATAATCTTCTTCAAGGCGTTCGGCACACTCAAGCGCTGTCTCACCCGGCTGAATATTATTAAATGGCACACTGTAAGTTGGTTTTGGGTCTGTAGGTCTGCTGCGGACAAATACCTCGATGTCTCCTGACCGAAGTGTGCGGTAAATTAAAACACTGGCGCAGGTCAACTGTTCGGCGGGAGTGTGTGCTTCACCGAGAATTGCGTTGCTCGGCATTTTTAGCGAGTTGTTGCTGTATCTGAGGTTGTTGTGTGAGATGAGAATACCTTTGTTGAAGGCGTATGCACTGTAGCGATTGTTGGTATAAAGCGCCAAGCGTGGAGGAATATATAGCCAAAAGTCACAATGGCTTTGTATTGTGCTTCATTATAAGGTTATATACAATGGAAACATTGGCAAACAACGAAACTGTTTGGGCAGAATAGAAACAAATAGCTATATTGTATACGAACTAGAACTTACCGTAGATTGGTCCAGAACTATCTTTGAATTTTGTGCTGAAAGTCTTGCGCTATGCTGGGTTGGGTGTCTCACGTCTTCACCTAGGTAATGCTAGTTAGATTCTCTCCACTAGCAGTCCTATTCTTGACTGGCCCATATATCACAGTAATGACTTCGTCTTGTCTTCATTATATGCGTCGTCCAATTCAGCCGCGAGAGTGCCTTCAGCGATATCTTCTCCATCTTGCGCATCCGTAACCCATTTGACTCTGCCTCCTATTCTGGCTCGGATCTCAAGTTCCATTTTCATTTGCTGCACGACGCAGATAACCTGTCCCTGATGGACCTCATCTCCTTCGTCAACACTCAGCTCGACCAGCTTTCCAGGAAACGGCACTACCACATGAAGTGGATTGTTGACGTCTCCCTGTCGATGTTTGCCTGCTGCTACGACTGAGGCGGATGATGCATTACTGCTGATTGCATCCAGCGTAAAGGTTTGGGGAAGGGGGGAAGTTGGATGCGAGTACTCGATGTCGGCCTTAAATGATGAAGGGAACTCATTGCGAACTACCCGTGTGAGCTTAATGTGATGCGCTTCCTCAGTTGAACCAAGAGATGAGAGTTTGAGGGCCCATGCGTCACCTTTGCGCAGCATTATCGTCGATCTTATGCTACTGTCGAGTGATGCCGAAGGCTGTCGCTCACCTTCGATAGACCGCGACGCCTCTTCCTCTTTATTGATAATGTTGCGGGAGATTTTTGACCCAGACATGATCAGGTCGCTCATGCGTCTCTCGAACCAGGAGGTATCGCAAAGTGAATGTACAAAGTCTCCATGTGATACTACCGCACGTAAAATATCTAAATTCGTTTTCACTCCTTCAAAACGAGTATCTTCGAGTGCTCGTCTGCATCTGGATACGACAACGTCTCGGCTTCCCCCCGTAACAACGATCTTAGCAAGCAGGCTGTCAAAGTCAGCCCCAACGGTCACGGTCTGGAGATGACTGAGATGAGTGTCAACTCTCACGCCGTGACCAGTGGGTAAGGAGAAAGCCTCCACTTTACCAGTGCTCAATGTCCAGTCTCTCTGAACGTTTTCAGCTGTAAGCCGTAGTTGAATAGAGAGCAGCTTCGGCACATGCATAACGTCCGATGACACCTTCTTCAGCTCAGTATCTGCGAAACTTGCTCCTTGCGCTATTTCCAACTGTATCTTTACTAGATCGACGAGTGCGATACATTCCGTGACTGTATGCTCCACTTGAAGTCGTGGATTCACCTCCAGGAAGAAAAACTTGCCTTGGTCCGTATTCACGAGAAATTCGAAAGTGCCAAGAGAGAGGTACTTGATGCGCCGCGCCATTCTCATCGCCGCCTCAATTATTCTCCCGACGAACTCGCGGTCTTGGATAGTGCTGGGTGCTTGTTCTATCATTTTCTGGTATCGTCTTTGGATGCTACACTCACGTTCCCAGAGACTGGGTATTGATATTAGTAATAATTATTTCGAAATAGTGTATAGTAAGACATGAAAGAAGGTTTCCAAGTTAGAATAATCCGGGGATAGAGCTCAATAGCATCAAAGAATGGAATAGAAAGGTCGATTACATACTGGCGCACTTGGCCAGAGCCATCACCAATGATCTGAACCTCAATATGCCGAAAGCCATCTACTGCAGCCTTTTCGACAAATATTCGATGAGAAGGGCTTTCAGCGATTGCGCGTTTCGCGGCGCTCTCGAGATCCGATTCCCGACGCACAAGTCGGATACCCTTCCCACCGCCGCCGTCAACGGCCTTGAGCATAACTGGTAAGCCAGCTTTTCTAACAAACTGCCGAATGTCTTCCTCCCCTCCGGACGGTATGTCCGTTGCCGGGAGTGTAGGAACACCGCATTGTTGGGCTAGCAACTTCCCAGCAAGCTTATCACCCGTCTTAAGGAGGATATCCCAACCTGGACCCACCACAAGAGCTCCAGCTTCAGTCCACATGCGCTGCGCAAAATCCGCCGACTCGGACAAGAAGCCATATCCTGGGTGAACAGCATCAATTTTATGGTGCTTCACGAAATCTATCAGAGTAGTTGTGTCCGTGTAGCTCGCCGATGAAGCAATTGGGAAAACGTGAGCAGCGCCCAATGCGTGACTGGTATCACCGGATGTAGTCAGGGCGAAGGTCTCAATTGCCAATTCTCGTGCACAATCAATAATACGTTTTGCTACTTCGCCTCTTTTGAGAATTCAGTAAGTTATTCAGACATAATGGGTCATTCTATAATATCAAAACTTACCTATTTGCGATGAGGAGTCGTTTTATCGGTCTTCGGGGAGGGCTGTTGATATGATCTGACGCCATGGTCCCTCCCATCTTTCAAAGAACTATGATCCTACGATCGCGTAATGAGGCTATCTAAAGATAAATTCGCCGAAAGCGCCTCGTCTCCTCCCTTTGCCTTCACAAGGTACGGTATCTAGGCAAAGATGGGTTACCTATAATTTGGTACATCGCTGTAGGTGTAACTGTCAGGGGTTTCCACCCCTGAACCAGCGGTGCGGGGACAACTGAAAATTGCCGAGGCCCTTTCACTATCCTACCGTGGCTTGCCTGGGAAATACCTGGCTGTGCTTTGACAAGCGACAACGGCACTTCTATATAAGGAATGTAGGCATCAAGCCTTAAACCTGGATTCAAAATCTCATGCATGTCGAAGAAGACTAGCTTAGAATTTGGGCCTAATAGTTCGCGAACGCTGGCAACTACTCAAATATACTTGCACATGGGCGATGGCTTCTGATGAGGGTAGCGCATCCCAAAGAGCGCGCGAACGCGTACAGCAAGTCTCATCTCACCTCGCACACTTGTCAGACCCCAAAGATGATGTGGTTCGATCCCCTACACGTCGGCGAAGGAAACAAGCTACCGCCCCAGCTGGACCCCCAGCTGATTATTCCGACCGGCTTGGCCAGATAAAGACGCTTGAGACACTAGCTCGCACGCCTGACATCAACCACCGAGGGTACGCGCGGCAGAAGAAAGCTGGCAAGCTTTGGGTTCGGGAACGTGTCGAAGCTCTCCTTGATGAGGGGAGCCTGCAGGAAATTGGAAGCGTCGCTGGCGACGTGATTTGGGGCAAGGCGAAGAACGAATATGGCACGGAGCAAGAAGTCGTCACTGCTTTCACCCCCAGCAATAGTGTTCAGGGGTATGGACACCTTAATGGACGTAAGATCGTCTTGACGGCTGACGATTATACTCTACGTGCCGGTCACGCCGATGGTGCATTGATGGAGAAGACACTGTACATTGAAAAGCTGGCTCTTTCTTTGCGACTTCCGATTGTAAAACTAGGTGAGCGGCATTGTATTTGGGTTTTGTTAAACTAGACGCTTCATACGTAATATGGCCACTACTAATCCCAGATATTCATAGTTGACGGGTCCTCGGGCGGCGGAAGCGTGACGAGCATACGACAATCGGGGTTCTCATACATTCCCCCGCTTCCTGCCTTTGAGCAGGTCATTGCGCAGTTGAATCTAGGCATCCCAAATCTCGGCGCCGTCCTTGGCCCGGCCATCGGACTTGGTGCGGCTCGGGTGACGGCCTGCCATTTTAGTGTCATGGCGGCCAACGTTGGCTCACTATTTAATGCAGGACCTCACGTGGTCAAGGGTGTGACTTTCGAGGATGGTCTGACAATGGCTGAGCTGGGTGGTCCTGATAGTAAGTTAGCTGGCTTCACGAGCTTCGTCGTTTCTCATACACAATCCATAAACGTAGATACCACACGTGGGATATTGGGATCTAACACCAGTCACTAGTGCATTGTCGCAATGGTACGATAGACAATATGGCTCACGATGAGCACGATGCATTTGAGCAGATACGCTGTGTTCTAAGCTATCTACCTAACTCGGGCTTTTCTGCTCCATCAGTGATCAAGAGCGGTGATGCCCCCGATCGGCGCGAAGATGCGCTTCGAAGTCTTATACCAAGACGCAAGGAGCGCATGTACGATCCGCGACGGCTCATAACACTAGTTCTAGACAACGGCTCATTCTTCGAGATCGGTGCGCTTTGGGGCACGACGGCCATTGTAGGACTTGGGCGCCTGGAAGGCCACCCGATTGGTATCGTCTCAAACAACTGCGAAAGCCACACCGGAGGCGCTCTCGATGCGCTAGGCTCCCAAAAGATAACCAAGCACCTTAAACTCTGTGACGTCATGAACTTACCCATCCTTCAGTTTGTCGACGTGCCTGGTTATGCTGTTGGCACGGCCGCCGAGCGATCCGCGACGATGCGCTATGGGGTGAACCTGGCGATGGCATACTACACAACTACTATGCCCGTATTCAGCGTCGTGACTAGACGTGCTTATGGTGTCGCAGGCGGTGTTATGCTAGATTGTCGCGACCCGCGTATGCGTGTAGCATGGCCGAGTGGTGACTGGGGATCGCTACCGCTCAAAGGCGGTATTGAAGCTGGTCACTCGCACGAGCTTAAAGAAGCGGCTAGGAAAGGCGGCCAAAAGATGGCAGATGAGTTATACGCAAAGCTTGAAGCCGAGTACAACGGTCTGAGTAAGTCGACCATTCACTATGTACGAATGATATATGCTGACTTTTTTGTTAATACAGTGAATCCTGTAAGAACAGCAAATGCGTTCGGCGTTGAGCAGATCATTGACCCTGCCGATACCCGCCCAGTAGTCTGCAACTGGATCTCCCATGTTTATGAAGAGCTCATGGCAGAGAGGTTGGCTAAGCGGAGGGCCGGCACGCTACATGCGTCTTTTGCATGATACCCATTATAATATTCTTCTCAAGGACACAATCCATGACGCCATATATATAAGCGTATTGAACGAGTATCACATGCTCCAGAAATGCTCTTTGTATTTAAGTAGCAACATTGGTATACTCACCGCGGGTATTGTCAAGGGTTATCTCATACATACGCAGCTGTAATTGGGTTCAGATGTATTCTACATCCCCGCGGTTTATATATACATCTACTCGCTATCTAATTAGTATGCTTCGAGATGTATAGCCTCTCACACACCTCCCTCCCTGGCTCTTTAATGCATGATAGCTCTTCCGTGCACACCATCCCCAGGGCTCAAGGATTCCCCGCACCCATTATCGTCCATTATCGTGCAATATGCGGGCGCCGTGAAGAATTGGAGCTTATCGACATGTAACGGAGACACTCGCCAGCGGAGATAAACTCCCTGAAAGGCGGGCGTACACTCTATAATCGTTACATCGAGACATGTTTTCGGGCTCACGCAATGGCGACACGCAGGTCCTGATGGGGAGACTTGAGTTGTCGCCCTCATGAGCATGGGATTGACAGAGCTCTTCCCCGCCGTTGGAGAAGGTTAGAGATCACCATACCTACCACCACTGATATAATCACTAAGATTAATGCTCATCCGTTGATGTGGCTGGTCATGTATGGGACTATGAATTCATTCTTTCATATCGCATCACTCCACTTTTGACAGGTTGATGAATATGAATCAAGCAAACCGAATCACATAGGAAGGAGATTCTGTATCACTGTATGCAGCAAAGAATAAGTCGATAAGGACGATCTAAGGACCTTCCTAGTGTCTACCGCCTGAGAGTGACTGGCGCGAAATCTGGCGGAGCAATGGATAATATAGCGAAGCAGAGTGTCGAGTCTGCCGACTCAACCCTCGGAGAGCCTCCTACCTCCGAAGAGGAGAAGCTTGTCATCAAGAAGCTGGATTGGCGTCTGATGCCTATGATATTTGCCATTTACTCGTTGTCGGTCTTGGACAGGTCGAACCTGGGAAATGCCCATGTCGCCGGTCTTGACGAGTCGCTTGGGCTCCAGGGCGATCAATACTCGACTCTTGGTACCTTCTTCTACGTGACTTGTAAGTCTCAAGTTCAATGTTCTCCCTTCATTTACTTCATGAAACACAATCTCTTCAAGCTGACAATGAAAGATATAATATTCCAAAGTGCTGCCGCGGGATGGAAGCACTTCCCTGCTCATATCTGGGTCACATGTATCGTCATCTCGTTTGCTACGATCTCGGCTGCGCAAGCCGCAACGCAGAATTACGCTGGGTCTTTCTCTCAATTCTGATTCAATTTGCGCACTTTTGGCTAACGCCCTCGCAGTATAGTCGTTCTTCGGTTCCTCCTAGGCGCGACAGAAGCGATGTACGCCGGCGTACCAGTATACTTGTCTTTCTTCTACCCGCGGGATAGGGTTGGGTTTCGCCAGGTTAGTTCTTTGGAGACATTATATTTCCCCTTTAGGCAGATTTCTGGCCTCGTCGCCCTTGCATACTCCTGAAGGATGAGCTAAATCCTTTCCCTTTCTGGTAATTACTGACTCTAATGCGTTCAAAGGGAATATTCCTCTCCGGATCCGCGCTCGCGAACGCCTATGGCGGAGCGCTCGGCTACGCAATTACTCAGATCAAGAGCCATCTCGAGCCCTGGCGTATCTTATTTCTGATAGAAGGTCTAGTTAGTCTCCCGGTGTCAAACATTCATCCCCTACGCAGGTTTTGAGCCCCATTTGCCCCTGCAGGCTCCCGAACTATGAGCTGAGTTCTTACTCTTTCTGATAATTACTGACGCCATCATGTAAACAGCCGACGCTTATCATGGCAGCCGTCGCGTGGTTTTGCTTTCCCGATGATATCGAGAGTGCCAGATTTCTCACGGATCGCGAAAAACAGGTCGTCAAGCACATGGTCAGCCGCGAGCAGACTGCCGACACTGTGCATCATACTGGTCTTAGAGTGAAGGATTTCTTGGCGGCATTCAAAGACTGGCGAAGTAAGTTTAAGTGTAACCGGTTGTTTATTATCACACCGACTAAAGCCTTATTTCTAGGTTACCTTACTGGAGTAATGTATTTTGGGTGCAATGTCTCTTTCGCATCTCTTCCCCTGTTTGTCCCATCGATCATCGCTGAAATCGGATCGTTCTCACGCATTCAAGCGAACGGGCTCTCTGCACCGCCATATCTCTTGACCTTTATTTTGATCATCACCTGCGCGTTCATCTCAGATCGTGTTAGGATGCGCGGGCCGTTCGTATGCTTCTTCAGCGTTGTGTCAGCAATCGGGTTTCTATTGCTAGCCACGACTGAGGCTCCCGCATCTAGGTATCTCGGTGTCTACTTTGCAATTACGATATTCGTATCGGTTGCTATTCTGATTCCGTGGGTGTCTAATTCGCATAATACGGAGAGTAAAAGAGCAGGTGGTTATGCGATATTTGCAACATTTGGACAGGCTGGGCCTTTAGTTGGCACGAACATATTTCCGTCGCGTGAGGCTCCTTACTACCGTAAAGGCTCCTGGATATCGTTTTCGTTCTGCGTGCTAGTTGCGATAACTTCGGCTATGTTTAGTTTCTTATTACGCCATGAAAATCTCAGGTTGGATAGGTTGCAGAGCGACGAAGGAGAAAGGTTGAATGGAGGTCAACGAGGGTTTCGATATGTGATTTAAAAGTGCGCAGGCTTCGAAAACGAATGGGTGAAGATAAATTGTTTTGCCTTCACTTTCCCACGCTGATAATGACTCATTGACGAATTTCACGTAGCGACCTAGTCTCACCTTGAAAATTGGCCTGATGATGAAAAATCAATCGCATTTGCTACCTCTACGCCTCTGCTTTTATCTCTTAAATCACCGCTGTAAAAGCTTGCAAACCATCTTGGGCTTCTAGCTGAACGTCAACGCCAGGGGCGATGTAGAAGATGTATCCCTCTGATAATTGAAAATCTTTACCATCGGCGCGCAGAACACCCTTTCCCGACGTAACAATCATGACACCCGGCCCTTCACTAGCGGAAATTTTATCACTTTCTCCCTTCGCCAAGTCCGTCCGAAGCATGTCAAACTCGCTCATTGGCGGCTTGTATACCATGGTTTTGCGATTCTTACTCTTATCGCACTTTGTGGGGGGGAGTATGACATCGTCTTTGCTATGCGCCTTGAATGTCAATGTGTTGGCGAAGGTGTCGACGTTGTTGCGGTCCGCCGGTGGACAGAATCCCACATTCAATACGTTATTAGAACGTGCCACTATTTTACGAACGTTAGTGATACGATTTGCTGACATGACGGCGGCTTGGTAGATGGAAGCATTACTGAATGAAGCCTAATTGAAATGTAGAATGTTTCACTTACTGCATTCAACAATATCGCCAGAGAGATAAGCGTGAATACCATCTGCAGGGATGAAAATGGCGTCTCCATGTTCGAAAACCATGTAATTCATGCACAAAAGCGCGACGAGACTCCCTGCGTCTTCGGGACCATATTGGTCCTGAAGTCGTGGTAGTAGATCAACTATATACGCCGCATTACCAAAATTTTCCCTTGAGATCAAAGACAAGTCAGTCTGTATCGCTCTTACATCCTTGAGATCGAGCTTTAGTAGATTGCGCGTAGCATTTCGTAGTGTCTCGTTCGTCCACTTGTCTGACCCCGCAGGGCCGAACTTCTTCAGTGGCTCAAGCTTGAACAGCGGCGCAATCTCATCCAACGGCTTGAACCCAGCAAAGACCTCGAATTTCGATAATGCAACGGCAATCTCAGGCTTGTGGTTCGGATCAGTGAAGTTTTCCGGGTCCTTCTCGCGTAACTTGGTCGCGAGCTCCTTGTTCGGGTGAATCTGCAGCGGCAGCGCTTTCGCTATCGATAATATCTTGGGCAAGTATGGTAATTGGCTATCGAACTGTGTCATGACCTTTTTGCCAAGTAGTCGCTCTTTGTCCCGCTGGAGCACGTCCGCTAACAGCTCGCCAGTATCAAGCTTACGCCCCGGGAAGTCTGGGTAGTCACCGAACCACATCTCTGAATAGTTCTTCTTGGCGTCAATCTTGAAGTCGGTACCTGGGGTTTTCTCGCAAAAAGTGGCTGCTAAAGAGTCCGTTCCTTGCTTTCCCCAAGGATACTCATTGCAAGTTCCAGCTAACTGGAACACAAGATCTGACGGCATTTTGGCGCTGGCTTCTGAAGTAATACAATTTGCTTAGACAGGTTTCACGTAACAATGGAGAATACAGAGCAGTTCGCAAGCTGGATTTGCTATCTTCGCATTAATTTGGGAGAAGAATATGGTGTCAGTGTTGACTTTTGTTTTCAACTTGAGAGTGAAAAGTTCTATACTGTCTATAATAGAATAAGAAATATGTCCTTATTATGCGCTGGCACTGGTCGCGGGTTGAAACCTCCGCTACATCATGATCTTTCCATGTCGTCATAGATACTGGGAAATATCTTGTGGAGTAGACGGACGCGGTCTCATAGTCTGCATGCTTCGCTAATTGAATCAATCAGCTGCTTATAACAAACACCGTGTGTAGTCCAAGAGCTCGCTGCAAAAGAGCTGTATGAGGCGCACAAGTAACAAAATCATATTCATCGCCGCAAAATGTTGGGTAGGTAATAGTTAAGCCTCAATGAAACGAGCCTGGAAAGGAGAGCGAGTCGAGACATGGATTCAACTGAGGCCAACTCCAACAGGGTGTCGCCATCTGCGAAAGTGTTTTCAAGCACACTGATGCTGGAAATGATCGTACCACGTATTAATGGGTACCCTCTTAGTTATATATGCATGACTTGTCAGTTCACTTTATCTTGCCGTCCTCGCCGTCTACCTAGTTAGACTTGAACCCACGGTTGATGATACGATCGATCTCCAACAGGCAGTGCTAGTTCGGCTGTGCCAAGGATAAAGATCGATTCTTACGTATGTTACCCACAGGGTCGGGTCGCGTAGTGCCCCTCGTATTTAGAGGCTTGCGTAAATGCGGTCACTCCTGGTTGTTGATCCCAACAAGTATGGCTTAGCAAAAGGCCTAACAGAGGCAGAAACATTAAATAGGTATGTACAGCAAAACAGGAATACCTTGGCATTATGAATACATTCAAAGTTGCCGCTATGTGGATTCGGAAATCGCGGGCAGTACACATGCCTTTTGCGTACTCCTTTAGCACTGCGTCAAGTGATCGGCCAAGCCCCCCACGTCATTCTCTCGGCTCTCATGAACGCCTCTTGACATGATGCAACGATATGGCTATGGCGTGTTTCGTTGGCAGTGACTATGACAAAGTCTCAGGATGAAGGAGATCGCGGCTGTAGAAAAGTGGGATGTATAGGTATGCTTTCCCCTGTTTTAAGAGCACTTCATCGGCTACAACGCATCGTCTTGTATGTATGGTAAGTAACCTAGTTCAAACACGATGTCGGCATCTGAAGAGAAAGACAAAGCCTCTGAGGGGTCCGTCCTGTCGACAGTCGCCGAGGTACTCCCTGTTCCTGCGAATACAGCTCCTGTGACGAACCCCTCGGAACACGACACTGCGAACAGCCTGAGGGAGGAACCTACGCTATCCCATTCGCTGGCCATGGAAGACCACGACGAGAAAGGCTTCGTCCAAATCCCTCGTGATGAAGAAGTCGCCGATTTAGGATGGAATGAGAAGAAAGAGAACATACCAGCCCCGTTAGTCGGTGGACTAGGCAATGAAGATCTATGGCTTTTAATCCGGCGCTTCAACAAGGTATGCTGAATTTCCATGATAACTGACGTATGTATGTCTAACAGATCATAGCAAATGTACCATGTGAAAGAGATACCATACTCGGTGCCTGGGGATTTGGACCTCAACATTTCAGATGAAGAGGAGTTTTCACCGGACAAGCTTCGAGCGACAGTTGAGAGGTTTTACATGACGTGCGTACTTTACTTAGAAGCCGACATGGCGGTTACCGCCCAGATGAGAAATTGCTAACATGTGAATTATTAGTGTTGTCATTGGGCTGTTAGCGACGGTTAAGCATATCGCTAGACTCCGGTCGTGGCGCGAAACTCGAAGAACCTCATATTTCTGCGCTGTATGAATTTCATGCCCACACTTTCTCATTTCCTCGAGTACTAATGTGCCTATAGGCCTACTTCATTGCGTGGCTGTTTGACTTCATCACACCTTTGCTTGCCGTAACGCTGATAAGTTTGATTGTCTATCCGCGTTCTCGTGGTATTTTGTTCCCTCCGGCTCCCATATCCCTTGTCGATGCGAAATCTGGCGGGGTGCAGAAGCCCAAAGCGGGTGTTCTAGGAAGTCATGAGAGCGCGACAGGAGCCCCCGAAAATCACAAGGGTGAGGCTGTTGAACAGTGAGTTTCCTAATGTTTCCTTCTCGTTGAGCCTCTGGGTGAACATTACTGAGCAAAACGCACGATTATGGGGCTTTCTGATATCTGTAACCAATGCATATACTGATTTCGAATTACAGGGAGGCGGCCAACTTCTTCAACGGATTCACGGCTGTTGTCGTCACCAGTGCCACGGGCAAGCACCCACAAGCAAATCCGCACCCGGGCAAGGATAACTCTCCTGATGATCACGTTCCAGACCCAACAGGCTTGGCCGTGTCGGCCGCTGAAGCTAAAGATGTGGCCGCGGGTGGGCAACGGGGCTCTAAACACGACAAGACTAAAGTGCCCGTTGAGAATGCAATCTGGAGTAAGATGCGCCCGGTGATGCACGGAATATCTGACGTGTCTGACACATGGGAGCGGCTCGCCAATGCTTTGTCACCTACGCCTCCTTTTCCTCAGAATACTTATCGCATCAGGATTGCTTGTCTCATCGTACCGTTACTTCTAGCATCACTATTCACAACCTCGTACATGTTCGTAAAATTGTCATCCTTTGGCGCCGGGTTTGGATTTTTCGGCGATCCGATTATCACTCCTGGCTTACGATGGCTTAACCGCCAATACCCACACTGGGAGAAGATCCTGGAGATGCGAAACACAGTCCTCAAAGGCGTGCCGACGAATGCACAACTCACGCTCACGTTATTGCGAACCGGTGAGGCTAACAAGGCGCCTTTGCCGCCAGCACCGCTCACTCGTGCCCCTGCGCCTGATAGACCGGCTCAAGTTACCGATGCCGAACTCCGAGCTACGGGAGCGGAGCCGCCTCTAAACGCCACGGATGAGGAACTCGATGCCGCTATGGAACACGATCCACAGACTGCACACGAGACTGCCGGCGCCGATATTGACGCTGCTAAGAGCGGCACGCACGGCGGAAAGGGCCATAAAATCATAGGTGCTGTCAAGAGTGCCGTCAAGGGAACGGTCAAAAGCGCCATAGCCAGCGACGCGGCGCGTGCAAAAGCAGGCTCGCGCCCAGCCAAGAACAGACTTGGTGCCGTTCCCCCTGCCAATGCGCAGCTATTGACGGGACCGGTGGATTTTAAGGGTCGGTATAACGGCAAGAAAGGCCGGGTGTACATCACCACTAAAGCTACGATCCCTGCTATCGGATTCAGCACCGACGCGAAAACAGATGTTGTTGTGGACGGTGAAAACGAGGCGCTTCACCCCAGTTGGAGCATAGCCATTGGTGATATCAAGGAGCTGAAGAAGATAGGAGGCTATGGATGGAAGGCAAAGCTCGTGATTGGATGGTCGTTGGGGCGCGAGGTGAACGACGGACTGGAAATCACGGATAGATTGGGAAATGTGAGGCGGATTACAGCCTTGCCGCTTAGGGATGAGTTGTTCAACCGCCTGGTTGCCATGGGAGGACAGAAATGGGAGGCTTGGTGAGACTTTTCATAGTTGTTAAATCTGATATTGTTTGGTTGCCTGTTCTAACAAATATCAGCGCCCGAGCGTGGATCTAATCCAACCGAAGCTTCAACGCCTGTTTGGTTCTTTCTGGGGCACATAAAGTTGGTTAACAGCGTTTGATCGAAGTTTTAGACTTCTTGATTTGTGCTATTGATACCCTTTTGGAGCATTTAGAGGGCGATGGATTGGATTTGTTTCGCAACGCGTTAAATTGATTCCGTACCGAGAACGCTCAAGTATGGGACCTGATATCTATGTTCCTTGTAGCCGCTCGCAATGGTCAAAATCCATTTATTCAATACAGAGTAGGTAAATATATGTGAGCTAACCAAAAGTCAAGGCAAAGCGATCATATGTAGTATGCAAGCTGATTTCAAATCACGCACCACAAAGTAATATGCGCTGGCATAGTAGTCTTCTTTGAATTAATGCTTTCTTGGCTATACGTTCAGCTTTGACTGGATCTTGTAGGATTTCGAGAAGAATTTGTTTCAGTTTGGGTTCATCGGATATACGCTCCTCTCGGGTCGTACATGTCCTAGAATGCTAACCCTAATCGTTACCAACTAAGGATCTGAGGCCTGTACCTAGATGGGAACGGTGCTGTTGAAAGATATGCAGGGCCCGTAAGAAGAAGATGTTAATGATGCAGTCGAATTCTTGACTGCTGCGCCCAATGGTGATGTGCCACATTTAAGGCCAAGGACAAAGCTTCCTGTAGATATTCTCATTTAGTAACTTCCATTTCTCCTTGGGGGGTATGCAGATAAGGCTTACCTGCCATCGCATTTGCCATATACGGATCAGTGTGCGTGTGGTCATTGGGATAATGTGCGTTGACCGTCCTCGTACCAAGGTTCGTCATAACCTGAGCGGCGTATTCACCATGCGCCACTACGCCCATGGAAATACGTTAATCAAGGCCTGTAAGCTGTATACCATAGAACTTGCTAAATCTCACGAGACACAGAGACTAAGCTTTTAGGCAAGAGAGACTTTGATGCATACCGTGGTAGACCCCAGCTGATGTGCCGCCGAGTTGACTAGCCGCGAGCCAGGCGTAGTAGTCGAATCGTGACGGACCCCAACCACAAGTTCCTGTTTCGCAGATGCTGTGATAGCAAGTCAGCGGCTGAGCAAGGGCATACAGATTAATAAGACATCGCCTACTTGTTTGGTGTAGCTGAGCTGAGAATCACTTTTGCCCCATTAGCGAGGAACAGCTTTGCTGCATTCTTGTAATAGGCTGGATATGTCAAGACAGTTTCAGCAACACCGTTGTAAGTCTATGTGTTAAGACAATTAGCTGCCTGGTCATATCGACCCGTGACTTCGCGAACCTAAGGATTGTGATCCTCACCGTTCGGCAAGTTTGGTCTCCGTCGCCAAAGCAGTCTGTCCGGCCATTGTCAGTAGGACTAAGACTCCCACCATCGTTATGCCCAAATTCAACGACCACCCAGTCACCTGACTGCACCACCTTGGCGATCTCCTGAAAACGGCCTTCTCGAGTGTATGAACGCGCCGAGCGACCTGCAATAGCCTTGTTGGATACTGTGTAGTCAGACGGTAGGCTGTATTTTAGATATTCTCCCCAGCCTTCAGTGCCAGAGCCCCCGCCCGACTTTGCCATTGTGGAATCTCCTGCTAGGTAGACTATGGCAGCCGTGGTGGAACCGATGGCCATAAGAGAAAGAAAGACTTTCGATAAAATGGAAGGCATGATAATGGCCGTGAATGCGACCCTTGAAAATCTGAACGTTTCAAAAGTTTGGTACGATTTAGTATCTACGTTTATATTGCAGGACGTTTTAGCTAATTGTATCTGGAGCGTCCGTGAACGTGAAAGGCAACTGAGGCATCACCTAGCATTTGATCGTAGTATGTATATCACTTTCTATATGCAGCACCGAAATCTCCATTCGAAATAGAATACGGCGTAGCCTCCAATTCGCGCGTTTGTTCGGTTTCAAGTTGATCGCATCACAGCTCCGGGTTTCGCGTTGAGATACTCCGTTATCCCGCCGCACTGAGTGGCCGGGATTTGAGTTGATGAATTTGACAGGCTAGCTAGACAGCCTCTGGTTGCGCCTCGGTTCTTGGCATCTGAATGGAGGTAGATCTTCCGTTAAGCGATTGGGGAAATGATATAAACGATTTATGAAATTAAGGCTGCGACAATCTTCGTTCTTTGTCAAATTCAGCTATAATCCCACCTACCAATGCAGAAACCAGATTTGAACGTAACTAGAGAGGAATGCACGATAGAGTCTTGGATAGTGGCAATGAACATATTTTGACATTCGGAAACCAGCCTCTGAGCCATCTAATTATCCTAAACCACATGCGTAGGATGTCGCCGGACTACCTCGGCATCACAAGCACTGAGGTTATGCATGTTGCGGCGACAGGCTGCACAAACCGAGGAAGCTTGAATCACAGTCAAACCTGACCAACGCAGCCCTGGTAGATGACGCTTATGGTCGATGGGCAGCTCCCACAAACCCTAGGTCGTCTTGTCTCTCCCGCGCTGACAGGTCTACTGCCCTATGCCAATGCCGAATGCGCTCACGTTGAGACAGTTCATATTCAGGCATCATCATTAGAGCTTTACCAAGCCCGCTACGGCTCTTCGCACTCGCTAAGTCATACACAACTGTATCCACTTGATTTAGGATACTGGCAGTCTGCTTATCAAAGTAGAGGCCACAATGCCGCATCTCTTCTAATAGATCAAGCATTCCTGAAAGATCGCCGCGACGAGTCCAATAAATGGTGAGGAGTTCGTTGAAGAATGGCGTTGAGACGCCTAAAACGTAAGACTCAAGACCCAATTCTTTAATACGCGGCAGTACCGAAAAGACTAGCGGGGACGGTGCAGAGAAGGCAGTGTCAAGTCGCCGAAGAGCAAGTAGAAGGTAAGCCGGATACAGAGGCCCATGGACGTAGAGGCTTAATTTGTTGGGGTCATCTGGACTAGTCGTATCATTGGAAGCAGCTGATGTATCGTCGACTGGAGAGGTCTTGGAGTGATCTATCGTATCATCCTCAAAGTTATCCATCGACTTCGCGGTCTTTCGGCCTCGTTTCTTTGGCTTTACGAGTGGCACTGAATCATCAGACGCGACGGTCGTTTTCACAATACCTAGACGGGCAGGCATAGTGAAGACTTCCTTTTCTAGAACATCCCATAGTTCAAAATCTGAAGTGGCCGAGGTGATTAAGCCTTCGATACGAGTTCTCTCAGGACTTCGTTTAGTTTCGAGCTCGAGAACACGTGCGAAACTATGAGCGGGCGCCTTGAAGTCGTCGTCAATGAAGTCTGCCTCCTCAGCATTCGTAGCTCTATCGTTGTAGCTAACGTCGTTGTCGCGCTTTGACTTCAAGGCTTGGTGCTTGATGGTTTCAAAAACATCATTAGTAGCGCCGCGGAGTGGCGCTGGAAAACGGAAGAGGGCTTTGGCGCGATCTTTAGCAGCCCCCGAAAGAATAGCTGGGGCGACTACAGTGGATGGGTTGGATTGACCAGCGTCGTAGGCAGCCTGTTCCATGATGAGCCTAGCAGACCGGTTGGTGGTTGCGTTGGACACAAGCACATCGTCGTCGTCATTGATAGCAGGCTTCAGACCCCGAGCGTTAATGTCGGCAAAGATGCGCTCAAATACCCGGCGCTCAGAAGGGGTGATAGTGCCTCGATGTGTTACAGGAACTTCGGTGGCGGGGGTGTCTTCGTTCGGAGGGCCGAGCTCATAATCAAAGGGTATAGACTTATCCTTTGAGCATCGGGCGGTCGTATGAAAAGATTGGACAGTTCTGGTAGCCGCGCGGCATGTCGCAGGAATGCGAAGAATGGTCCTCGTCTGGTAGAGGAATGGCATCAAAGTGAAAGACATCTGATGGAATGTCGGGACACACCGTCAAAGGATTAGGGAGATGCAGCGGTAGGTATTAAGCTATGAGGACAGTAGGTTGAGTAGCGGAGAACAAGATTGGACAAGAAATCTAAATACGGCATATATAGTGATGAATATAAGACCAGACTGGGAAATGACCAGGAAACTGAAGTCGAAGTTCTCGACTCAAGAAGCTATTGAAATTTTCGTGAAGATCCGGGACTCTAAATTTTTAGTGGGGGCCTCTACGGAAGGGCAGGTAGGTACATAGGTACTTACAGGGGGCAATTGCTGCCTGTGCCCGCGCAATCAAAATCGCAGATACGGTAGGACCCGCATCGACGCGAAAAGGTATGACTTCGCGTTAATTGATTTTAGCAATCGCGAACCACCATCGTCATCGTCGTTGTCATCGTCATCCGTCCTCTTCCTTTCAAGAAGATCCGCAAGTGCCACTCCAACCCATACTGGTATAACTTCACTGTCAGTTTCGATTCCTTTTTGAAGGAGTACCGATTTTCAACTTTTGATCATAACACAAACGAACCTGTTACATTTCCTCTTTCCTTCCTCATAACTCGTCGCCTCGCTCGCAATTCTTGGCATAAAGTAAAGAGTTGCGCGAAGGACACAAACTTCCATCATAAACATCCACCGTCTTTCTTCTCTCCAGCTGATTCCGTGCCAAATCGTCCTTTCCCAACTCACTGTTTCGAAAAATAGAAAAAGTAATTCAATTGGAGCACATCGCTTCCCCTCTCCTCGTTCTTATCCAACCACCACACCATTACCGCTCGACACAGACCTTTCGCAATGCCGCCTGGAAAACTGAGCGCCTTCGAGGCCCGGAGGCGGGAGAATGTCGCAAACAACGCGAAGCTTCTTAAAGATACTGCCGACCTCGGCGCTAAGATGAAGAAGGCCGCTGCGCCACCTCCCAGACCTGTTGCGCCGCGCAAGCGGAAAACTACAGAACCTGCTGTCCGGACTCGGGTCATGCCGGTTCGGCAGAGCGCCCGACTGGCTGGTGCCAATGCTGAGTCTAAAGACACTTTAGTTAAGCTGGAAGACATACCAGTCGAGTTGAAGGACAGAGAACCCAAACGGGTTCGTACGAATGGAGACCTTCAGCTCTCCAAGCTTCAGGTCGAAGGCAAGAGATGGTCTAATACCGACGCACTTGTCAGCTTTGCGCAAGGAGCACAGCCTGGCGTTCGAACATTTACCGACGAGGATATTAGAGAAACGAGCGAGGAAAAGCTGAAATCTTTACGACAGGACATGAACGATCTGACGTTATTTGGAGGCTGGCAGCCAAATGGTGAGTTTCCAACCTCAGTAGTTATCGGTACTCGTGTCTGGAACGCTGCTAAGACTGATATACAGATATTAAAATCACACCTGAAAGAGTATATGCTCTTACCTTCCATCCCATACTAGATAAACCTATGGTACTCGCAGGTGATAAGAAGGGTACTTTGGGGTTTTTTGACGGCTCTCAAGAGACACCCAACTATCCTGAGGATGAGGATGAAGACTTTGATGTCCCGTTGCCAGTAATCGGTGCTTTTGAGGTCCACAACCGTACAATCACGTCAATAAAGGTCCCAATGTTTGATCAGAACTCCGTCATCACAAGCTCTTACGACAGCTCAATACGATGTCTGGACCTAGTGTCGCAGATTAGCACGCAGCTATGGGCTCCTGACGCGGATGAAGACGAACTTGGAATTTCTTGTATAGACATGTCTGTCGAGGCAAAGGATATAATAATTTTCTCGACGCTCGAGGGTTCACTGGGTCGCATCGACAGACGAGAGAAGAAAAAGGCCGAGATCTGGGGCCTGACAGACAATAAGATTGGTGGCTTTTCCTTGAATCCATCCTTACCACATCTTGTTGCGACAGCCTCCCTCGACCGAACTCTCAAAATATGGGATCTTCGAATGATCAAGGGAAAGGGAGATCTGCGACACCCTTCCCTTTTAGGCGAGCACACATCGCGACTGTCTGTTTCCCATGCATCGTGGAGCAGCAGCGGTCACATCGCCACGTCCTCGTACGACGACACGGTGAAAATCTACGACTTTTCGGGAGCGAAAGCGTGGAAACCAGGACACGATATACCCGACAAGGAAATGGAGCCCGCAGTGAAGATTGCACATAACAATCAAACGGGTCGCTGGGTCACCATACTCAAACCCAAGTGGCAGACAAAGCCCGCCGATGGAATTCAGAAGTTCGCCATTGCGAACATGAATAGATTTGTCGACGTTTACGATGCCGCAGGCACCCAGCTTGCCCAATTGGATGGCGAGGGGATCACTGCTGTGCCTGCTGTTGCTGAATTCCACCCCGTGCATAATTGGGTCGCGGGCGCTAATAGTAGTGGGAAGCTGTGTCTCTGGCAGTGATGCGGTGATGCTAGACGTGGATGATGCCGTATAATTCTTTCGTCATCAACGAGCAATCAAACTTTTGGTTCTTTCTGAATGTAATCGTATGTATATAATATTAGCTCGGCATGCTAAACTCTCAAGACGCTTCGCCAAGCTTTAGGTATGAACCATCTGTATGTCTTGCTTGAGGAATTTGCTCAATATTTACCTACCTGGGCATCTATAGCATATCCTTCGAGACTCTTTTCATGGACAATGACGGTTTACCGCGGGCTATTTGGTCCAACTTTGTGATGACTTTATACTTCGACTGGTCATTAAATAAACCGGAATTTATGTCTGGCTTTCCAACATGATGAAGGAAACGACTAGGTTGTTAACAATCCCAGAGTTTACTTACATATATAATTAGGGTATATATATGCGTGTGTTTGTAAACTCAAGATTTCGATATAAGACAAAATCATTTGGGGAGAAAGGAGTAACCCAAAGTCATGAATCAGTGTTGCTGTTGTAGTTCATATTGTAGGCGTCGCCGTAGCGTGCAACTGTCTGTTGAATTATCAATACATTGTACATGGGTATCTTCACCGTTCATTAAGTCCTCCGCTGCCATCATAACATCATTACCTCCTCCGCATCTAGCTCAGGCTCAGGCTCTTCATCGACCTGCAAGAAAGGATGCTGCAGCGCCTCCTCGGCACTTATTCTCCTCCCGGGGTCCAAATCCATGCATCGCGTCAGGAACTCAATGGCTTCCTTCTCTTCCGGGGTCAGGGTGTTGGCGGTCCCATCCTTCCCGCCGTCACTCCTGCAGGTGCTCCACAGCATGATCTTCTCGAATGAAAAACCCTGGCTGCTGATGGTGGGTATGGTCGTGTCGAACATGCAGCCATGTAGCTGCCCCGCTAGTTTCATCCGCTTGCTGCCGAAGATGGTTGCGATTTCGATCATGGCCTCGATGTCGTCTGCGCTGTTGAAGAAGGGGAAGCGTTTGCAGAGAATCGTGAGCAGGATCACACCCGCGGACCAGATGTCAATCTTGGTGGTTTGCTCTGTGCATTTGAAGAGCACTTCGGGAGCGCGGAAGCCGCGAGTGCCCGCTCTGTTGGCCCGGCGAGATGGTCGCGTGTCTACCTTAGGATATCCGGGCTGTGCTCCGGTCTGTATCGAATTGAAGGCCACTGAATGCTGTAGGCGGTGTTTACGAACCTGGCGGTCTTCATGACAGAGGCATGGCTTGCTATCGGTGCCTTCTCGCTCGGCCAGTCCGAAATCTACTAGCACACCGCGCTTCTTGTCCGGATCATAGAGGAAGTTCGTCGGTTTTATGTCACGATGGACGATCCCTCTCTCATGTACAGCCGCGAGAGCCATGAAAAGAGATCTCAGGTATACACGCGTGTCGTAAATATTCATCTTTGGATAGTATTTCCGGAAGTCTTGATGGCGAAAGTAAGGAAGAACAATGAGGACTTGATCCGATTCGCGCAGTGCGGTGATAAGGGGACAGACAGATGGTGATTCCCGGAGGTCGTGAAGGAGATCGAGCTCGTTGAGAATGCGAGCAGGCGAGGATGTTACATAGATCTTTTTGATGGCAACAAACTTTCTTCGACGAGGGGGGCGGGAGGTAGAATTGTTATGAGTAGCAGAGGATTTGAGAGGTGGCGGTGTCCATTGACTCTCGTCGGCGTCGATGTCCCAGCTGTTTATGTAGTCGTGATAACGTATATCCTCGGCCTTATACACGGTTGAGAATGTACCTGGAGGAAGGGAGCAGACACGGTTAGCTACAGAGTTGGCAGATATTACGGTAGCACTCCGTATAGAGCACGTATGGCCGTTGCGTACCTTCACCAATGCGCTTGATTAAGCGATAGCCATCTCGAAAATGAGGGAAGGTCTGCTGTAGTTTCTCCATGTCTTGTTGTACTGTCACGTCTATTGACTCATCGTCTTCGGATGACTCGGACGCGTCCTCGTCATGGTCGTCGTTCTCTTTGTCTTCTATTGCTCCTCCATCGGCGTCGTCGTCGTCGTCAGGCTCTGGTTCGTGTTCGTCGTAGTCATCTTCAGCCCGTTGAGTCTGTGACTGTGATTCTGATTGCGATCGCGCTAGCTCGTCCTGCTCTTGCTCTCCCAACATGTGGTCTAAAGCGAGATTATCCTCGTGTATGTGGAAAGATCGTTTTTCCATTGTGTGGCTATGTTGTTCTGAAGCATCATGCGACGCAACATGGGCGAACATGGCTGTTGGTGGTGCCGAGACAAGGACAAAAACCCTTTCCCCCCTTCGCTACCCACTCCTCCCCTTCCTATCCTTCCAAGGAGTGCAATTCCGACTTTGCTGGTCCTCTCAAATGTCACCAAGGGGAAGTCAAACTAGTCGGTGTGGTGGATTATGGCAGATACTGAATGTATAAAGAGGCGCAGTGAGCTGAAGAAGACAGAGACTCTTCAACAAGTGGCTTACTCAGGATGGGTTAGGGAACACCAGTTCGAATACCTAGCTTGAAGAGAACGCTTGAAGAAAAGACAAATTCCTCTTGTGGAGTTGTCGCTAGTAGTGAGTAAAGTGAAGTCAGCAATCAAATGAATTCAATTTTATCGCTCAATAGCTCTGGTAAGGGTCAAGGCAAATTCCAACCAGCAATAACAGCAATTGAACACCAAGGACGCATCCTTGATCCATTAGACGCGTCTAGATACTTACCTACAGAGTACCTAGAAGAGTGGTGCTCTAAGCGATGGACTGTGAAATCCTCACTGTGCTCTAAGCGTTGACTACCTACCTAGGCAGGCGAGGTAGGTACCTAGGTATCTCCAAGAGTGCTGCATTCTGGTGGACTCTACGGAATAGGTACTAGTGTTCATACTGTGCGAGTTCCGGCTGACGCCCCCGGGGCTTTGGCTTAGCGGTTTGGCGGGGGAAAGTGGGGTGGACGTAGTGGGGCAGCGGCGGTTTGGAGCCGGCGTCGCGTCGCAAAGACAACAAAAACAAACCGTTGCCGAGGGGCTCGCTCCTTCCCCGCCTGTGAGAAAACCACTAGCCGACCCACTAACAGACCACATCCCGTGACAATGATTGGCTGGCTACCTAGGTACCTACCTACTTAAGTAGGTACCTAGATAGCAGTTACCCTTGGAATAGTGACCGCTCACTCGCACACACCCACCATCGCCCAAGGTCACTGTCGCATCACTGATATTTTCTGGTTTCGCTTTTTGCTCGATTTGTTATCCTCACACTCATGTTAATTCCAAACAGATCTGGAGTCCGTAAAGTACGGTTCCTATATTGCAAGTGCCTTATCGGTGTTTCTACGTAGCATTACTCGCTGCCTAATAATTGTTTACTTCTGGTTGGCCGCACCTACGTGCCCAACACACCGGTGTGCTTTTGTCCTGGTATTATACCTGTCGATTAACATAATACCTACGCTCCTTGCTCTCTGAGGGGGGAGAAAGACAACACCCTCTTCTTCGCCCATCATGGAGTCGATCAATTTCGACATCAACGATGCCCTCAAGCATTACATGAGCGACCCCGCCTCCATCGCGACTCCCGAAGCCGACGGCGCCCTTCTTGACTGTGAATCCGACCCGGAGTCTCTGTCTAATATCGCCCTCATAAACCCCGTCCTCAACCCCATCATAGACGCTGTCGCCGACAATCCCGATGCGATAACACGCAGCGCCTACTTTGACTCGCTGCAATTTCTTCTCAAGTGCGCTCCCACCTCCCTCCACCCACCCTCCCAAGAATCCTCCCAAGAATCGCAGGAGTCGCGGTTTTCTTCATCCGACACTGCTGCTGCCTCAAGTGAGACGATCCGGGAACCAGTTTCTAAGTTGTTCGTGCAATCCAGATACACCCAGTTTCTACCGACACATGCCCTCAGCAAGATATTCGATCTGGTCATGAGCGGTCTCGCCGCCGAGGCTGACGCAATCGCCCATGATCTTGAAACCCCGGACGAACAGGACGTACTAGCTCATCACAAATCGCTGCTCGAAATCTATGGCTTTCTCATCCAATGGACTATGGCCTGCGTCGAGACCAAGGCCGCCGAGAAGTCATCAGCTGCCCCCGTGGCACGCGCCAGAGGTAAGGGCGCCAAGTCCAAGGCTGCTGCCAGCCGACAGGGTGACGATCATTGGGACAGTGCCGCGCAGCTCCAGTCTGCCCTAGATGTCATGTCAAAAGTCATGAAATTGAAGCTGGGCAAGCTCTTCCTAACTACGAGCGAACGCGACACCTTTGTCGGTCTACTTACTCGCCCAGTGTATATGGTACTCGAAAGCGAGCAGAGAGTGAAAAGTACAGCCATCAGGATGCATGCTTTTAAAGTCCTCTGTATTGCGGTTAAGCACCACGGTCATGGCTACGGTAGGTCTTAGCAGAAAAAACGGAACCTGAAACACTCCTAGTAATCGCTGACACTGCCATAGCCGCTCAGATCTCTATTGTCCAGAATCTGACATATTTCGAGCATCTATCCGAACCTATGGCGGAGTTTCTTCACATTCTATCAGAGCAATACGATTATCCTCAACTTGCCGAAGAAATTCTGAAGGAGATCGGCAACAAAGAATTCAACTCCAATGACACGAAGGGACCTAAGTCCGTATCGACTTTTATTGCCAAGCTCTCTGAACTCGTTCCAAGATTGGTGATCAAGCAAATGACTATGCTTGCTAAACAGCTAGACAGCGAGGTCAGTAATGCCATACCCTGATATCTTGGACTTCCTCACTAACCTTCTGTAGTCGCACACACTGCGCAGTTCGTTGATTGAGGTCTGCGGTAACATGATAGCCCATCTTAGCAATCAAGAGGAACGCAGTGACAACCACAAGTCTCAGTTGAATGCCTTCTTCGATGTGCTGGAAGAGCGGTTTCTGGATATCAACCCTTACTGTCGGTGCCGAGTGATGCAAGTGTATGTCAAATTGTGTGATCTACAACAAAAGTTCCCCAAACGGAGACAAAAAGCCGCTGAGCTCGCGTGTCGAAGCTTAGAAGACAAAAGTAGCCATGTCAGAAGAAATGCAGTCAAGCTACTGGGGACTTTGATCAAGACTCACCCATTCACCGTCTTGCACGGTGCGCAGCTTGCTCGGAAAGACTGGCAGGAACGTTTAGACAAGGTCGATGCTGAGCTCAATGCACTGCAACCACCAGCAGGTGAACCAGGCTTGGGCGAGGACAGGGCCGATCAAACCGCACTCGTAGACGAGCCAACCCAGATCATGGAGTCACCACAGAAGCCTACGGAGATGTCTGAAGAAGAGAAGGCTGCGGCTGTTCAAAAGGCACAACAAGATGCCGCGACATCGGAGGCAATTGAAAAATTGACGCTTACGAAACGCTACTACACTGATGCTCTCAAATTCATCGAGGTCTTGCATGAGGCTACGGGCGTCATCGTTCAACTCCTCGGTTCGAAGAACAAGTCTGAAGTTATCGAGGCGATGGACTACTTTGAGATTGGAAATGCGTATAATATTGAGGACAACATGGTCGGCATCCGACGAATGATGCGCCTGATTTGGACCAAAGGCAATAGTGATGAAGGCAAGGGCGTGCAGACCCATCTCATCGATTGTTATAAACGCCTGTTTTTCGAAGCACCGGATCACTTTAGTCCCAACGACGCTGCTATATACATTGCAAGAAACATGATTAGTCTCACCTCTGGCACCACGCCTGCCGAGTTGACAAGCCTAGAACAAGTGCTTGCTACCATGATGAAACAAGGCATGATTTCCGACAGGGTCGTCACAAAACTGTGGGGTGTATATGGATTTCAGAAGCGAGAGATATCACGATCTCAGCGAAGAGGTGCCATCATTGTATTGGGTATGCTTGCGACCGCATCGCCTGAGATTGTGGTAGGAGAGATGGAAACCATGCTGCGATTTGGCTTGGGATCTCATGGCCGAGCCGATCTCCAGCTTGCCAAATACACTTGTATTGCGTTACGGAGATTGAACCCGACGGGCCGACAGGCAAAGGACTCGTCAGTCACCTTCAGTCGACTTCCAAATGAGCACGCTGTATTGGCTAAACTCGCCGCTATTACTGAAGTGCCGAGTGAGAGTAAGGAGTGGTTTGGCGTGGCTGAACAAGCTATTAACGCTATCTATGCGCTCGCGAAGCATCCTGATATCCTATGTACCGATATCATTCGGCGGCGAACTAAAGTTGTTTTTGCCGCTCAGCAGAAAACCCCACCAGCGTCTCGGCCGGGGTCGCGAGACGATGCTACGATGACGGTAACGGGTGCTCATGGGATGACACAAAATTTCAATACCATGTCTCTTGACGCACCTACACAAACCATCAATCAACCTCCACCCGAACCGCTGGCTGAGCCCAAGGAAAAGGCAGCTATTGCCTTGTCGCAACTGCTATTCGTTGTAGGACATGTAGCGATTAAGCAAATTGTGCATCTAGAGCTCTGTGAACTAGACTTCAAGCGGAGAAAACAGGAGAAAGAAAAGGAGACATCAAAGCCAGACGAACCTCGAGCATCTACAGGCCGAAGGGGCAAGAGCGCTGCAGCAGCGCCGGCGCCAGAGGAAGCAGGAGATGAGCTGGACTTGATTGGCGGAACAACGGAAGATGACTTCACTGAAGCCATGGCTCATATTCGTGAGCGTGAGCTGCTGTTTGGTCCCCAATCCCTTTTGTCCAACTATGGTCCCATGGTAGCAGAGATCTGCTCACGGAGTGATATTTACAAAGACAAGAGTCTTCAGGCAGCCGCCACCTTGTGCCTTGCCAAGCTGATGTGCGTCAGCAGTGAATACTGCGAGGCACATCTGCCATTGCTCATCACTATCATGGAGAGATCGCCCAATCCCACCGTCCGATCTAATGTTGTTATCGCCCTCGGCGATATGGCTGTTTGCTTCAATCATCTCATTGATGAAAATACGGACTTCTTGTACCGCCGCCTTGCTGATAGCGATCTCTCGGTTAAGAGAACATGTCTCATGACGCTCACCTTCCTCATTCTGGCAGGTCAGGTCAAGGTCAAGGGTCAGTTAGGCGAGATGGCAAAGTGCCTCGAAGACGAGGACAAGAGGATCGCTGATCTTGCCCGTATGTTCTTCACCGAGCTCAGCACTAAGGACAATGCCGTATACAATCACTTTGTCGACATGTTCAGTCTTCTTTCGGCTGGCCAGATGGACGAGGAGCCGTTCAAGAGAATCATCAAATTCCTGCTTGGTTTTGTTGAAAAGGTAGGTTCATTTCTTCCTTGATTCCAGGGTTGAAGCTAACATATGATTGTAGGATAAACATGCCAGACAATTGGCCGATAAACTGGCAGCGCGTCTACCTCGATGCGAGACAGAGCGTCAGTGGAACGATGTCGCCTACGCCCTGGGCTTGCTGCAGCACAAAAATGAAGATATCAACAAAGTGATTAGCGAGGGTTACAAGGTAGTGCAATCAACAGCTTAGTAACCATGATGTATATGTTTCAGTGGGAGAGGGTAACGATGTGAACCGAGACAATGATACCAGGGCCATGAGGAGTACGGCGTTTGAATTGTACGTCAAGTTCATTGGGGGTGTTTTGTTTTTCAAACGAGTGTATAAGCATTGAATTTGTCGATAAAACTATCCGCTTTGTGAATTACGAGACTTAGCCTGCTGATGTGACCTTAGAAAATGGTGAATGTACGGTGAATGTACGTGAAAGTAAAGTGCTGAATTTCGTATTATTCATTTCCTGACATGAGAGGAGTACAATTCATGTCTGAGATGAGCGCAAGCTCCACTCCGTCTACAGGGATCCTGCTTATCTACACGCCACGGTGAAGATCTACTTGGACCCGTCATCGGAGGTTGGAATGCACAGATAGAGATCACAGCAAGATCACATGGCAGCTAATGTTACATAGTTCGGTCTAGATACAGGAGGCGCATGTGGATACACCAAACGCCCGCATCATGGCAGATAGCGCTGAGCAAGAAGTCGGCTCTCGACTCTCGACTGACAGCACAACGGGTCTCCTTCCTTCCTCTTTGCATTCGGCTTCGCAAGGTGCGGAAATGGGAAATGGTCACGGAAACGAAGAAGCAGGCCAGCAGCAAGGAGGAGGCGGGATAGACGATGCTAGAATCGTTCGCCGCATCGACGCCCACATGCTGCCCCTCCTCTTCGTCACCTACATGTTCAACTTCATGGACAAAACCATTCTATCCTCGGCCTCGGTCTTCGGCCTGCGCGAAGACAACGGCCTCGAGGACAACCAGTACTCCTGGGTCTCGAGCGCCTTCTACTTCGGATACCTCGTCGCGACGTACCCCGCGACCCTCCTCGTTGCTCGCCTCCCTGTGGCCCGCTACCTGGGCGCCAACACGCTCTTCTGGGGCGCGGTGGTAGCGCTCACGGCTGTTTCGCATAGTTTTGGCGCGTTGTTTGTTTTGCGGTTCCTGCTCGGCGTCGCTGAGGCCTCGGTGTCGCCCGCCCTCGTCTTCATCACGAGCACTTGGTACACGCGCGACGAGATCCCCACGAGAACGGGGATTTGGTTCGCGGGGAACTCGGTCGGCGGGATCGTCTCGTCGCTTCTTGCGTACGGTCTTGGCCACGTTCGTGACCACATCGGGCCTTGGCGCTGGATGTTCATCGTCCTCGGCGCGTCGACGTTTCTCCTCGGAGCAGTCCTATTGCTGTTTCTACCGAATTCTATTGCCAATGCGAAGTTCCTTAGCCCCAAGGAGAGGAAGTGGGCGGTCGATCGCGTCGTCGTCGCGGGACTTGGATCTACGGCGAAGACGAGCTGGCAATGGAAGCAGATGCGTGAGTGTCTCATCGATCCGAAGACTTGGATCATATGGTCCTTGGCCCTGCTCTGTCAGATCCCGAATGGCGGTACACAAAACTTTGCCAATATCGTCATCAAATCGTTCGGTTTCTCGTCTCTTCAGTCGACGCTGATCAATATCCCGTACTCATTTCTTAGCATTGCAGCCATTTCGGGAACGGGCTGGGTAGCTGGGCGTTTGTGAGTGTCTTGATTTCACAACCCTTGAGACTTTTTCTTTTTTGCTTTAATGTTTTTGAATAGTAGATACGAGCATTAACTGACATCGCATACCAAGTCGATCCTTAAACTGCATCTTGATCGCCCTAGTCGTGCTTCCGCCCATCGTCGGGTCTGCGCTCATTTCCACCCGCGCAGCTATCCCTCATGGCGTTTCACTCTTTGGATATTTCCTCCTCGCCACGGGGCCCGCGGCCCTCCCGCTTCTCTTGTCCCTTGTGCAGTCTAACTTCCGTGGCGTCACCAAGAAAATGACTATGACGGCCCTGTTGTTTATTGCCTATTGTGCGGGAAATATCGCCGGCCCACAGCTCTTCATCAACGCCGAGGCGCCGACCTACGACACCGCGTTCCGCGCTATCTTGATTTGTTATTCGCTTGTTGTGGGATTCGCTTTGGGGCTAAGGGCTTATTTGGCCTTTGTAAATAGGCTGAGGCGGAGAAGGGAGGGTGTTGAGGGGAGTGATGGAGCCTCAGGCGCTGTGGCTGATGGCAAAGTCGTCGATCTTAGGCATGGACATGGCGCCGTTGGGGAGCTAAGATTACGGCCTGGGGACTATGAGGATGTTACCGATTGGGATACTTTTGGTTTCCGATACAGACTCTAGTTGTCAACCATTTGTGAAGATCTTCATCGAGTCTCATCATAGTGCTCTGGTGTTCAGGTTATGTCGTGATATTCAACTTCAGAGCTACGTCTAGAGATATGCCTATGAGGCGATAATCGCCCGTAACCTTGCAGTTACTCATGCCTATAGTCTTAGGTTTGGTCATCAACCACGGTCATACCACAAGAAAAGAAGTGTATCTGTGTCTCTTGTACAATCGTCTAGTTTCACATGTCATTCTTATAGCAATGCAGATCATGACATATGAGTTATGCTGAGCCCAGCTTGACGTACAGTATAGCATATTAGGCATCGAGTGTATCTCGATAAAGAGCTACTATTCCTGGCTTCGTGCACTAGAAATTAGATTCTTCGGTTCCGTTGATGTCGCGTAAGAAATGATGACATGGCAAAGGTGTCTAGACTCGTAGCCCCTTCCTTTGCGAAGCGAAATCTAGAGCAACCTATCACTGCACATGATCACAATGAATATTGGGAAAACCAAGCATGCAGTCAATATATTTTCATCGCCAAGTGTAGCACAGCGTCCGCACCGTCGCGCTCCATAGCTGGACAAGACTATCTTTGATGGTGGGACACACGGCGTATGTACCACTCTCGTCGGGACGAAGCTCACCCCGCCGCTTGTGATTGCTGAATTGACCTCATGACTTCCACCAATCCCGACGAGAAAATCTGTCAGGAATCCATCCATCTGTAGGTACACAATCCTGTGAGAGTAGACTGCTGGTGCCAAGCCGTGGGGAGCCAAGCTGAGGTACCAGAGGCAAGCAAATGCCACGGTCGTCATTCAAAATCTGTGAAAATCACGATTGGGATAATTGCAATTGGCCCGCTATTCATAGTATATGGCGTAATTTGTGCGAATAGGGAACTCAAAGCCGTTTACCCTGGCCCTGGGCCTACTGAGCCAATATACGGCTAAATAGAAAATGGATTCGCACAGAGTCACGTCCCACGGGGCCCAGCTACCATCCCAATGGCAATATTGGCCGCCCATCCTAAGAGATCATCTCTTTCGCAGTTCTGGCCGCTCCGTGCCCCCAAGAATGGCTTTATCTCCCACGGAGCCAGCATGACAAACAGGCTAGCTCGAGGAATCCGCGCTATGACTCTGCTGGCTTGCCAAGTAATAGCCGTGATAGTCCGCGCCTATGCAACAGCCATCGATGAAATTTCGCATTTTTGACGTGATGCTCCGGCTGTCTTCCGCACGTCCAGGGCCTCACGATAAGCGAGTTGTATTTAATTTTCGGTGTCCTACCTGACTATCTGCGCATGCGAGCTCCTGTCTTTCCCAGCAAGCTTCTACCCACGAAATTGTACTGACAGTCCGTCCCTTTCAATTCGTACGTCTTGTACCAACTTCAGGCTTAGAATACAGCCCGTGCGCTCGTTATCACACGGTATTATACAATTCTACATCTCAGTGTCATTATTCAGACGCCAGAATGCGCTGGAATCTCGGCCTATCCTACCTAGCGGCGTTGTTAGGGAGTGGTACGTATCATGCCGAAGAACGCTTAGAGGCACCAGTAAAATATTGCTTACATCGTCATCAGCATCCGAAGGGCTTGCTGCAGATACAACTCTCGTCCGTGACTCTCTGACAGGCTTCACGTTTTCGGAGTACCAGGCGGCATTCGTGATCGGTCAGTCTATCACGTTCCGCGTCGCAGTGCCCGTCCCTGCTCCGTCAAACTACGATATTGTTTTCCAAATCATCGCCCCGAATGCGGTCGGTTGGACTGGTCTGGCCTGGGGAGCGTCAATGATCAATAACCCATTGACTATCGGCTGGGCATACGGGATTACACCTGTATTATCCGTCCGGCGCACTAGGTAGGCTCACTATAGGATATTTGGGTAGTATATATTTTTACATACAGAAGCTGACGTGATTGTAGTGTACGGACACAACCTCAAGTTTACACCGGAGCAACGGTGCAGATTCTGAAGGCTGGTTCCAGGGTCAACGGAACGCATTGGCAAGTCACAGCCAAATGCAGTGGATGCAGCTCCTTCACCACCACCGGTTCAAATGTTAAAACCCTAAACCCGAGTGGTAGCAATCGTATGGCCTTCGCTTATTCCAAGACCAAGCCGCCGAGCTCATCGGCCGCTACCACACTTACTGTTCATGACACCTTCAACTATTGGGACCATGATTTTGCGACCGGCGGAAACACTGATTTTGCTACACTCGTACAGAAGAATGCTTGAGATTGAATATTTCGAGAAATAAATGGAGTGACGGCGCAAAGGGAGAACTGTAACTTCATCGTCAGAGTTGATACGCAATAGAAATGACGTAGCACCTACTTCAACCTTCTTCATGGGTACATCGTATGACAGGCTAAGAGAAGGGGAATTCAGATTTCTTTAGTGCGATAACAGGTATAACATCAGGCGCGACAGCTGCGATACAGCGCTGCAAAACAGTAACGACTCGACTGATGCATAGCCCTTGTTAGATAAGAAGCTCTAGAAGTTGTCATGTGCTTAGTCGAGCATACAGACCGAAGAGTTTACGATACTGAGCAAGTGCTCTCCAACTATACGTCATGGCTTTCATGCACTCCTACACTACCCAGCGGATTGGTATTGGTAAGATATTCGGATATGCTATAACTGGCCCTTAAATAAGGCCTCTAAACTGTAATCGAGCAGGTGCAGTAAAAATTGCATATACATATCTTCAGATTGATACTCATCTCAAGGGATTCAAACCGCACGCTCTCTTGTAAGTATTTTGAATATGATAATGCTAAAGTTCAAATGACTACAGCAAAAAAGGCTTCTAAGTATGTTGAGATATTAGATACGTGGAAGTTGGTCAAATTGAGCTTCAATCTTACTATCAAATAGCTAAGAAAACGGAAACCAATAAAGTGCACTTCCATTCAGAGCCCCCCGGGTCAGGTATTGGGGTTATCGATGAACAATAATTCACAGGATCCATAGCCTCTTTGGTCGAACCAATCTTGCGAGTGAATAGGAAGCTTGCTTGTTGGGCTTTCAAGCCTTGATCGCCATCTCTCCCAGGGGGAGAGCTTTCAACCCTATAATTCCGTTGTGTCAGCTTTTCCTCATTGTCGTTCCTTGCCGTATCCTTGACAGTCCAAGGAAAGGGGTTGTTTTATTGCAACTTACAGCCCTCTACCTCCTCCGGAGCCTGCTGCTTCACTGTGCAAGCGCTGTACTGCGACTCGGGCTGAGCCGTGATGCCAGCCCTGGGGCAATCAGTGTTGAGGTTACATTGGCTGTCCATGGCCTTCTGAAGTGTGTCACCCTCCCAGCCAAAGAGGTAGTCGCCGTGCGCTGCGGAACCGCTAGATACGTATATTAGCTTTCTCCGAAATGCTGTCGCTATCCTACGGGTTTCTAATATGGGGCTGTCTTACCCAACGTTCATGCTGTAGATGTAGGGGTTAGAACCGTCGGTGGGGAAATCTGACGAGTCCGCGAATTGGTGAGTATCCCACATCAGCTCGTACATAATCTGAGGAAGCTTGACGGGGTGTGTTGACGGGCAGGCACCGCCGCCGGTGGCACCGGATCCGGAGCTATAGGCAACGTGACTCTGGTGATCTGGGCTGTCGAGGTTCTTTCCATCCCAGCATCTATACAGATTCAAGGATCAGCCTAGTCCTTACGACCATCTTCTCTTTTACTTTTCTTTCTACGGTGTACCCGATTTCTACCGCATTCTCGAATTTCTTGAGTATGACTTTTGAATAATATAAGAACTTACGTGGGGAAGATGATTGTCTGTCGGATCATCTTGCAGGACTTCGACGCAGGGATATCAACGGTGTCGCTTCCGGTGCAGGGAGCTCCACCCACAAAGGGGCTGTCAGTATAAGAAGTCCAGCAACGATGGCAAATATTAGCCTTAGGTGTCTTTCTGGGGTCGGTGTTGGCGGCGTTACCAGCCAACATGCGGAAACCCTATAATGCGATTAAATGAATGTCATGTGTGCGGAGTAAGAATCGCATACCTTTTTGAAGGCTGTGACCTTTCCACTGGGAATGTAGTATACATCAAGACCACCCTTGTTGATGAGCCTGCCCTGAGGACCTCCGTTGCCGATCTGTGGCACACGCTTGTAGGTGCCATTCCTTGCCTTGTAGAACATTACGGCTGTCCAGTAGTTGGATTTGTCTTGCTTGAACGAGCAAGACGTGCAGGTGGAGGCTGTTAGATCGTGGGAACTAGGATCCATGGTGACATTGAACGAGTTGCCACCGACAATCTGGTGCAGATGCGGCGTGTATTTCATGCCAGGGTTCACAAGGGGGTCAACACGATCAACAACTATGATTTGCCGGAGTTAGTAAATTTCTCGAGGTGAAATGGTCGTTGGCTGAAATAGCGCCATATGCTTCCGATACACGCAACTCTCGTTATCGAAAGTCCTGTTCCTAAAAGCGGCAAGATTGGAGAAAGATAACTCTAAGTGTAGCATACCGAGCTGGGAGCATGCAAATCGAAGCATATTAAACTGAGCCGCGGCATTCTGCGCGAGCAGAGCGGCAGCAGCGAGAGCTGTCAGCTGCATCGTGAAATTTTCTGGGGCGAGCCTTCGAGATGTGAGACCTGACCGATGCGTAAACTAGAATATTATTTGGTAGCTTAATTATTTTTTATAATTGAATCGAGAGAAAAGGAACGATGGGTCAGGGAGTTTTAGTAGAAAATTTGCGGAAACTTTCATATGGTGTCATTCTCATCGTGACAGGCGCCTCGCAGCCAAGCAAGTCTGAACTGCCGAACCGGCAAACTTGGCCCAATTATTGGGCTGGATATGTCCCTTCAATGTCTTGATTGATTTGATTGCTATATTCAGTCGGACATGGCATCGTTTTGCACGCTGATTGATCGGCTGAGCTACTGGGCCACCTTCTGGCTGTATCACGTTTACCCGGTTATTAAACCTTCCAATGACACTCATAAGGTAAATACGCCAAGCCATAGAGACATCATTATTCCTTGTCTGGAAATATGGATTCCTGCCATTGCCGCCACACTATCCAAAATTGCAGCAAGAAGGTCCTTATGTAGAATACATAGACCAGTTGTCCAGAAACATCCAGCTTGCATCTGGAAGTGGACAGCTAATCACTTCAACTCTATCTACGATTTAGCAACGACAGCTCTGCTAGCTTTACCAGTATATAGCCATTGGTATCAACTGACTACCTCACACTAGTTACAGGGCTATTCATCACGATAGAATTCACCGTGATGATGGCAAACGACACCAATTCCCGCAGTGTTCCTGAATGACTCAGCCAACCCGGCGGAAATCTCGGCCTTTCTTCTCCACCAATAAGTTTGATGAGACTCGAAGTGCGGGCGTGGCCGCACGGCAATGCACCCAGGCTGTCAATATATACCTATATGAAATCAGCCACCGGTGATGGAGAGGTGCGGGAATTGTCCGCTCGGATAGACATTCAGCACTAATCTCCCATTGAGGCTCTCGGGCTTCGGCTAGTACTAGGGGATGGTAACTATCACAACAGCGAGCTTTGAGAAGGGTAGATTTCTCACCGACCCTCCCTGAAATCAGTGGCTAGAGGACTGATATATATAGCTATATACCATTGCCTCATCATCGTTAAGGAAACGAACATGACAATATGCATGATGCGTGGAGATTGGAGCTGTCTTCTATAGATCTTATCTGCAAAACTAGAACGCTAAATTTAGATGTACGTCATGGTGTATCCAGCTTTAGCTTTGCAGACCAGCAGATGCTTGGCGCCCTGGATCTATTCAGTTTCGCCGAACAATCATGTACTGCCGAATATCCCATCTCGCCCCACGAAAAGAGGCCAATTTGGCATAGAAACACCTTCGGCATTTTTCTAACACAAAGTGATAGGGGAGCTGAGATGTGAGACTTGTTCGATAATGTTGTCACCCTTATTTAACTTTATATACAATTTCTCTTCGTTCGTACTGTATATCGGAAATTAGGCTTCATTAGTTCCGTGATAAATGTGCCTAGGGGTTTGGGATTGAATCTCCTTTTCTGCATACCGGAAACCGATAACGGAAACAAAAGAGCCCATGAACTTATATTTGTGTTTAAGGGTGCATAATCCAAGTCATCACTTCTTACCTAACTCATCAAGTCGATATAGTCCATTTTGTTAGATAAGACTACCCAATACCTCACATGAATGTATGGCAGAGCATTAGGATTGCCTACAGTTGTGGGCGCATGCTTTGCGAAAGATCTTCAACAAGATAGAAAACCTCTTATTTAACATGAGTTTATACAGTCTTCGCTTGTATGAGGCATATTGACGGGCTCAAAGACTACCAAAGGCTATGTTAATTATGTATAGACTTAAAGTCAGCCACCATGTCAAATGAGGGACCTGAAGGCCAAGGACCTTAGCAGGCCTAGCAGAATAGTATATTGGAATGGGTTTAATTTCATGTCGCGTACAAGGCGTTGTTATATGTTGGCCCAAACTTAACATATCTGGTACTATTCGAGAGAGCTAGAGGGTATGATATGAAAGGCTTTGAGCTATATACTATAGAAAAGTCGAACTAGGCAATTCGGGTTCTAATTTCGTAGCGCACTACGCAGATTCCTTGTCACCACTGGTAGCATGACCTATGTATCAAAATGATAATTACGCCAAGAAATCAAGGGCTGACAAACGCGGCTAGATTACCTGCTATGAATAATAATGGTTATAACTCACCCTTTGTATAAGTATATGCCTTTCATAGATCAAGTTTACACCTAGGTAAGAGCTAGTCTGGTAAGCATCACAAAGTAAAATAGAGTGTTGTACATCAATAAAACGACTAATAGGTACAATATAGTAGGTAGGTGATTAAACTGGACACTCGACCTGTTGCCCATATCATACCTATTACTAATGTGTTGTACGTAGTAGAAATGTGAGAATCCAAATAAATTGCCCCAGAGCTGAAATACAGATCCGCCATCTGTTCGGCACCCTCGTACAAAACATAGTCACTGCTCTGCCCCTTTTATGATATTGAAGTTTCAGGTCACCGGAATTTGCCGTGGAGTGCATACCTACCCGTCAACACTAACTACACTTCTACGACTTTTGAAGGCTTATACTTACTCACGGTTACTGCTATACCATCTTGCCCTTGACGACTTTATGTAGGCGCTTACTCGCTGATAGTTGAGTGTATTTGTGTGGAATCTTGATTACGTTGTCTCATTCTCTACAAGGTCTTCGAAACGTATTACCGGGTGGCAGAGAAGGAAAGTCAAAACCTCTTCTCTATCACAACCCTGCACCCCGTCTCCGTGACGCCTACCTAGTTGATTCGCTGTCAGGCCTACTGTCTTAACAAAATACCTGGCGGAGTTGCATATAGGTACACTGATTGATTGAAGTCTCCCCATACTCTCTACCTAACACTGCTATTAACACGTAATCTTGTTCACCCTTTTTGGGAAATCCGTTCTCACAGTGCAGCGCAAGCCTCTTGCAGGCGGGAACACAAGACTTTACTGAAGGCTGCGTTTGTGCTTCCCAAAAACCCCGTCGCACGTCTCCACAAATTCCGCCAACAAGGTACAACCGGTATCCTCACTTTCCAAGAGCCCGCAAGTCTCGCACGATGACCGGAGGTTGCTGTACCACTGCGCCGCGCCTTGCCCGGTGAAATGACAGATAGTGTGGTGACCTTCTCGGACTAAAAACTGCAACGCGCAGCCCACAGGCTTGCCATTCGACTTGTCATGGCCATCTACACATGAGCCAACGAAGTCATCCTCACTACCCAGGCGGATATATGGTCAGCGTCTTGTACTAATAGTAGGGAAGGTATCAAGAAATAATGAAGGAATCAAATGTCACATACCCAGTCCCGTAAGAATCGTCGGGGAACTTGATGAATACCTCAGCCGCTTTGTCGCAGGCATCCATGATACTCGGGTACAGCCCGCAATTGTCCTCGATGCAGAACGGGGACGCATCGGGGATGGGGCGTGGTGTGGGTAAGCCATAAGGCGGCGACCATGTCGATGGGGTTGGTGTAGGGGTGGGATCAGGTGTCATCGATGTCGCTGCGCACGACGAGCCGGTGATACAAGCGGAAACTCCCGGGGGAACTCCAAGCGCGCAGCTTGTCCACGTCGCGGTTGACACACAGTTTGATGGGAATGGTGGGGGCGTCTCGTGTGGAGGCAGGGTTGGAAGGGCATCCTCGCACAACGTCGATGTCTTGCAGGAACCGCCCCGCGGGTCTCCGTTGCAAATAGTCGTGGTATGAAGCGTCGAAAAGCCTGTACACGCCGTGGGGGCGGGCGTGGGCGTGGGCTTCGTTGTCGTCCTCGGTGGCGTGAAGTCAGGCGGCGTGCCGCTGGGGGTTGGATTACAGTAGAAGCCGGAACAGAGCTTTCCGCAGTTCGTCGAGCAGATCGGGCCAGGCTCTCCGCTTTTATACTCTACTGGCGGTCCTTGAGGCCCATCTCCGCCAGGGTTGCTCGGGTTGCCTGGGTTGCCTGGGTTGCCGGGGCTACTAGGATTGCCCCGTATAGGACACGAACCTCCATTCTCATCTACCTCATCCCCGCCCTCGAACTGACGCTCGAGAATGCTCCTCTTCGTCAGCGATACGCAATTGGTTCCGAAACGCTGGCCATTCCAGAGGATATTATAGCCCGACGTGGTATCTGCGTCTGGTAACAATGGGTCGATAGAAATAGGTCGAGCCCACTCCTGGATCTTGGCCCGAATGCTGGTCGGGTCTCTTCCTCCAGTGTACTGGGGGAGTCCACGAAGATACGCGACGAAGCCCGACACAATCGGGGCAGCTAAACAAGATTTGTAAGTTCTCAATTAGAGAGGAAGAAGCCTGTCAGTATTGGGAAGTGAATGGGTGAACATACCATAAGACGTGCCAGTAACCCAGCTGCCACCGCCGAGAGGCACTTTGACTCCTGGCGCATATATGTTGATGATATCTTCCCCAGCATTCCCCGAAAACGGGAAGCCCTGGAGATCGACAGCGCCGGCTACAAACATGCCCGGAACTCTGTCCCAAAAGAGAGCGGGATAGTGCCTTGCCTCCATGCCGCTATTGCCAGGAGCCGCGACGAAAACACAGCCATACTTGCTCTCCATTGCCTGCATCAGGTAAACTAAGATATCATATTAGTGTAAGCTCTCGAAGATCTGCTTTAACATAGAAAGCATATATCAGATTAAATGGACTTACGAAAAATGGACCAGTACGCCCTCTGTCTGTCATATCAAAATTTATCAGTCCAATTTCTTATACATTCTAGAATTATAACCATTACACAGGTAATAGTGGTCACGTTTGCGGATCAAAAATACACATACTGCGGCAACAGTTAGCGCTGGAAGGAAATAGGTCTTTCTAATAAGTCCAGGTCTGAGAACCGACACAATAGGTTTTGATACGTACCACTGGGGTTCTTGGAGTTATGCCCCAAGACATATTGACAACGCAGGTATTTTTGGGTTGGGTGGCAGCGTCGTTCGCAATGTTTATCAGAGCCTCGAGAAATCGCTCAACTATTTCACCCTGGTTTACGCTTGGCGTTTTGTCGTTACGGTCCTTAGTAGGAACTTGAGCAAAACGGACTCTAGCGTTCTTTGCCATCCCGAGGGCGGCACCAGCGGCGAAAGCAGTCGTCCGGGTACCGTGAGCCTTCTGGTTAGACTGATCAGGCATCTTGCCATAAGTTTTGAATGGCAGTTCATCAGCCCTAGCAGAATATTCCTGTGTAAACTCAGGGTCAGCAACATTCGGGACTGTAAGACCGGGAAAGTCATGAGGGAGACGGAAATGAACGAAAATAGTTTCTTACAGCCGCGGTTCTATCCCAACCTGAATCCATAATGTAGACTGTTTGACCTCGGCCCCAAGAGTCGTCGGCTGTTATTGCGTATTTATTCCGGTCAGGATCGTGATCGGGGTCGTGGGCTTCATTACCATGATCACGGACGTCTCTGGCGACGTTGAACGGGATCGTTGGCGGCCAAGTTACCATTGATAGATGCCATGCCGCATTGAACCAATTTCTCACCGTCCTCTTCCCGAGGAAATGCACAGGATCAGTAACATTTCGCGTGACATCGAGGATTTCTACATTATCGCGGATGTCTATACTTGGAGCATCGAAGGTTACCTCACCATCTGAATGCGCAAGTTCACTGTCGGATTCTTCTCGATTCAACTTCCTAACAGGATCGTTCCATGTCTGGAAGGTCGATCTCTCCTGGAAAGTAGGCTCATCGAACATGTAAGTCTCGTTCAAGCTCGACTCGTCGGGCACATCGCGCTTGAAAGAAACGCCTGGAGGTAGATATGGGTTCGACGGATAGTAAGCAAGTAAAACCTGAGAGGTCAGTAAGAACGATATGTGTCATAAAACGCTCCACGATCTGTTAAGGGATGACAGAGAGACATACACTTGGCACCTCGGCAGAATTGAAATAGGCTAAGGCTACGGGTCCCATGTTGTAGACATAATAAAAGGCGGTAAAATCCAGGTCGTTGGCCCTGAATTCAATGTAGTCATGGCCCAGGGCCAGCTTGCGTCGCTCAAGAATAGCCCTTGTGGCTTGTTGGGTTCCATCATCCCGAGCCTGGGGCCAGAGTATACCGTCCGGTCCAGGAGATTCGTTGCAAGTATTCCAGTCTGGTTCGGCCCGAGCCTGAATTGTTGTGCGCTTAATAAGCGGCAACGCGCCCTGTGGACCTGCGGTGGGCTTGAGCCATTCAGTCATCTCCAGTGTCCTCTTCTGTAGCGTGCAAACATCGACAGTCTTGGTGGCCTCGACATCGCGGAAGTTGCAGCCTGTTATTGTTTCACATCTTGACTTGACTTGACTTGAAGTTGTACGGGTCTCCCCACTAGTTACCGTTGTCGCAAACGATGTTGTGGTCAGGCAGAGCGAAGCTTCAGCCGGAGTGCAGTCGGTTGGTTTAGGCGGCGCCTCAATTGGACCTTTAGCTGGAATCCTGCAAAACGTAAAATTCATCAGCATACGATTTCCCGATCCTAAGTTTGATCCTTCTATCATGTGGAGCGGAGGGCGGCGCGAAGAAAGGTTGAAACGAGACAGCCCTTGAAATACATGCAACTTACGTGATCCGAGGCCATGGAGGCAGCGAGCCTTTGATGGTGAATCCCGGGGGAGTCTTATGCGATCGATCGGTGGTGGACCAGGTCCCCAGATTCCAACAGGGAAATCCCACTCCCAACCTTGAATGTTAATATTCCAATCGTCGCCCCAGCTGATGCAGACCTGAAAATGTATTAGCAACCGTGAGACATTGGGACACTATTTTGCCTTCTAAAACAATTGCTTACAAAAAAGAACCAAAGTTTGCAAGTACTCTTGGACTTCCCATCTTCGTCATCGTCATCTTCGCCCTCATCGGGGACAGGTGTTGGAACAGGTTTGAGGTCAAAGTAAGGCCACACAGGTATCGTGGGGTCTCTGGTTGTCGGTATGGAGAAGGGAGGCTTGGTAGTCGTTGGGATCGTCTCCGATGGGGGGTTGTCGGGTGCGGTTGGGAGTGGAAACCCTGGGAAGTAAGTTCCATTTCCATAAGTCTCCGATCCAGACCCCCCGGGCCCAGGGCTTCCAGAGGTAGGGTTTCCCGAGCCAGGATTTTCAGAGCCCCAGCTTGCAGGCGGACCACGTGTGATGGCTGGCCACGGTGGCAACCTAAGTGTTCTTGTTTCCCCATCGATCACGGTCGTAACTGGGGGTACGTCGAGAGACACGTATGGATGGAGAGTTCCGGTATTTTGGCCGGTGGACACATTCAAGTTCGAGTAATACAGTGAGGTGATTGTCAGTTGCGTCACAGTGACGGTTATAGTAGTTGTTGAGCCTTTGCTAAGTTGAATGGATGTCGTATAAGGCGGGATCGAGATGGTGGTCGGCTGCGATAAGGAGCTGGGTGGGAAGACGAACAGACAGGGTGGCGAGCATTGCGCCGGAGTTCCGGTGTACACAGCAGGGTCTAGGAAGACGACTTCTCTATCACCAAGAGCACTGTATCGTCATGTTTACTGGTCAGTGCTTACAATGCACCGAGAAACGCCTGATATACGGGGAACTCACCCAGGATCACCTTGAAGGTCAATAGCCCAGTCGCTTGACCCCCTGAAGTTTAGTGACTTCCACTTGGCAATTCTTGACTGCTTATTTGCCGCGTCCATGTACGCGACCCAAGTGTCTATGAAGAATTCGACGTGTTAGCGAACTAGCCAGTGTGAAGGCGCAGGGATAACAGGGCCACTTACCATCGCCGTAGATGATGTAATTTGATTGAGTGTCATCTGTCCACTGCCTCTTAGCACCACCATCGTCGATGATCTGATTGATCTCTCCATCACTGATATAGCCTCCAGTTTCCGTGCACTCCCCGTGAGTAGCACCAGAATCTGGTCCGGTATAAGTACATTCAGGACCAGAGCAACTGATGGGTTGAAAAGCTACGCGTTAGAAACCAAAGTATGTACTTCTGAGGTCCAATAATACTCACTGTCAACACATTAGTCGGATTTCATGAAAAATAAAGGAAAAGAAAAAGGCTTGGAAGTTTGAATCGTACCGAGGAATCTGTCATCTTAAAGGATCGACCATAGCTAGTCACTCCTACGACGATCTTATTCGAGGGAACACCAGCTTTGGTGACCATGATCAAAGAGGACATCGTTTCGGTAATATTAACATGAGAGCGCAAACAGTTGCCAGACTTGCAGCCGGACTGTCCCCATTCATTACCATAATCCCACTGACCTTCTCTCTTGTTAGCTGCACAGTCTTGAAATTATCAAGTGACTCCCGAGGATCTGAAAGGAGATCGCCAAGGGATAAAGTATAAGTAAAGCTCACCGTGCAGATCGTATGTCATATAAACGATGTAATCAAGAACCTCACTCATCTCTTCGATGAGGAATTGCTTCAGATACCAAAATGAAGCCGGAGCAGCGATGGACACAGTCTTGCCCTGCGGCATCAATGATCGAACGACCTTTACAAATTCAAGGTAATTTTGACCCTCGTCTTCGTCACCAGCTGGTATTCCGGGAATATCAGGTTCCTGTGACAGATATCAGACATAAGTTAACGAAAATGAAGGATTTGGAAGATAGAAAGAAAGAGCATAGAAAGGGGGGGCAGGAAGAAAGGGGGGAGAGGGTAATGTCGACGACCAGGTGAGTGACAAAAAAAGAACGAGTGTGAGGCACAACTCACACCAGGATACTCCCAATCAAAATCAACACCATCCAGCCCATGTTTGTTCACAAAGTCCACACATGCCTGGGCAAATTTCTGCCTATTGGCGGGCTTGACAGCATTTCGAAACAACTGATAAGTGGAAGGCTCTGTGCTGAATGCCCAGCCGCCGAAAGCCACGACCTTCTTATGGCCGGTTAATTTTTTGAACTCATCGAAAACATCAGGAAATCGGCCGAGTGACACCTCGAAGCTGGATGTAATATCAGCAAAGGAATAGTGTATGTGAGTATACGACGAAGGGATTTCGCTTGGCGACATATGGAGGCATGGCCTTTCACGGTTCCAAGCTTCGAAATACCCAACTTTGATAAACTCAGATGGAGGAGAGCCTGTTATCAACTCCAGCCCACAGTTCTGGACGCAGCCGTTGGTATTTGGCTCAGCGGTACCTGGGTTTCCAGTCTCGGAGAACGTCGGTACACAGAAGTCCTTGTCCACTCCACACTTGCCCCAGATGTTACAACAGGCCTTAATCGGGCAGGGGCTGAGGTCTTCAAACTTGCTGCCATCTTCAACTGTTCCAGGCTTGGTTGGTCCACATTCGGCATCTTGGTTCGGAGCTGGTAAGCGTGGTGTTCCAGGGCCAACGCATATACGCATCCCAGGATACAAGCTGTTGCACCCACCCCAGCCATAAGTGTTCTCGTTATACTTATACAGGTCGGACTGTTTCATGCCCTCAGCCTTCGCGATGCTGTTACAAGTGTCCATGGCCTTGATGATGTAAGATACGCAAGAGCCGTCAGGACGAGGGCTTGTTGCTCGTTTGCTATGCTCGGATCGTTTCAAATCGCTGGGGATGACAGAAACAGTTGTACCAAGCTGTGTGATTTTTGCCATGCCTCCAGATGCAGATTCGTCGATACACTTGCCCGAGGACCAGGCCTGGATCACACTCTGTGTCCAGACAAAGTCTCCGGACGGATCTACTACTAGACCGAGGATACCGCTGGCATCCCGGGCTTCGCTACAGAGCTGGACTGCCATCCGTCCGCTCTTCTCTTTTGACATTGCGATACGGGATAGGGCGTCTTGCACAAAGTAGGCCGCGACCCCACGGTTTTGGATCTGGCTACCAGCATAAAGTCCGACAAGGACGCCTCGCGTGTAGCCGTAGATGACATTCTCTTCGCAGTTGATGGGGTGTTCAAGATAGGCCTGAGTACTGCTCAGCGAAGTGAGCACGTCATCCAATCTATCGCCAGTTGTGCCGGTCCCGTCTGAACTCCACGTGATCCATTCTACCGTGGAGTTTTGCTGTACGGCTTTGTGACAGACAGGGGCCATGGAATCAAGGTCATCATCGCGCTTTGCGAGTCGACTGTCGTCATTCTTAGGAAGCTCATCGGCTTCTAGGTCCACCAGGCCTGGCGAATCTGACGACTCGTCCACCGCAGTACCTGTCAGAGCGTTGATAGGAGTCTCTGCGTTTCCCGACGTACATGCCAGTATGCGAAGTTGAGACTTAGGGTCGTCAATGGAGTTGAAAGTTGAGAAGACTAGTTGCATGGGCTCAGCACAAACTTCGAGCCTATCAAGCGAATAGTAACTGCTCCAGTCTGCGAGGCCTGGGTTTTCGTCACAGGACCTTGGGCATGGCTTGTGAGACCGGTCAAAGTTGGGTTGGATGCTCCCCAGCACTGGGGCAACGGCGAGCGCCGTAAACGCCCATTGCTGAAGGCTATCAAGGTGCATGGCTATCAGCCAGCGTGCGTCAAGTCTCGAGATAGAGAACCTGAGGGAGAAGAGACGTGGCGAGTTCCCACGATCTTAGCCGCCTATGATGATATGGTAGAGAGGTGAAGAACAGCCGCAAAAAACGACGACTTGAAGAGGGAATGGCCTCGTTCAAGACAATGAAAGTCGGGTCTTTAACGTAGTCATGGGAGCAGCATCAGAACGCTACATTGGAACTTAGGGGGTTTGAATGGAGTCTAATCCCCGGTCCGGGGGTTCGGCGGTATACCAACATCGTGAATGCTGCCTGAAGGTTGGTTGCACCTCAGGATCTTACGAACGGTGACTTGGCATTATTGTAGGACTTCTACTAAATTGACGAGGTCTTGACTCGAGCTTAAACATCCAGAACCAAAATAGACGAACCGAAAGAAAAGTCATCGAAGTTGATGATACGTTCCACTGCGCTGGCCGTATGTTTAATCAGCAAAGTACCATACCACCCTATAGGGGACGTCGGCCGAAGGATTTCACGAGACTTCCCTGCTCCATAAGGACATAAGAGGTAAGTATAGCCTCCTTCCCGACCTACCGGCTCCCTGTCTCTTCTGCCTTGCTTCTTCAGCCCTAGCCGAACCCCGCTTAAAAACGGCGAGAAACGCTTGGGACGTTCGTTCATAGCGCGATCCATGGTTCTTGAAGTTCGGAATTAGTCAAGGTGACCGGGCTTATTCCCGATTTTCTCTCGATTCTGACTAATACTTTCAATTCATCCGGACCGCTACCTCAATCTTACGTGAGTTCCTGGACGGCTCGCGCAGGTATGAAGCGATAGAGAAAGGGCTATACGATTCTAGATGTGTTCAAGGCATTGGCAATTTCCTAGATGACATGCGCTTCTAATTTTAACGTCACGCGACCATGCACGATATCATGAGATGCCTCTACACAATGTATTCATGTGCTGGCAAGTTCCGAGTTGTAAATTCGGGAGTTCGCATGAAAGGGATGCGAAGTTTTTGCTCAGAGTGATGCCCGTGATGCCAGCAATGCCAGCGCCTCTGCCAAGATCTACTATGTTTGACACAGGCACGATGTGATCCTGTCGATGCGTCTATAAATCAAAGTCTGCGCCATCATCGATGTCTCAAAAGAAAGCCTAGGTAGGTAGCCATCAGCTCTTCCAAAAGACACACCTAGCCGGTTGTTCTCTCATCTGTTGCCTCCCGCATCAACGCTGCTTGTTACCGATCATGCTTCCAAGACTCTCGTTCTTCCTGGCTCTCGCCGCTGGCGACCTTGGCGTACATGCGCTAGCCGCACCACCGATCGCGGCCCGTGGCTCAACGCCAAAGTATCCCTATGATCCCAATACCACAAAATATTGTAGTTATTGGATCGACAACGCCGGCGCTGCCACTAAGTGTACTGATATTCCCAAGAACTGGGGCATCACGTTGGCGGATTTTCTTCGCTGGGTAGGCCACCCTTGCTCGAACTGAGCAACCTGCTTGCGTCTTTGCTATGCCATCGTAATGCTAATGCCTCGCAGAATCCTAGCCTTGCCCCTGACTGCACCAATTTTGAGGTTCAGAAGTCATACTGCGTCGAGACCACTGACGAACCGGCCCCGACAACTTCGTCGGACTCGTCAACGCCTACCCAGCCCAGCAATGGTATCACTACTCCACAGCCCATCCAACCGGGCATGGTAGATAACTGTGATGCCTTTTACTTCGTGCCCAAGGATGTCGGCTGTCAAGTTATCGCTACAAGCCACGGCATCACTCTTGAGCAGTTCCTCACTTGGAACCCCTTAATTGGAGACACGTGCGGCGGGCTTTGGGCCAACGCTTACGTCTGTGTTTCCATTATCGGCCACGAGCCGTCGCCTGTGACCACAGCAACGCCCACCCCTACTTCCACCAACCCCGGCAACGGCATCACAACCCCCCAGCCCACCCAGCCCGACATCGTCGACAATTGCGACAAGTTCTACTTCGTCCAAAAGGATGAGAGCTGCGATGTAGTAGCCGCAAAGAATGGAATCACCACCGCCCAGTTCCAGGCATGGAACAAGGCCGTGGGATCGACGTGCTCTGGGCTCTGGGCGAACGCATATGCATGCGTGTCCATCATAGGTCACGAACCGGCGACTACTACAACCAAGAAGCCGACAACCACTGCAGGCAACGGTATCACGACCCCAACGCCGACGCAGAGCGGAATGGTGGGCAACTGCCGCAAGTTCCACTTTGTCCAGCGTGACCAGACGTGCGCAACAATCGCCAAGCAGTATGGAATCAGCGAGGCCGACTTCATCAAGTGGAACCCGGCGGTTGGCGGGACATCTTGTGGCGGTCTCTGGGCTAACACGTATGCTTGTGTTGGTCTCTAGTTAACCAGGTCGGAGAATTCTGGTTAGCGTATTATTGTAATAGGAGATAATCCGGTAGCGGAAATGCGAATCTTGTACGCGCCTGTATCGATTGAACTTATGATAATCATTAGCTATTGTCATGGATGTCTGTAATGTAATACGAGTGTATGTTATTCAACTCAATCTCAATATCATCTAATAAGCCTTTGTTAAGTTGCCACAACATTACTTCCTGCTTGCTAGAATACTTGTATCGCTACGGGATTTGGCCAAGATCGCAGGAGGCTCTGTTGTCTGGCAATCCAAGAGATCGTCAACTGTAACACTCTCCAAACTGAGGGCTGAATACATCGCCCTCAGAGGCTATAACGGAAGTTCGGTGGCTCAGAGGTTTGGACCTCGAGTCACAGGTGCCCCTGGCACGCCCTATTATTGTCATACTCAAAATACTAGGGCTTCAGGAGAGCCCTAGCAATCACCCTCAAGTTTCTTCCCATTGCGTGAAGAAGATTTTTAAATACAATGCTGATCTAGAAATGTCAAGTTACTAGAGATTCTTGAGCTTGGCAGTAATGACGTGTCGGGTCGTATCCTCGGGGTATCTCCCCGCCGAGAGCGATAACCGACCGCGCTATCAAAGAATTGCAACAGGCTTCATCTCTATTTGGGGCCATAATGTTACTATATGACAGCTTCGGGCTTTATTGCGGTGCGTGCGGGGACAGGGGCTAGCTTTTTGCGACGATGGAGAATTAGAATGACTGTCTTGTAGAGTGCAAGTTCATTGTAAGATTGAAACTCCTTAAAGCTGAGCTAAGTTTATACGCGTAAGGATTGAAAATGGCGTCACGTAAGAAGTTGTTGTCGTGCTTGTATCTTTTGGGGGTCTCTTTTATCCCCGCTGCCTTTTCTAGGGTGTGTAAATACTCCCCAAGTCACTACTCATTGGACACTCGTGGAGCAACCCAGAATGTCCGGAGGCTGAACAAAAGCAAGTATGCGGTATTAACAAATAACTAGTCAATCCCAATAGACATATCCTCATCCTTCAACAGCAAGGCATTCGGGACTTATCCAGGGGAGGTCTCATTCGACGGGCTTGGACAGTCGTATCCCCCACCAGATCCAGCACACACACCGTACTATAAATCCCTCACAACGGGCATCGTATATTCGTTTCCGGGGTATACAGGTGAGGAGATTCCAGATAATGTGATAAGCGCCGGCCAAATCATCCAAGTTCCAAACGATGTCGCGCGCCGAGCGTTCTCCGCCTCGTTCCTGGTGTCTGGAGACAAGGAGTTCTATACGGCAGCGGGAAACGTCACGTTTGTCTACACAGACGGCTCTACCTCGAGCTACGAGCTCCGATCGCTAGATTGGTTCAGCTGGCTCACTCTGAATAGGGGCGAGATCATCTTCCCGTTCCGTTTCACGCCCTCCGGCGTCAACTGGAACACAAGTCATATTTTCGAGCGCACAGCGCCGCTCCTCCCAGGGAAAACCCTGCGCTCTATTGCTTTGCCAGACGCATCCGATGAAAATGGCAGGCTACATGTCTTTGCCCTCTCGATTTGCGCGGAGAAGGCGTCAGTGGCTGTTCAGGTTGTGAGGCCGACGCAGAAGTGGTTTGAGATCGGCGAGCAGATCGTTGAAGTCACGATTAACAATGCCGGTGAGGAATGTGTCGCTGGACCTGGGATTACGGTTAGGCTTGATGGAGAGGGTTTTGCCACTACGAAGACAGGGACCCTGAAAAGGCTTTGCCCGGGCGACCAGAAGATTGTTAAAATTGGAGTGTCGGGATCCCCAAATGCACCAGTGAACGTCTCAGTAATCATTGATGGCAAGACTGGCCGGCAGGTGTTCGACTTTCCTAAAATGAAGATTGGCTTGACAGAGTGGACATCTGAGTTGGACAACCTTGCGCGGCACGAATCGCCTGAATGGTTTAACGGTGCTAAATTTGGCATCTTCATTCACTGGGGCGTATATGCTGTCACAGGCTGGGGGAACTCGACACCCTACGAGAGTTATGCAGAATGGTTCTGGTAAGTATCAATGCTGCAATCTTGTAACTATATGTCGCTCTAGACACCTGGTCTAACAAGATGATGTTATAGGTGGTACTCTACGCATCACCCTCAGGCGGACCCCTCCGGATTTTACTCCTACAGGCTTCGCACATACGGACCAGAGTGGGCTTACGACGACACGTTCCCGGACTTTACAGCATCCAGGTTCGACCCGAAGGCATGGGTGGATTTGTTTGCGGAGGCCGGAGCGCAGTACTTCGTCATCACATCAAAACACCACGACGGCTTTGCCCTTTTCGACACTGGCTTAACGAGTAATCGGTCCTCGACACATTACGGTCCGAAGCGCGATCTCTTGCGAGAACTCTTCGACGCCGCCGCCGAGTATCAGCCTTCGCTCCGCCGAGGGACGTACTTCTCGCTGCCGGAGTGGTATAACCCGGACTTCGGTCCGTACGGGTTTGACCAGCTGCCTGCCGATTCCGTGCCAGGAACGAACTCTTGGCCGGGGGTATTACCCCTGAACCCCTATACTGGTGCTATTGAGCCCTACACGGGACATATACCCGTAGATGACTTCATCTCCGACGTCATGCTCCCGCAGATGAGGATTCTGGCAACCGATTATGAGACGGACATCATGTGGTGCGATATAGGCGCGGCCAACACAACAGCTGTGTTTGCTGCTGAATGGTGGACTGCCACACGCGCTGTGAACCGGCAGGTGGCGATCAACTCGCGATGCGGCGTCGCGCAGGCAGCAGACTTCGATACCCCTGAATATGCGACGTTTTCATCCGCGCAAACGCGCAAATGGGAGAGTAATATGGGCATGGACCCGTATAGTTACGGATATAACGCTGCGACGCCTGATGAAGCGTACATGAATGCTAGCACGCTCATCCACACACTCGTGGATGTCGTATCAAAAAATGGGAATCTGCTACTTGATATTGGTCCCCGTGCCGATGGGACTATTGTGAAGCCTGAAGTAGATAGTCTCCGCGAGGCGGGAAGATGGATTAGGTCGCATGGAGAAGCGCTGTTCAATACGACGTACTGGTTCGTCCAGACTGAGATAAAAGAGGCCGGGCTTGATGTCCGCTTCACGCAGAAGGATGACGCATTTTACATTCTGTTCCTGCAGAGGCCTGTACTTGACAACGGCATGGTTAAAGTGCCGGCGCCGCTGCCGATTCTAAAAGGCGACAAGGTTAGTCTATTATCGGTTAAGGGTGGCGAAAATCTAGTGTGGAATATGACTAGCAGCGAGGGTCTAAGAATCTTGACTATCAAATTGGAGGATAATTTGTTAGAAGACGATGAGTTTTGTTGGGTATTCAAAATTAAGTACGCGTGAAATCCATCAAGGATTCAACATATCCCGACAGATTCCGGGTATCAATCGCCCCCGTTTAGGGACTGCTGAGCCTCCCCAAAAGGCAATGTGACAACACTGAACCCTGCTACATTAATTACAAAGTCGCTCCTCTAACCAAGCCTTGGGAAATTTCGGGTGGACTTCGTCCATTCCTATACTGCCACAGACGACTGAGATGCCTCACCTTAACCGTTCCATCAAATAAGTCTTCGTTGTCACTATGGATGCTCCTCCCCCGAAGACTCCCATGAAAACTTCCGTAAAAACTGCCATGGACTGCTACTTCAGATGGAATTGCACTGTCGGGATTTCCAGCAAGCCCGATCATGGCCCAGCTGTTCTCCAACCCTTCACGAACATTCACCTTCTCGGTTCCCTTCTTGGCAATCTCAACAGCACTATCCATGAAGTCATTGCGCTCCGCACAACCCGTGAACTCTCCATCCTCATTTTGAGCTAGGGGAAACATTCCGTTCAGGTAATGTTGGCAAAATTGATGTCCTCCACGAGAAGAAACGCGGCTAAACACACGACCTACGAAACGCGGTATTTCGGGTGATGCTCGCTCATTGGTGACAAAGTGCAAAAGGCCCCAGATTGCAACAAAGTCAGTCGTATGGGCATAATGCTCTACGTAACCGATAACCCTATCGGAAGCGGGGATCGTATGAGTTCGCTGTAGTGAGGCTCCCGCACCGTTGGCAACGGCAGCCAAGGGTTGCGGGTGACTCGTACCTTCAGGGGGCAAATCCGAAGCATTGGATGGTTTGCTTCGTAGTGACGGTGTCTTAATTTGGATGGGCGAGTCAGTGATCGGAATATTGGCGATTACCTCGGGTACCGGGATTCTTGCGTCAGGATGCTTGATCTCTTCCTCTTGAGACTGTATATGACGGTGCGGGTTGTTGAAGTGATTGGCAGCGCTGCCAAAAGTGTAAACCTCGAGCTTGGCGAGCAGATCCTGAGGCAATTCCTGCAGAAGCCAATCTAAGACAAGCCCCCCTTCAACGCCACCCTGGGAGTGCAGAATGAACACAACTTTGGAATATTGAGGATTATAGAGTTTCTCCTTGAGGATCTTATACGCCAGCCGAACGTCGCTGGTCGCATAACCAAAGTTTCTCTGAATGAGGCATTCGATCACGTCGAATATGATGCCATCAGTGCGATTATGTATACCTAGAACGGGTCGCTTGAAGGTGAGAGCCAAACGGTTGATGTTACTCTTTAACCAGGCCTCGCTAGAGCATGATAATTAGCTACACTACCTAAGCCATATCCCTACGGATGTCGCACTGCACTGGGGATTGAACGCACCCTACCGCAACTCCATTCAAGAAGACCCACTGCTCGTGCTGATGTTCAGCCAGAGCCGGAGCATATTTTGGATCCGACTCGTACATGATGGTTTTTCCATTCAAACAACGACAGAGCAGCCCGTTGACAAGGAAAAAAAGACCGAGTGCAGCTAGGAACAAATAAACGGGGAGGATGAAGGCGACGGGTAATAAAATGAGGAATAAAAGCTGCAGTACGAAGAGAACTATGTGTATCGACATACACCAAATGTTATCGGGGGTAAAAGATAGCTCGTCGAAATGGCCGCCTTCGCAAGGCCTTATGGGCCACACAATCCAGGGAAGTGCCCAGGCGAAAGTGAAAAAGTACTTGATATCGTAGGCGACGAGTTTCCAGGGCAGATCAGTATAGCTGTAATTGATGACCGACTCTCCGCCGACTTGAGAGCCGAAGAACTGAGTATGGCCCTCGGCGGGCTTGCTGCTCTCGCCGTCGGTCATTGCGACAAGGCTGCCAAACCACCTACCAACTGACTGCCGTGTAATTCCTTAGAGAGACTAGAGATAAGCAGGAGGAGGGAAGAGGGAAGAGGGAAGAGACACAAATGCAGCGGCCATGATGGTGCGTCAGAAGGCTGCTACGGGTTAACCTAGTTCTTTATACCTCACAAGGCGAAACGAGGATGACAGTGTTGGCCCGCCATCGATTGTTGGATTTGGCTTGGCATCTTGGACGGTTACTATTCATCAGAACTATCCCTTTTGGGATCTGACATGATCGCATCTGAAGCGGCTCACATGGCAGGACCATGATTAGTTACAAAATAGGTCGAGAGCCTCAACATTTTGTTGGCTGAAATGCGTTCAGCTGACCGGTCTTCATCAGGCGTACGCACACATGTGCACCGGGGGGTAAGTAAGCATTTTGGGGGTGATGCCTACTGTAAGCAGGTAACTAGATGGAGTATGAATGAATGTTGCACGGCTAAGATGTGCCGAGCACCAAGTAACTTGAAGTGTGCCAGGGCATGTGTCACGACTCTGCCACGGCTCTGCCGAGCCCTGCCACGATGGTGGCTCAGCCAAGTGCCTACCTCCCACTACATGTACCTAGTACCTAGGGATGTACTTATAGGAGGTAGGTACCTACATGTAGGCAGGTAGTCGGTGTTTGAGCCAATGACGTAGTGCACCTCCAAATCTCGAATAGGCGCCTACAGGACAGACAGGACAGACAGGACAGTCAGGACTTGCTGTAAGTATTCTCAATGTTCATACGGTACCTGAAATTTACCTACAGTAAGATTAAATTTAATACATGTCAGATGGATCTGGTCGGATTATTGACCGGGATATCGAAAGCGGGAAACAATGGAGCATGGGGCAAGCATTGTCGTGCGGCCACAGCCTGACAAGTCTGTGCTGAGGAAGACCTAGGATTTAGCAGTGGAAGGCACCAAACGGCCGCTAAAGCAACTAAAACAACCCCACGTTAACTACCTAAGGTACCTATTGTGCCTCGGAAGCTTGGTGGAAGTGATATCAACTGTATATCTGCGACACATCTGACTGACAACGACCAAACTTCGATCGTGCCCAATTTCTGTGACCTTCACAGTACACCAACTTCTCGCCTAGATCGCTGCAGAGAGAAAATTGTCGAGAATTGAATTGAAGAAACCCAGTGCTGAGACATGGAAGATCCGCAAATTATAAACCCGGGGACGTCGATTGCGACACCCAAGGTCATCATCATGATGGCTGATTACGGCCACGATCCAACAGGTGCGCACCACTAACACCACAGTGGCCTTCAGTCGTTTGCTACCTATTGCTGCTATTGTTCCTATCCTTGCGATTATCTGCGAAACTCTGGCTAATAATCTCCATAGAAACTGCAGTGCCTTGGGCCGCTTTCAAGACCGCCGGATACGAGATCAGTATCGCGACCCAGAACAGCCAAGTCCCACGGTGCGACAATAAGATGCTTCAAGGTGTCACCCAGAAGCTTCTGGTAAGTGATATATATCATCTGATGTGCGTCGTTTAAATCGTAGTAACACTAGTCACACCAAAAACAGGGCGCGACGAAAGATGTTGTCGCCAAATACAAACAGATGCAGCAAAGTGAAGAGATGCTCCACCCTCTCTCGTGGTCAGCGCCTGATTTCTCGCTCGATCCCTACGATCTTGTCCTGTTTCCAGGTGGCCACGAAAAGTCCGTTCGTCAGGTCATAGAGTCCCCAACCGTCCACAAGCTCATGCTTGACTACTTCCCCAAAACAAAGAAGCCCAGTCATAAAGTTGTCGCCGCCGTGTGCCATGGCGTCATGGTCTTGTCCGAATCCAAAGATGCAAACGGCCGCAGCATCATACACGATTGTGTGACAACAGCGTTGCCCACACGATTCGAGAAAACTGCTTACTGGGGCACGCGCGCTTTCCTCGGCGACTACTACAAGACCTTCGGCCACGGTAGCGAGAATGTGCAGGAATCGGTGAGTTTTCATACCAGGTGGTCCATCAAGCCTTTGGACTTGGTCTCTGACAGATCGGCAGGTAACCAAGGCACTCGCAAGCCCAGCTCAATTCAAGTCTTCCCTAAACCCCGGTCCGTATGTGCAATCCGTTCTCTAGCAGGCTCAAGCCGACTATGACGTAACACTTTACTGATCAACTTGATAGATTCGTTGTTGAGGATGAGAATTACAACTACATCAGCGCTCGGTACCCTGGCGATGCCGTGCTTTTTGCTGAAGAGATAATTAAATTGTTTGAAAGTTTCCACAAGCTAGTATGATTCCACATAGCACCAGTAAGGCTCAGCAGACGGGCTGGTGTAGAATTTATGATGTTACGAAAGTCACGACTTATTAGGAGATACCATTGTTTCACTACCTGCTTACCAGTCTCCCTTGTCTCCCAAGAGGGGGCTCTAATAGTTCAGAATAGACTTGATTGCTTGATCCACACCGCCTGCAATCAGTGTAGGCATATACATCTCGTCTAGTCGATCAATCCAGCCCTGGCCTTGACGATCGATGAAGGCGCTCTTGAGACCGGCGGCCTTAGCACCGGCAACGTCGAAGGGATTTGCGCTTACAACCCAGACGTCTCCCGGGTGGCCTTTCTTGCCACTTTGCTCCACTAGATGTGCATATGTCCTTGGGTCCGGCTTAAAACATCGCAGCCCATCGACCGTAATAAGTGACTGGAATATATCGGCATGAGGCGACAATTCAGGTGAAGTACGGATGGAGCTGCCGACCATTTGATCAGTGCCGTTTGAGAATATGTGCGCACTCACGGCGTCCTTGTTCCCCTGGAGCAATTTCATTGCTGCTGGGATCTCAGGGAAAACATGGAGCGCGTCATATGCAGTCATGAGCCTAGCAGCGTCGCTAACGGCGAGGGTCAACCCATGTTCAGCCACAGCATGAGCAAGTGCATTGCGGGTGATTTCGCTGAACGACTTGTACTGTCCTGTGACATTTGTCAACCACGGGTGCTTCTCCTGAGGCGTGCGATACGTAAGGGCAATTCTTCACCGACCCATGCTGTTGATCCTCCACGTGTATTCGAGTTGATATCGCCGCCAAACTGTCGCTAAGGATTGCGCTTTGTCTCCTCCGTAGATCGTGGCTAACTCATCGGCTATGGAATCGGTGGACAGTAGTGTCCCGTACAGATCGAAAGCGATGACGACCTTCTCCGAGGATTCCATGGCTCCTGTTACGTTTGTAGACTGGTTACCTAGTTTAGTGTAGAGCGGCTGAATGACGCGCACCGGAACGTGACTCAGTCGGACAGAAAGGAAGCTAGGGATTAAGCTTAGAAAGCTACAAGGACCACCACCTACGACGCCGATGGGAGAGACGAGGTGTATATATGTGGGATATGGATGCGATGAGAGTGATGACGTTTTTTAGATGTCTTACGGGCCATCCACATTTCGTGGCGATAGTAGTTGGACACTCAACGTCGCAACTTGCGGGGTAGCTATTTACTCTTTTCGGAAAGATTGACATCCACCATGAAATCCACACAGCTTAGCGAATAACTGTATGAATAGCTTCACTTTCTGCCACAACTCTGCGATCTTAGTAGGACGAGAGTATCTTGCTTGGCCGGTAGTTTCCGATTTCAAAAACGAGCAGTGAGGCGTTACGACTAGCTTGAAGGTACTGGCTAACTGTGCATCTTAGTATCATAGCTGAAGCAGTGGCGAGTCCACCTCATCGCGCGGTAGTCTAGTCCTTACACTAATACCGGCGGCCGTACCAAATTCAAAATGTCAACAATTATACCAGAGGACCAGCAAAGGAACTACGAGGTATTTCGGGACTGTCTCGCCACTGCACTCCTCGAGAAGATTTCAGAGCCAGAGGCTAAACCCCGTCGTCGGACTAAAACCAAGCCCAAAAGGAAGACTTTAAGCTCCACTCCATCTCATGTTAATTCGGCATCGGGCGGGGAAGACCACGGATTAAATGGCGAACACCCAGATCTTGCGGATCCATCTATAAAGTCACATGTGGAGCTCAAAGAGAACTCAGTGCCAGGCGACGACCTTGCCGACTTCACAGATTACATCGCGACCGAGACATTCGCCTGTCTCCCAGCTGAGCTCAAGACAGCCGACTACCACGACTACATGGCCTCGCCAGAGCTGCAAGCACAATTCATCCTGCCCTTAACGGGCGCAGACATGTCTGCCCATCTGCCGAACCTAGACCCAGACATCCCGGAGTCGCTGTCAGCCTACGGAATAACCCACGAGCAGAAACAAGGCATAAACGAGTTCCTCGCGCCAGTGCTGACGGCATTCCTCATAAGCCTTTCCACGCCGCCTCCGGCACCAAGCACGACGCGCGCCGAGGCCTGCGAGATCTGTGGTCGCGACTGGATTAATCTCTCATATCACCACCTCATCCCGCGCTTCGTGCACGCTAAGGCTGTGCGGCGCGGCTGGCATCGCGAGTGCGATCTGCAGAACGTCGCCTGGCTTTGTGGTGCCTGTCATCACTTTGTGCATCGCTTTGCGCCGCATGAGGAGCTTGCGCGCAGGTATTATACCGTCGAGCTGCTTTTAGCTGAGGACGAAGTCAGGAGGTGGGCTGACTGGGTCGGGAGACTGAGGTGGAAGGGAAGATAGAGCGAGGCATTGTGCTATGCTTGCGCGGTTTGTAGATCTTGGACATGAGGATATCAGATAAAGTTATACATTGTATTGATGACATTTCTCTAGTGTTCTGAATTGACGCTGTCTACCCATGCTCAGTACCTTTCTAGCTATGCACTGCGTCATCGAGGTTGAATGCCCTCGCATGTTTCTGAGTCGCAATGCAGAGATGCCTGAAACCTATCTTAACGCCGCACCGCCGTCTTGTATGCCAACAGTCTAACCCACCAACTCCTATAACGGGATTTCTCTAGAAAGCTCGTGCTTATCACAAGACCTGCCACCCAAACAGAAAACTCCACAAAGAAAGAAAGAAAGAAACGCAAACTCATAACAGCTATGCTAGAACATACCAATGATCTAGAACAAGCAGCCGTACTAGATACCTATATCAGTAAGTACCACAAATCCCCAAGTACAATAGTCATGATGATGACTTTACAAGCCAGAAAGGTGATGGTTCGGCGGAGGGTACGAAGCAAACTGCCCCCCTTGAACAGGGCCACCGTGCCCAGTAGGCTGGGGTTGTACCCCTGAGGTGGTTGGCGCACCCGTGAGTCCGTGCCGTCCAGCACAAGACTGCCCGCGCTGCCGGAATCTATGAGGTCGTATCATCGCAGCCATGAGCTCAGCGAATTGATTATCTCCGCTGTGTCTAGCCTGGGCCCTAACGACCTCGAGAAGAAACTCCTGTTGGTCTTGAGCAGTGGGAGCTGCACGCAAGCGTCGTACCTGTTCAATGGAAAGGCGAATACCTGGGTTTTGTGGTTGAGCGTTGACAGGGGGAAACCCAGGTATTACTCTTGGGACTGCATTCACTGGATGTTGCAAAACTTCGGGTCTGAAGGCAGGGCCATGTGTATAATAGAAGTCGGGTACGTGTGGAGGCAGAGGCTGGAGAGGTGGTGGGATTTGGTATGGGGGCACCTGTTGCGGCGTTGTTGACCGAGACAGAGCTGGTTGGGGTAAGAATAGTTGGGACACCTGTGGTCGAACTGGCGCTGGTCGGGACATGGCCGGTTGGGCTAGTGTGGTCGGAACCTGGGATCGAGGTATTCTTCGTTCAGGTTCTATTTGTCCAGGTGCGGGCGGAAGTTCCCTCGATGTCTGCCCCTGGCTGTCTCTCCGAGCTTCATGTTGAAGCTTTGGCTTGAGTTCACGGTACTGGGTGACTGTGCGATCCTGATTGCCACGAACGTATTTAGGGCGGGCGGGCACGATGATATTGTGGACATTCCGCATGTGCTGGATATAGTCATGGCGTCGCTTGAAGCTTCTTTTTGAATGGACACACTGAGTGTCCTGGCATATGTAGAGCTCGCCTTGGTTATGCACAATCCTGGCGTGCCGTATAAGAGCATCTCTTCTTGATAGTTTTTGTCCGCACTGATCACAAAGGAACTCACCAGTCCTTGGTGGTCGAGTTCTAAAGAAAGTGAGCACTTGCTAAATTATAGCCTTGGGTGAGAGAGACACGGAAAGCTTACCTTGTGGTACTGGGCTCCTGGTTGGAGGGAATTACAGCATGTGTGGATGGTGTTGGGTTCTCGTTGGGATCCTGACCGGCGGAGTGAGTACAAACACAATAACTAGATGATGGTGCAAGCTGGGAGGGTACCAACCATGGTGGGACAGGTTCAGACAGTTCCTCGTGCAATCCAAATATAACAAATGAGAGACATTAAGATTTCGGTAAAGAAATACACCGCCCTCAGGTGGAATCAAAAGCAGACCTGCAAGTCAAAGTCAAAACTTTTTCTCGGCCCTCTGTTCAGAAGAGTACATAGGAAGCAGCGGTTTCGCAAGGAGGACAGGATTTATTATGTGTAGTCACAGATCAACATTAGAAAGAAAGAAAGAAGGAAGGAAGCAAGGAGGGAAGTAGGAGAACAAACCCAGCAGTTATATCAGGAACGCAGAGGGACGCACAGCGGATCACTCTTTTAAGAAAGCAAAGTTAATGAGGATGTTAATGTTTAGATAACTGAGTTACCTAGAGAAATGCGACTGAACATTTATGTGCGTGATTTCTTCCTTCTTCCACTTGTATTTTCGAAGCGAATGGAAGATACCTCCCATGTACTGCACTAGCAAACAATCTTGCGCACAGATGGCCACAATAATGATAAACAATAGAGAATTAGGGTACAAGATGGGGAGCCGAGGAGGCTAACTAGTTACCAACAATGGGTGAATGGTAGGAATCCTTATTGAATAAAGCTGAAGGTTAACCTTTACGATGTTTTGATTGATACATCACATTCGTGTATTTATCATCTAGCTTAAGTACGTATATTGAGGTTGGACCATTGAATAATATCTTAAGATATTATCAAACCTAATTACTATATGACTTAAGGTTCTCATTTGAAAGCTTCTGCACTCCTCCGAACTAAGCTTATTAGATTAGGTTTACCTATCTTTGCAATCTTCTGTTTCTGTGAATGTTGTTCTCATGTGCCCAATCGCCTCTAGATCAGTATTTTTTGTCAGTTGAGATCATTTTCCCCAATTGAATGAATAGCTTGGCCCTAGACCAAGCTACCTGTCTGCTGTTCATGCTGTGTAGTCTGGATCCCCCTGTTCTCGCTTGACATTTAACCTAAGTGCCCAAGATCATCTCTTATTTTCATTGAAACCGTAGAGATTAGTTAGTAAGGGAAATTATTGATGAATATATTCTGTTATGTACCTATGCCAGGGGCAAGGAAGCACTAGGGCAGATGTCAATGGGAAGAATGGGTGGAGATAGTTCAATAGTCAAATAGATAAGGAGACAACGGGCCCCAGGAGTCAAGAACATTGAGCCCTTACCCATACCTTCGACCTATCTACTACCTAGGTGCTACCTACTTACGACCCAGCTTCACTCCCGGAACACCAACCTCTGACAACTTAGTTGAAAGAAGAACCTTCAAGGAATCCGTGCCTTTCCACGAGAGCACTTTTTTTTTCCCCTTCGCCTGAGGGCGAAAGAACAAGAAGTGAGACTTATCTCATCAGGCACCGAACCCTCTCCTTCTGAACTGCACTTCGGGCCCTTCCCGTAGAGAAATATAAGCATCGACTAATTGGTACTGATTAGGATCAGTTCTACCCCAGCCCAGTTCAGGACTACCCCCGCCTAATGTAGACCCTGGCGCTCTTCGCACATCTAGTTGGTATAAAGTCCGGGCTATTGTGATTTGAATTTCCGCCATAGCTAGATTCTGCCCAATACAACTGGCCGGCCCGCTCGAGAACGGGTGGAAGGCGGCCTTGGCTCGAGCAACACTTTCCTTGGTCACACCAGTTGCTTCGTCTACAATCCATCGTTCTGGCCGAAACACATCGGGATCTTCGTACACTTCAGGGTTGCGAGAATTAGCCCAATTTGTTGTTCCGACAATTGTTCCCGCCGGGTAAAACTCCCCTTTGATTTCGATACCGCCTGAGAGTACTTCACGTGGCAATTCAGATGGCCCGGGAGGTGTAAGCCGCATGCCTTCATCGATGCAAGCCCTCAAGTAGGTGCAAGATCGAAGTCTCTGGCCGTATACAATGTCATCCAGAGATTGGAAAGTCGTTCGTATTTCTTCCATGAGCTTGTTGAGTTTCAGCTGGTTGCCTGTGAGGTAAAAGAAGATGCCTGAGAGGCTGATAGAGCTTGTGTCTGATCCAGCAATGAGGAGTAGATTAGACTCGGCTCGAAGCTCATTTTCGTCGTAGGCAACAGTTCCAGTTTTGGGATCTCGAGCCTCAGCCAAGAAATGAAAAAGGTCTTGACGCCCCTCCTCTTCAGGTTCTTTGTCTTGTTCTCTGTATACGGCAATTCTGCTCGTAACACTATCTTGGACGAACTGATCATAATGCTTGGCTGAAGGCGGGGCAATAAAACCAAACAAACGGTCAAGGCCGCGAGGTTTGAGCCAGAGAAGAAGGTCAAGAAATGGCACACGGGATATCTTAACGAATAGATCAGATTTTTTGGGGCTAGAAAAGCTCTTTCGGCCACGGTCTAGGAGGGTGGAAGTGGGAATAAGGGACTCACCAGATAATGAAATTTCAGCCATTCTGCTATGTTGTGTGGAATATCCTTGAAAGGGTTGTCTTCTGGTTCCTTGATGTTGAAGGACTTTCCAAAGCTCAGATCAGACGTAATATCGAAGATAAGAGCGTCAACTTTGTCAGAAAAATTCAAAGGCTGCGACCACTCGTCGGCATCTTGGATATCTTCAGACGTGATTATATCAATCCACCGGTCCACATGGGCAATAACAAAGCGACAAGCCGCGAGGATAGACCTCTCAGTAAAACATAGATTTAGACACCGGCGTTTCTTTGCATGGGCGGCGACATCTATGCATGTTAAAGTACTGGTGTCGTTCACATCTCTTTTCAAGGCTTCATAAAAACGACCCCTCCGCACATTTGCTTTCATGCTGTATATGGCATCATAGGCTTGTGGATGGCAGAACAATACTGTATTCGGCTCAATACGGACCCTATAACCATAAGCCTTGAATTGCCTATGAAGCCAAAGGTGACGGTCTCCGCGGTACGCATAGTACCAGGAGGGAAGCCCGCTAAATCGGGCCCAGAAAGGGCCCGGGACCTTATTGGCCAAGGGATGGAGGAATATGTTGTACAATCCCTTCAGAATTATCTAAAATTCATCGTTAGGGCCGCAGTCAGCAACAAAACGAACCCAGTTGGAGTCGTGGAGGCGGATTGTATCACGAACAGCGAGGGGTGGTAAAAGCAAGAGGGCGACTAGGCCACTGGCGAAGCTGAAGCTCAACATGTCAAATCATTAGTAGCGAGGGTCATCGAACTATCAGATTTAAAATGTGAGGGAAGAAATAAGCCAGTCTATAAGCAATATATGGATGACTTACATTTAAACTTATTTGTACGCACCAATTGGGAGGATGGAAACGGATATCGTATTGGGAGCAGCTGAAAACCTGCACGAGGCATGGATGACATGTCTTAGTCCACGACATATGTCACCAGTTCCAGCGACCAATACGTTCTCATACCCTTCCTGTGTATAGGCAATGCAAGCCTCCATCACCGTCTACTAGACCGCGGCATCACAATGCGTAGCTTGGGATAGGACGAGCCGGAGACAGAGCGGGGACTAAGCCCACTTCTTTCGGGCACTATTTACGGCTGTCTTACTTCAGTTTCTGCATGCAGAGCAACTAGCTGCCGTGGGCGCGACTGGTTTAATGCGGAGGAATGAGGATCCCCCAGATATCTACCAGCGACACCATTTGCCTGCGATTTTTTTCTGCTCGACCCTCTGTACTCACATCTCCGAGTTAGGTAGTAAACTTGCTGACAAGTGGTTAAGACAATCATAATTTCAGCTGAGCATGGTGTCAGCTACCATACTATGTTGGGCCAATGCTGATAAGTCCAGGTGTAATGGTTACTGCCAAGAGATTAGCGACAGCACATTGGGGTTGTGGAATGGATGACTAAGAATCTGTGAGACTTGTCCCTGGACTGGCGCTTTGACGGCTTACTGGTGCTTCTTGAGCACAGTAAGGGGAATAAGTAGATCAAGTATTGATAAGTATCATGAGATGGGTGCGGAGGAAGTAAGTATAGCTAGAATACCAAAATCGATAGCATAGAAGAACGAACAGGCAGAGAAGGTATCACAGGCTTAAATGTAGAATATAGAATAACATCTGGAGGCAACAGAAAAGAGTAAATGATATGGATACCTAGTTCCTTTAATTATTTATTTTAATGGCCTCGACATAATCCTTTTGGCGTGCTCGAAAGATATTTGGGATTGCAATAAACAATCACACTCGGAACTTGATCCTAAAGAGCCTACCATATACGCGAAAATACGGGAGAATTGGCTACGTAAAGCGCGTTGCAAAGCGACAAGAAGGATGAAGACAGACAGATGGTTTAGAAGCTGATGGTATATAATAATATATACATATTTTATTCGTCGGAGCAATGCTGGCTGGTCAAGGAACATAATTTGGAGTCCAGTGTCTGGACATAGGGTTTGAAGTTCCATAAAGTTGTTGCACTGTCACAGACACATAGAGAGCTACAGGGACCTCGGTGATAGCAGAGAAAGGGATAGGGTCAAGTTACATGTACTCACCTACTTAATTGGGTATACCATATGTTCCAATCAATGATCTATTTAGTGGTTACAAACTTGCAGTGAGCTCTGATCTAATCACCACCTGCGAGGTGCTGTAGCGCCCCCCGATGTAAATGTGCGGGTGGTTATGGCTGCCTTGGGTCTCTCCTTCTCCAGCTTCGCTAAGCCCGTCCGATCAGTTAATGGCGTCGCATCGATGATGTTATCAAATGTATCGTCGATGCCGACGTCCGAATAGTTGTCGTTGTCAGAGTCAGGTCGCATGTCTAAATCGACTTCGTATTTCTGCGGCTGCGGAGGGGGAATGGCTTCTGGCTTAGGTTTCTTGTCAAGATCGTCAGGCTCGGCGAAAGGCTTTGACGCCAGGATCTTGCGTCGAATCTCCTCCATCTCGGCCTCATCATCCTCGTCGTCTGTTATATCAAAAGGATCCTTCTTTTTCTGCGCCCTTCTAGGATCCTCTATGGTATCGCCTGGTTTGGGCCATTGGGCAGGTTTCTTTCCAAGGTATATACCATCCACGCTTTCATTTTCGCCATCTTCATCATCATCATCGTTGCTGTCGTCATCGTCGTTGTTCCCATTCTCATCTTCTTCAGAGTCAGAGTCTATGATAGCCCTGCGATTCACATTTCCTCCCTTCCAAAGATCATCGTCATCGTCATTCTCGCGGCTTTCGGCATGTTCCCGCTCTAAGCGTTCTAGCCATTCCTTTTCGGTCCTCTTAATAGCATCCTCGTCCTCGCAAGCAGCATACTTCTTGAGTAATTTCGAGTTGATGGCGAGAAACGATTCGCCGTAGTTGAAGGGAAGAAGGACTTGTTCAGCCCAGTCTGGGTGGCCGCAGATATAGAAAGACGCGGCCAGGGCCTCGACACAGTTCAAGCGATAGGGTTTGCCGTAATTGACGGTATTCGCAGCGACGAGATAGGGTAGTAGGCGTTCGCATTTGCCGCCGACCTTGTTCCACTGTACCTCCTGTGTCCGTGCCCATGAGCACTCGACGACGGCAGCGCCATACTGATCCATGAGCTCGCGATCGGCCGGCGACAGGGTGTGCTTGCCGTTGGGGGTAATAATGACGCCGTTGTGGCGCTGGCCGAGATGCAGGTCGCGCATGAGACCAAGCCTGATCAGTTTCTTGCCGGAGCAGCGCTTCGGGTCGCAATGGTTCAAGTCCCAACAGGCAGCCTTGAAAGGAGGGGGCTGAGCATCGTCGGGTTGCTCGGTATCGTCAACATGGCGCGCTGGCCTCGGTCGCGATCGCGGGGCATTCTTTCCTCCCCGAAAGTTATCTTTCTTGTGGCGTACCATGATTTACAAGTTTATATGGCCAAGTGTGTGGCGAAGGGGAAGATGGTGTATATAGAATCACTGAGCGTTTGTGATGGAATCTAGAGGGGAAGGTGGCGGAGGGGCTCAAACTTCATTAATGCATTCAACTACCTATTATGCATATAACAAGGCTTCTAGGATACAGCCACCCGTGCTAGTACCATTTCCCTGGCCAGGTACAATCACCTAACAATTAAATCCGTGCACTCGATATTTCCTCACCAAAATCCAGCAATAGTCACCATCTTTGCAATGAAATAAAACTACAACCATTAAGCTTTAATAAATAAAAGTTCAATGGATAGAATTTAATTATGATTAGATTAAGTGCATCTAGTTTTCTATTTTAAAAATGAAGAAATGGGTAAGAAATTAAACGTTAAAATGTATTAATATTTTATCATGATACGATTACCGCTATTTTTGCAGGTAATCTACCCCTTTTAATATATATTACAATATATATACTTTAATAACCCCTTTATAAAATAGAAAGAAATATATAAAGTTAATTTTTAATTAATTAAATATATAAACTTTTATTTTTAATTTTTTTTTTTTTTAATTTTTTTATTAAGAATTAAATATGTTATCTACTTATAAAGATGATAGGTTTTAGTGGGGAAATATCATGTGCACGGATTTAATTGTTAGGTCAGTGTATCTACCCTAATATTACAATGAAGGGGCTTTTAATATTTCCATATCGTGTATATAAAACCTTACCTATGCATCTGCATAAATTAGGTAGGTATCCCTTTGAATACCACGAACGCTCCAATATATTGCTGACCCAGTCTTATCACGTGCTATGTCTCTTGCAGTCCCTATTAGTGGATCAACATAACTGATACTTAAATCCCTCTTAAGACGACACTAAAACTGATGTATTAATTCGTACCCGTGATTATATGTTTAAGTAAGATACAAGTACAAGAAGTTCTGATTGGACATTTAAAGTCTTGGCAGGATTGGAGCGTTCGTGGTATTCAAAGGATACATCAAATATAAGGAGTAAATGTATTCGGCCACAACCTCACGACCTAGTTCATAATCCAACAACGATTATTACCAATCTCAAATGTGGACTACATGTGGTTACCTTGATGTTTCTGTTGTCAGAAAGTGACCATCAACAACGACCCGTCGTGACAATGTTGATCAGCGCGGACGCCACTAGGTGGCTCGCCACAATAGGTCTTACTACATTATTATTCCCTGCATAGCCCTCACGGCTTCACACGCTCACGGCAAAGGAAAGCGATCATGGATCAAGACTTTGGGGGCTACGACGAGAGAAAGGATGACCATCGAGCCGGCGGTGGACTGGAGGAGTCTGGGGCCGGGACAGCTGCAGGGCTTGCTCTCGAATAGCAAAGACCTTTCCAGGGACGAAGACGTGTTTGGCGTCTCGTCATCCTCAGATGCATCCTCTCTTGCTTCAACGAAATCACGAGCCGCCTTCAAAATGAGCTCCGAAACGCCACGTGGCCTCGAGAAAAGCAGGCTTGATCAAGGCTGGCAATGGCCACCCCCCGGGTCCACTGGCGGTCGGTTCCAGTAGGGCGCGGGTACGGGTGGTGGTAATCTGGCTACAGCGACCAACCCAAACAAAAAGGGCGGTCGAGCCGTTCAGGTGACGAGGAATCCTCAGGTCGGAGATGCGTATTACGTTGGGACCATCTATAACAAGGAGGCACAAGAGAAAATATGTGGGAAAGTATGTGATAAGTGTTTCATATTTCTCGTGTCCCTAATCGAGCACAGGTAGATTCTAAATCTCGATATCCTCTTCGCCACACTCTCTGGATAGCGCAGCCTCTTTGTCTGCTTTGTGAGTTCCTCGCCGTCTAACCATGTATTTCGTATAGAGATAGACCGTACCTAGCACATGTCAAACACTTGTCCAGGCAGTAGCCTCAATTAGCCTACCTAGCCAAATACATGCAAGCCGGCATCACGCCGAAGAGAGCAAGCTACCTTTCCAAGCAAGAGGTGACGGAACGGAAGAATAAGATCAAGGTTTCTCTGATCGACTTCAGCAATCTGGAGAACATTACTCAAATGGACTTCACGAGCGAAGCGAGTCTCTCTTCGATCCTGATGAAACCCGGCCCTAAGCAAAAACCCTGCCTCACGACCACCCCCCGTCACGACCAGGGCCCTAGGCACCCTAAAACGCGCTTTGACTCCCAACCACCTAATTAAACATTACTTAATAACGCAACCGCGTTTAGGTTTTACGATAACTTTTTACCCTTATTCTGTTTAGAATTAATTCCTCTTTATTGCTATATCTTTTAATTTTAAGTATTATTATACTATAGTTAACGTATCTCCCATTTGACCTGGCCACCCAATTGACCTGGCCACCCCCTTAGCCCATACAAAAAACGTCGGTGCGCTAATTATGTGATAATTTAATAACTCTACGAATACTAGTCCTATAAAATAATAAAATATACCATTAGATTTGTAATAAAAAGAGCTATTTAACGGTACCCTTTATTAATTTTTACGACTTATATTCGCGGAGTTATTAAGCAATACGCTAAAGTAAGCGTTAAAATAATCCTTGCCTAGCGCCCTTTTAGCGTATTGCTTAATATCTCGCTTAATAAATTTTATAAAAAATAGTAAAAAATACCGCTGGATTCCTTATTAAATAACGGATCTAATGGTATTAATTATTTTATCGTAGGCCCAGTATTGGTTAAGTTATTATAGATTAAAACATTAGATTTTTATATAGATTAAGGGGGTGGCCAGCTTAATTGGGTGGCCAGGTTAAGTGGGAGATGCGTTATTATTTATATAGTTTAATTTAAAACTTTAATTTAAGCAATAGTATATATTTAGGGTATTAATAAATTATACCTATATTATTAGCTTTAAGGTATTTTTATTAAAAAATAAACCTATATTAACCTTTAAGCTTTATTAACCTATTATAAATATTAATTAATAAATTAAATAATAAAATAGATTAAGTTAAGCTTTATACCTTTATTTTTTAAATTTAAATTTATAATTAAATATAATGCATCTCCTATTTGACCTGGCCACCCAATTGAGCTGGCCACCCCTTTAATCTATATAAAAATCCAATGTTTCAATTTAGGATAACTTAACCAATATTGGTTCTATAATTTAATAATTAATACTATTAGATTTAATATTTAATAAGGAATCCAGCAGTATTTTTTACTATTTTTTATAAAATTTATTAAGTAAGATATTAAGCAATACGCTAAAATAGCGTTAGGCAAGGTTTATTTTAACGTTTAGTTTAGCGTAATGCTTAATAACTCTACGAATATAAGTCGTATGAATTAATGAAGGGTACCGTTAAATAGCTCTTTTTATTACAAATCTAATGGTATATTTTATTATTTTATACGACCAATATTTGTAAAGTTATGAAATTATTACGTGATTAATGCACCGACGTTTTTTGTATGGACTGGGGGGGTGGTTAGGTCAATTGGGTGGCCAGGTCAAGTGGGAGATGCGTTATATTAATTATTTTAAACAATAATAAAAGCTTTAAAAAAAAGTAATATATATATTTTTTAACTTAAAATAATAAAGTTAAATTAATTAAATTATAATTTATTAATTATATATATATTAATAATATAATAATAATTAATATTAACTTTTTTTTTAATTATTTTAAAGCTTTAAAAATTATAAATATTCCTTTTAATTATTTTTATAATATTAATAAAATAGGTATAAATTAAAGCATTAATAATAATTATTAAATAATTATTAATTTTATTTTATATTAAACTTTTAAAAAAGTTATTAAAAAAGGTAAATAAATTATTATTTTTAAAGTTATTAATATTATTAATAATTTAAAAAGGTATATAAATATAAAATTAATAATTTTTAAATTAAAATTAAAGTTTATTTAAAGATTAATATTTTAAATATTTATTTAATAGGTAAATTAATAATTTTATAATATTAAAATAATTATAAAACCTTTTAATATTTTATATTTAAAGCTATTATAATAATATATAATATATATTAATATATAATAATTATAAATTATATATTAATAATAATTTTTTTTAAATTTACCTTTTAAATAAAATTTAACTTTTATTTTATAAACCTTATTATAATTATATATTATAATTATTAAATATTAAAGTTTTTAATTTATTAAAAAAAAAGTTAAAAAATAAGCTATAAAAAATACTTATAAGTTATTTAAAAGTAAAACCTTTAAAAAAATATATTAATAATATATAAAGCTATATATAAAAATATAATAAAGTTAAAAGTTATAGATTATGGCCAGTGGTAGTAAGGTACCCATGTACCTTACGCGTATAGGGTTACCGTATAGCCCACCACGCTTATATACGCCTGTTAGTCTGGACAGCTATTGCCACCTAACCTATAAACCGCAATTATCCTTAACCTATAAAAGACCTAGCTAAAATGAGCTATTATATAATAGTTCTCTTTTCTTCTTTATATTTAAATTAATATATAATTTTAACTATTATATAAAGCTTTACCTTTAAAAGTAAAGCCTTTATATAATAATTTAAATATTTCCTTTAATATAAAAGTATAAGGATTACCTTTTTAAATATTTCCTATTAATTATATAAAATTAAGTTAATATATAAATCATTTTATAATTAATTAGTTTTAATTTAAAACTATTTTTAAATTAAAAAGATTAAGCTATATTATATTAAATTAATTATAATATAAAATAATAATATATATATAGCTTAATAAAAGTATATTAAAAAAGAAGTCCGATTTTTATTAAATAATATTATTAATATATAGCTATATAATAATAAGGAACTTTATATTAAATTTTAAAGGTAATTTTTTAAAATTTTAATAATATTAAAACCTAATTATAAAAAGATTATTATAATAAGTTAAAAAGATAAAAGTAAAAAGGAATTCGCTTTTAAAAAAATAATGCTACATTATTAAATTACTATTTTAAAGCTTATATTTATTAATAAATGCTATATTACTAATAATTTATAATATAAAAAAAAAAGTTAAATATTAATT